CGTGTGGCCAAAGGATCACAATTTTCTGTTTGGAGTCACCTTCTACTCCTATATATATATATATATATATATATATATATATATATATCATAAATGTTATAAATTAGCATGTATATAGTGGGATAGAGTGCTCGGGTGTTGGAGATAATGGATAGAATGGAGATGGGGTTTTGACAAAGAGGGAGACATATCGTCGGTGAATACGGCACTTTTTTTGTCCAGGGATATGTATTGGGTAAAGTGACAGAACTAGTTATTAAAGTTGAGAAAGTTGATTACATCATGGTTTGTTAGGGTTTGTTCTTGGGGAGATGTTTAGCGAGGGGTAGGGAAGGGGGAAATTGGATTTTAATAACACCATTGGTATCAATTTCAAGCTCATCATTTCATTAATGCTATCATAATTATTAAGATTCCACGGGTAGAAAGAAGGAAAATATATTTAACGGAACAAAATTTAAATAAAAACAAGAGATTTAAATATATTTCATTGAAGAGAAATAAAAAAATTAAAAGAATAGAAAGATTCGTGAAAATCAATAAATAAAAAAATGAAAGAAAAGACTCATTTATTTTGCTGTCATAAAAAAACTTTGGATAAGTTTTTTAGACTTTATTACTAAAATATTTAATAAACACTTTTCTTTTCTTTACTTAATAGGTCAATTACTCTTCGATTCCAGATAATTTTTCTTAATTATAAACGTATTTTGTGATCAATTGATAGTAATCAACTTTAGTTTGAGGATCTTTTGAATTATATTTTAATTAAGACATTGTAATTATGGTCAATCTTACCGACATGAAGAAACTTACGGAACAGAAGTAGATACCAATCAAATTAATAACACTACAATTTTATATTTTTCTAATCAATATTTTTATTTATCAAATAATTAAATCCATTTCATTACATATCTTCTTTCCATCTTCACCCTCTAACTAAAAACACTATTAGTTTTTTTAAATTGTATCTTATTATTTATACTAACTATTGAAAATAACAAAAAGTCATTTAATATTCCTTAATTTTTTTTAGATTTTCGTTTTTTTTTTGTTCCTATGATCCTAAATAGATGTAATTATTTATGACTTAAATCCTGACTAAAATGAAAAAAAGGACATAAGTATAATTCAGGAGCTTAATTTTTATTTATTTTAATAATTATTAGAAAAATTATATACTAAAATTAAATTAATATATTTTTTAAAATTTTAATATTAGCGATAATTTTCAAGCATAGTGATGCAGTAGTGTATAAATGTAAGAATAATTTAGGAACACACCCACTCACTTGATATCTACTCGTTTCGAGAAATGATTATGCAATGATCGATCATAAATATAAGGTCACACAAATATTACTATGATAAATTTTGATATCATCTTAAAAAGATCATTATCACTCTAATACTACATTAAGAAAATAGATACGTGTCTCACAATCAACTCTAAAACACCATTTACATCTCACTTAATTGATAAAAGTCGGTACTAAAATTGATAAATTTAATTAATTAATTTTTCAACTCGTAATCATATACTTTAATGGCACCAATTAGCAACTAAATTCTTATGTCTAATTAGGATTATCTAATGTTTTCAAAGAAAAAGAAAAAGAAAATTTTAGCAGAGGTATAGATAAGCTGCAGTTGAAGTTTTCTAATGTTGACAAATCAACTATCAACATCAAATCACTTCTAAGATTATGTGGGAAAAGCAAAATCAATAATTAAAGGATAAAAAATTCTGAAGAAACTTTTCATACCAAACGTTGAGGAGGAAAGTCAACATGAAATGTTGGTAATTTTATTGGAGTTGCCACTTGCAACAACTCCTTGTGAGCTGTGAAACAATCATTCAGAAATTGGGTTGGCCTGCTTTGACCTCTCAGTAAAGCTTGCAGATTATGCTCCATCTTAAATATTGAAAATTATGACATGGATCAATTTAAGCAAATATTTATTTTCAAGTTTAAAAAATTATAATGAAAAACAACTCAAGATACATATAAATTAGTTCAGTACTTTTCTTTTACAGGATTGGAATTTAAAAAAATATTAATAATAGTATGAGAAAATATATATGTGATATTGAAGATGTTACGGAGACAGTTTTAATATGAATTTTTTTTGCATATATATTTATGTAGACATTGGCTTACCCTTAAAAAAATATTTTTATCATTGATTAAAGTTTATTGGATATAACATAGTAATTTTATAATTTTAAATGATCAATAGAGGATGTTCAAAGAAATTTTTAAAAAATTTGTGTTGCATATCCCACATTAAATAAGCTATTTACTAAAACCGAAAAGAATTCACCTAAATCGCTAAAGAAATTATTAGTTGTTTAAGCGATTATTCAAAATGAATGTCATTATCGGTTTCTTAGATTTGGTTTGCTTGCTCAAATCCTATCACTTTGGAAAAATGATTAATCTTTATAATGGTGAAAAAAAGTCATGCTTAATAGTACGTTTACAGATATATTAAATTGTGAATTTCATGAAATAGATTCTTTAGTTTATCATGAACAATTAGATATTCCTTATATTACAAATCAAAGTCTTAAAGAAACTATTAATGATAACAACAAGCCGTTGTCATAGGAATTCATGGAGTCTTCAATATTGAAAACTTCTACAGTAATAATTTTCAACTAATAAAACATAAATTTGGTAATTTTAGTTTTTCTTAATAAAACTAAAACTGTGAACAGTTAATATATTGGATTATATTAAAAAAATACATTTACATATTAGCTATTAAGAAAGGGACTGAAAACTAATTTCTATATATGTATATAAAATAATTATGACTTTATCAATTTTTAACTATTCAAGTATTCTGGAGATGAGGAGAATGATTCTATTCACATCTTCAAATCTGAAGGGATTTTCTGTACCTTATGTCTCTAAATCACTTAAATAATTTTAAATTTTTAAACTAAAAATAATTTTTTTAATCTTAGAACTTTTAACTTTTATGAGAGGCTAAAATAATTATGGATTGAAATGAGTTATTTCTAATTTGAAGGATTAAAACAAACTTGATTGAAATTTGAAAGACTAAAAATAATATGTAAATTCACAAATTGTTTAATCACTACAAAAAATTGTTCGTCATCCTTAAAATTTTTATCGAATAGATTTGGTTCTATCGTAAATAATAACCATCTACGAACTAAATTCAAAATTTTGGATGTTGTAGAACAATGATGACATTGCTGAGAAATATAGGATAAGGAGGGAAAAGAAAGCTTGAGAACTGAAAAAAGGAAAGAAACTCTAAAATGGATTTTTTTCTGAATTAACGGTGAATGAGATACAACGATATTCTATTAATAGAGTTTAGAAGTAATTAATCATCAATAAACTAACTATAAATATTTGCTCATCAACCACAAGCTGAAGATTGGAAAATGTTCAACTTGAATTTGGACTATATAGTAATACAAAATGGCACAAGTATACACGAACAATACTAAAGTTTGAGAAGCTAGCATGAAGTTAAGTAAGATTCTTTTTAATGAGTTACAAGCCAAAACAACCTTTTGCAAAGTCACCTAAGAAACAAAGTGAGTCAAACAAAAAGTTTTAGGGCATCACTTACACTTTGGAAAATGGGTTTATGCATGGATTGATAACAAATTTCCCAATATGAATGACAAAATTAAGAAAAGGACCAAAAAATGCTTAAAGTTTTGGTGGTGCCCAAATTCAAAGCTAAACAAATGAAGATTGACAATTGTGTTATCAACTCTAACTAATCCACACATCCATTTGAAAATTAAATACTCTAACTAATACATGAAAGAAGTGCATGAGTTGACATAAAACATTCCTTAAAAGTGATTAATCAATATCGTAAAAAAAAAAAAAAGGATTACCAAATAAACTCAATCTGAAAATTGCATTAGGTCATGAAGCCGGGTTAATCATGATTCTCAAAGTTGTTTTTTCTCAAATTAGAACTGCACATCATTTTTGAATGTTACGTAAGGCTATTCATTATGATTGAAAACTTTCGAGTTTTACTTGTATTTCACTGTTCGGTAATCCATTTCGAAAAACAATACTTGGTTTACGTATATAAACATTGGAGGTAATTAAGAAAGAAATGGGGGAGAAGGAGAGATTTGGTGCAGAAGAAAGGGCGAGAATAATTTTGAAGCAGATATATTATGGTAGAAGCCATTTCAGTTTCAATGAATAAACAGGAAGTGAAAAGGGATAGTTGGTACGTGTGCCTAATTTTAGTTGCAAGTAAGTATGTGTTGTTATTGTCAGCTGGATTCTATATGAGGCATCCAAGTTGAGGGACAACGAGACTCAAGGGTCTATAGTTTCTACTTGGACTCACATGATATGTACGCCAACTAAATACCAGACATGAAGAAAACTATAAAAGAATGCAGCCAGATATTGATGCCTACGTTGCTAAAGCTAAGAAACTCACAGCCAAAATGTTATTCACCTTTCAAACTTCCCACAGCTTTTTGCTTTGCCCTTCAAAAGAACTTTGCGAAAAATACAATTCAATCAAGGGAAACCGAGATTTTAGTCACTCATTGTTCAAGTACATCACCATAAATGTAATCATAATTAAACTATATCTAGGGGTATAAACTATATATCTAGTGGTATAAACAACATGTCACGTATCCAAACAAACTGCACTTGATCCAGGTGCAATAGAAAACTGACACATTTAGGAATTCAAGGGTCTCTCACTATTACTAAGATTCTTTCCTTCATAGCATCCATCCATATATATAAGGTTATAGATATATTGAAAAGAAATCCTAAATAAAAGAGTTGTGCTCAATATGTGTAAACAGGTGGAAGATGTTCGCAACAGTTAGAATGAAACAAGAAACTACGAAACCAACAAATTATGTGAGGGTATTAAAGTGAACTCATTAGGGTTTTGACCAATACCAATTCTTTTTAGCGGTACAAATTTACATGTATAGCACCTCGTTTTCAGAGCTGCTATTGCATCTGCATTCCAAAGTACTTACACTCTTCGAAAGCAACAACATCATGAGGAATTCCTTGTCGGCAACCTTCATAGTCAGAAACCAAAGGAGAGTAAACCAAAGAGCTCATGTCACCCCAACTTGTGCTTTCTGTTGAAGTTGTGTTGGTGCTACCACCATTGCTCATGACGTCCATGGATTCCACTCCGTAGTTAAAACTCCCCATTGATCGATCCATTTGGTGCGGGTTCACGCAGACTAGTTCACAAAAATCACTTGGGAAGTTTTCAAATCCTTCAAATATATTAGTTGGCTGATAAGTGACGCTATTGGTTTCATTACTCACCACGGCCACATGATTTACCATGGTTGGAAAAACCTGGTCTGGCAGGGAGGGAATTTCACATGCATTGGTGTATGGTTGTTGCTGCTGCTGCTGATCGCTGGAAAATCTAACTCCCTCTAGTTTGTTAACCATCAAGTTCCTGAGAGATGTTTGATTGTTCAGACCAAAGTGTTGAAAAGAAACATCGGTCACTGGCATAGGCACAGAAGAATATTCTGCAGACCAATAGGGAACTAGATTGATGACTTCAGAAGCTACTATCAAGTTCTCGGATTCTCTTTTCACATCTTGCTTCTGATGATTGTTGCTGACACGGCGAACTTGAGCCTGTTGTTCCTTCCTTTGTTTTCCAAGAAGCTTCTTCTTCAGCCTAGTGTTCCAATAGTTCTTTATATCATTGTCTGTGCGCCCTGGTAACTGTGCTGCTATAATTGACCACCTGCATGTATGTATTCCAACGAGTTCTAAGCGATCAATTAATTGGATTTCAAATTTAGATCATATAGACACTGCTTGATTCTACACAAATAGAGACTGATTTAATTTAATAACAAATTCAAACTGATTTTAGCATATCAACAAGGAACTTATTTAATTACCTGCTTCCAATACTGACATAAAGGCTACAGATGATGTTATCTTCTTCTTCTGAGAAGCCCCCATGTTTGATGTTTGGGCGAAGATAATTTAGCCATCTAAGACGACAGCTCTTTCCACATCTCTTAAGGCCTAAACCACACACATGCAAAGCAAATAAGGATCAGCACAAAGAATTTTGTGTTCTAAAATAAGATTGGCAAGTTAAGAATAATATGTATATATGTTTGTAAAATTAATCATTACATATGTACGGAGAAGTTTGATATGCAATATTATTTAATTGATATGTGTTGATTGATGAATACATATGGAGAGCATACCTATTTTCTGGGGCAAGGCGATCCAGTTGCCACCAGTGCCATGCTGCTCAATATAAGCCTTGAGTTTAGCATCTTCTTCAGGTGACCATGGACCTTTCTTGACGTTGGCTTTGTCACAACAAGGAGCCCGTCCCATTTCTGCTATGCGAGCTTCTCTCTGTGTGTTAGTTGGTCTGAGTTTCAAGTAAAGCCAATCTTTGTTAAGAGTTGAGTTGATGATAATGGTAATAATGGTGTGTTTATATACAAAGAGGGGGAGAAAGGTGAGAGAGAAATAGCCTGGAGAAGGAGAGAGAAGCTTTGGAAGGTTTCAAAAAGGTGAAGGAAATAAAAGATATTCCTTTATGCTTATAATAATGGACGAATTGAAAATGCCAGGAAATAGACCGTTGTTTTTCTTATTGTCCTTCTTACTATGTATCACTCTATATAATTTAAAAAAAAAAAGAATTAAAAGAAAATGTTGATAAAAGCATGAATGAGAATAATGTAACTCTCTATTTCATCTATCATCTTGCAGTCTCTCTCATATATTATTTTGTAGAAGTAACGGGGATATGAATTATTGTTGTGGATGGGTGATCATAAACCTCGTGCATGGTGCAAGTAGTGGGACCAAAGGTGAAAGATTAGAGTGATGAAACCTCATTTCGTTGAATGGTTCTTTCTTTGATTACGTAATGCCTAGATGAATGACTCTTGGATTGCGCATGAGAAAGAACCAGGTCGCGCGGACATGTTTGTCATATGGAACTACCTCTCTCGCCAAAAACCAAAATCAGTTCAACAATCCACTCCATCGGTGTCTTCATGATCAAATAATTATGTGTGACTTGAATACTACACAAATTAAGTACTGAACTGCATAGTTTTCCACATAATACTGCACCATATTTCCACGTTTGTTCTCTAATTTGAAAGATAAAGGTGGAGAAAAGCACCCAAATTTTTATATTTGTTATGTTATTTTGAAACTAAACATAAATCATTAATAAAATAATATGGAAATGGTTATTGGTGCTTTGATATCCTTTGTGTAATGAAAGTGATATATACCTAGAAGTTTGATCACATCTTCCCAATTGTAATGATAGAAGGACAGTCTTACGTACATTAGGGCTAATTAATTTTGATGCCTTCTGTTTGTTTCTCTATATAATTTACTTTTTAGATATTTTTTAATTGTCAAAATAGTTATGTTTTATTTATTTTGATGATATATAGAAAATAAGGGAATAACCTGTTATTATTTACTACTTCTTACTTAACTTTTAAAAATAGAAAATAAAGTTGAAATAAGGTGATGAATTTGAAATTATAAATATAAAAATATTTTCTCAAATTAAACTAACTATATAATAGATTAAAAAATATCATCACATCTGTATTTACTCAAACAAACAAACAAATATCAAGTAAAAACATAAAGCATAGTTATTTTAAATCTAAATTGCATTTAAAATAAATTATTGGAATCAATTTTTTTTTTATCAAAACATATGTATTTTTCGAAAAATGTTTCCCTTTATTAATTTAGATTATATACAATTTTGGTCCCATTTTTTTTTAGCAAATTAACTCTTTCTACTTTTAATATTAAGTATCTTTGATCCCGTCTATCTATAACCCTTAAATTCTCATTTTACAAACAAATATTTCGGACTTGTGAGGAATAATATAGTAAATCATTTTAAAGTTCATCAGAAAGTTAATTAGCTAATATTTAATAATATTAGAAATAATTGTAGGATGTGAAATTAAAGTTTGAAAAAGGAAAATATGTGACTTTTTATTTTTGAAAAAAATTCATGTTTTAGTTGATAACTTTTGAGTAAAATAAAAACACTTTAATCCAATCAAGATATGCAAAATTAGAGTAGAAAATAAGATTTTAAAAATTCTAAGTAAAAGGAACTATATAGAAAGATGAAAATTTGCTTAATTTTAAAGATAGAGAAACTTAGTAATCAAAACATATTTGTGAAAGGAAAATCGCTCATAATTAAAATATTTGATAAACTAATTATATCCTAATTTTAAATAATCTTTAATACCGCGTTTTTTTTTTTTTATAAATTTTAAATCCACAATATATAAACATACATTGAGGAATGGATGATGTTAAAAATAATTTATATTATTTTTTCTTTATCTTTATTTTGCAAAAATACTATTAATAAAAAAAATAAAGAGATAGGAGAAAGAAAAAACCAGTGAAATTCTTAAAATGATTTTTTAACCGGAGAAAAAGAAGAAATTTTGATTAAAATGATAAATTTATTTATTGCTTAAAAAATAAATTATTTTGAATGATTTTTTATTTTTATTTATTATTAAATAAATTTTAATTCTACCTTTTCATTTAAATAATAAAAAAATTACTTATATTTTTTTAATTTTTTCATTATATTTGAATATAAGATTATTTTGAAGAACGATTATATATAACCATTTTAAAAAAATAATTAATAAATAATCCATTATAATAATATAATAATTATTATTATATTATTAATAAATGATTTTTAGTTATATTTTTCTGCTTCAAAATATCATTAGATCTTAAAAGGATTCTTAGCCGCCTTTATCTATAAAAAATTATCCATTAAAAAAAGAGACGAGACAACATTAATAATTACTTTTTAGTATGCAGGTAGTCAACTACTAGGATTCCCACTATCACCTCTGTACATAGTTTTCTATTATTTTCTGTGTATAAAATATATATGATTGAAAGGTGATTTAAAAATTAAATATTCAAATAATATGTTTTAATTTTTGAAAAATTTAGAATAACAGTACTTATTATTTTCTGAAAATATAATAATACATTTATTTACATTTTAAAAACTAATATAATTAAAAAGAATAATTGTCAGATTAAAAATAAATCAGATGCTTGGTAGATATTCGACTGTGACCTTGACCTCGCATCAACAGCAATCACAATTGTCAATATAATTTTCATAGAGAAAAAAAGTAAACGCAATTATTTGACAAAGTGTTTTTAAAATATTTTTAATATAACTTTACCAAAATATATATATAATTAAGAAAAAAATAGCACTAAAATTATAGATGAGTGAAAGTCAAATAAAGCAGTTGAATTTGAGAATGTGTTGCTGAGAGAAAGAAAGTAAAGAAAGTTGTGGAAAAACAAAAGCACCCAACCTTTGGACAAGTGAAGGAAAAGGTCTTGGTGGTTGGCCACCATCTCTTCCTCCAATTAACCATGGTTAACTAACTGTCTTTTCTTTTCAACAAGGGGAAAAAGTAAAAAGCCAGAGTTCCTTTATTTCCACGTTTTGCTTGCGTAATCGTAGACCTGGTTTCAGGTGTGAGAGAGAGCCTTTTTGACACAGTCCAATCTTTTATTTCCATGCAAGTCTACCAGCTCAAGGTGGCTAAGCTCAACTAAGGAAAAATACAACACCGTATAATGAATACAAATCTTAATTTTAAGTGTAAGATGATAAAACGAGCACATTAGTGCGTACTCAAATTGGTGGATCATGTTAATATTTTTAGTCTATCAGATTGTGTTGATTTTTAGCAGAGCCAAAAATCGAATGAAACTCGTTACACATACATGATCAGTTATACAATGGTGGTAAATACAATTACAAGGACACTTGATCAATCAGAGTTTGTATTCAATGAACTAGTTTCTAGAAAATCTGTTATGCATAACGTCGTGGAAGGCTTCTCGGAGACGTGGTTTTGTTGTTTATGTGACCGGATCGTGACAGAGAATAATTTTAATTATTCTTTCAATTATCACTTAAACTCAGAGAACACTTAGTCAAGAAGAAGACCAAGTGTGACGCTGAAAATCCAAACATATGAAAGGGTAAAGAAGGTTTTTAATGTAAGTTACAGTACGAGTGAGACCAAGTGAAGGTCAGTAGTTAGCAGGTGAAGAAGGTTCCATCATCAATGGAAATTTCTGATGAATTAGTAATACTTGGAAAGGTTTGAATACCCAGTCGAGCATAGAATGGAACTAGGAAAAGCACTTAAAAGAAAGTGACATATAGACAAAAATGAATTACTTAATACACATGTTAGTTTTTAGAAATTAATTATAATAATTATAAATTTCGTATCTCAGATGTGATTCTTCCATTCTCAACGGATCGAAAGAAAAGCATTGAATCTCTTGTGTCTGGTAAAATCCACTTCTTTTCCGAGTGAAAAAGGTTGTGATGAGTCAGCTACGCGGTTTCTTGTTGTGGTTGCTTTGTGGGGAGTAAGAAAGTTTAAAAATGAAATGGAGGAACAGAGGTCAAAAAATAGGACATAAGAGACAAAGGATGAGATGTGAGATGTGAGATTTACATTTCCATTTACATTTGAAAAAGCAGGCACGGTTTGTGAGTTAATGAAAATTGTGTCCACATTGATAGTGGCATAGTCTACGGATTAGGAGACACCTGTGTAGCACATACAGAGGGACACTAATTCTTCATTTTTTTTGTCTTTCTCTGTTTGAAAAAATGCTGAGAGTCATGGTAATACTTTATGGTAATGCTAATTGGATTATGGTTTTACTCTTTCTAATTTCATATCAAATTGAAAATACTTCATTTATCAAATATTATATAAAAATGATTCTTATACTTTTAAAATGATTGGAATAGGTCCTTATTTTAATCAACGTTAAATAAATATATGGTAACCCATGTAATGAGAGATAATATGACCAATTCATTATTTGACACGAGTAATTATTAAAAAAAAAAACAAAACTCTTCTTAAAAAAAATAGAAATTATTCAACAGATATTATTATTACAAAAAAAAAACAAAATTAAAAAATAGAAGTTTTTCTTTTTTCCTCACGCACCCAAGCTCTTCTGTTATCATCACAACCATTTTCATTCTATCTTCTTTCCTTGTCATAACTACTTTTTGTTCTCTCTTCTTTTCTCGTCACACACCAAATGTCTTTTCTTTCTTCCCCTTTCCCTGTAAAAGTTGTATGAAGTCAAAGTGACTTTGAAGTTCGAGGGTTCTATCGGTTCGTTGTGGTTCGATTGACAGTGCGACGGTGGTATACCATAGCTAGGGTTTTTATTTCCGAAAATTAAGATAGAGAAGTTTAAATGGCTTATAAATGGCAGAGAAGTTTAAATTTCTTTTTAAATGACTTTTAAATGTTATAAATACGGATTTAAATGACTTTTAAAAGCTTGACACCTTTTAATTTTATTTTTTTAAATAATTACACGTGTCAAATAATGAATAAGTCATACCATTTCTGTTAGACATGTCAGCATATACTTAACGTTATTTAAAATAAGGATTTATTTCAATCATTTCAAAAGTATATGGATCATATTTATGTGAACTATCACGTATGTAACTATTTTCAATTTCACATGAAAATATAGGGACTAAAACCATACTTAACCTTTTACTTTGTTAGGGGTATTCACTTAAAAAAAACGTTAGGTTAACATGTCATCTATATTTTTTATTTTTATCAACAACTCTTCCAATTGTTTTTATGAAGTTATTGATTTCATGTTGAAACGTTTTTAAATTAATCAAAATAATTTACTAAAATTATTATAATTTTATTTGAAATTTATATTTCAAACTTGAAGAAAGTTTACTTCTCAAACTAATGCTTTTAAGTTTCATTGGTTAAGATAAAGTCAAATTCGTTTAGTATTTTTGTTTAATCCAAAACAACAAAATTCATGCTTTCAATCTAATAGAAGAGAAGACAAAGGAACATAGGACGTTAATTGGTGAAGAGAATGGAGATAAATGGATCTTTTAATAGAAAGGATGAATGTCATAATAGATAGGATGAGAACGTTTTTTTTTTTAAAAAGAAATATTTAGTTATTTCTAATTGGCTAATATTATGCATCAGTTCATTATTATTTCTAAAAAAAATAACAAAATTAATAAAACATAAATAAAGAAAAAGAAATGAAAAATTAAGGTAAGAATGAAACATATAACTTTTTCCCCAATATATTTCAAGAAGTCTCACTTCATTGAAACAGAAATGCGAGTTTCAGATTGAATTATCAACCCACACTAACTAGGAATTTTAATTTCGAACCGGCTAAACATCTAAGACTGTAGTACTAAAACAAAAATCCAGGAAAAAAAAAATGAACCCCTGAAGAATGTATGCTATGTGAGGATGCAGGATAATCAGTAGCCCGCCATGGCAATTGCACCACCAGAGCTAGAAAAAAAAGTCTGGTCATTTCCACCAGTTGCTTATGATAAAAAGTTTTGCTGCCCTTCCACCAACTCAAACTGAAACTCTAGTTTGTTTCTTATAGTGTAATTTCGTTAACGCCATGTGTTGGGAACACAAGATTGTCACTATTGTAATTAATATACAACTTAAATTTATTTTGAAAAGACAATTCTAAAATTAATTAAAGATATCTAAAAATTTCATGGGATACGGAGGAAATACCCATGTACAATGGTACATAATCAACTATCTTCCATTTCGCAACTATAGGTTTTTAGGTTATTACCTGTGGAGAATTGAACCATTTCCTAACTAGAAAAAGAATTAAACGAGAAACATAAGGACAAAATCTTTGAGTGGTTCCATCATGCGCTAACAGTTTTCGCGGACTTGTAAAATATAAAAATTCCTGCTCATCAGTTGAGCATGTTTAGAACCTCAACTATTCCTCTTCTTTTCCATCTACTTTTCTATTCTGAGCTCAGACTAGTGCCATTCCCTTTTCTCTAAATCCACCAAAACAAATTGTTACAAGAAAAATAGGGTACACAATTAGCGCATCAGAAAAATTTCAACCAATAAAAAGATATATAATCCACTGACGATGATTTCTTCAGCTAGCAAGAGCCAACCAACTACAGCCATTCAATAGCAACAACACACCACACAGTACTATCTACAGCAGCTAATCATATATATATGATAGAAAAATTTTAAAAGCAACTTCTAGAGCTCGAAATTTTAAAAGCACATCTTTTCAGCTAAACATGCAAGTTGAACTATTCTTATTGCGCTTATCTCAGCTCTACAGTCCAATTCATCTCATCCTCCGTAAGACCCATCTGTAGTCTGGTTAGGACAGTATACAGTTGCTGTGAAACCACGCCAATACCATCCCCATATGATACCCTGCAGAAATCAAAATGAAAAATGTCAATCATTTATTCTGAATGTCTTTATAACCAATAATTGGCATAAGAGTTTCAAGAAAAACTCGGTTGACAGAATACTTGGTTTAAAGCAGGGTTTGGGGGGCGGGAGGTGGGGATCAATGACGAATATCTGACCATTTTCATTTTTTCGTTACTAAATTATAAGTTTTGTTTTGCTCTCAGTTTGTTAATGTACAAAATGCAAATTGCCTGTCACAATTACTACAATGTACCTCTTGCCAAGATAAGTAATACTGCCAACAGGTGATACAACCACAGCTGTTCCCGTGCAGAAGACCTCATCGGCATCTAGCAATTCATCCACTGACACTAATCGCTCCTCAACCTGCATATGTCAGATGAACAGTGGGAAATGAAGAAAAAAATGTGTAGCTAATGCCATTAGAAACAAGTAAAGAGTAGTGTAGTCTAAAATCTAAATAATAAATGTAACCTCTATCTTGTGATTTTCCAGGTGATATCGAGGAACACTTGGCAAAGATCAACATTAAAAGAAATAAATAAACAGAGAATTACAATCAAATGATAAAAAAATTTAGGTGGTCAATGCCTAAACAAAGGGATAAAGAGCAAAATGGTCCCTACATATAAGAACAAGAGAAATATTTAGAATACACACTACAATGGGATAAAACTTATCAAAGATATGAAATAATGGGAAAATGTGATTAGGTATGAATTAAGAGAAGAAAATGGTATTGTAAAATATATTAAATTAACAAAAGAGCAATCAAATTCTAATATGCTGAAATATAAAGTAGTTTCTAGAATATAATGGAGCTATATCTGTAGGTCATATATATATATATATATATATATATATATATACGCACACATATTGTATCACTCTTATATAAATACGCACAAAAACTTTTTACTCCCAAGTCCTCATTGTTTTGTGCCACCTAGGTGCTATTTTTCTGCTCATCTCATTTAATTTGCTTTATGGTATCAGAGCTTCCCCTTTATCACTACTGATTCCTTCCTTCCAACAAAATTTCAGGCACTAATTCTAACACAACAAATTCAAGTCCGATCCTGATCCAAACATGTAGTGTGCCTACAGATCCTAATCTTAACCCCTCTAGCCCATACCATAACCATCCTCGCGAGGGTCATGCTTTTGTCAATATCACACAAATATTAGATCAAACCAACTGTCATTCTTGGTCCAAGTCCATTTGTACGACTTTAATTTCCAAAAACAAAAATAAAATTTCTAACCGAACTTATACATGTTCCTTTGGTCATAGATTCGTTATACTATCATTGGGAGAGTTACAACACATTGATAATGTTATTGCTATTAAACTCTTTGTCCCCCTCCATTTAGAGTGTGATCTTCAAATGCGTTATTGACATTTGGACTGATCTTCAAGAGTAATTCTCCCAAAGTGACTGTCCTAACAATTACACAACCCTTAAATCCTTTTGGGAGGAGCTAGACAACTATTGTCCCTTCCCTACTTGTTCTTGCCTCACCAAAACCTATCACCAACAGGATTTCATCATTCATTTTCTTAAAGGCCTTGATGACCCCTTCTTTATCAGTAACTCACATATTTTGCTTTTGGATCCTCTACCACCAATAAATAGATTTTTCTCCATGATGAATCAACAAGACCGTCAACTTCCATTTCCTTTACCTTCAATCATTGAGGAGCCCGTTTCTTTATCAATGTTGCTAGTCCACCATCCTATAGCATGCCAATGGTCCCCAAAATGGAATCATAAAAGGCACCTCCAACAAGAAGTGCACATACTGTGGCCGAACTAGAGATATAATTTGGATACCCACCCAATCATCCTCGATATCCAGAATGATCGCGATTCCACAATCATGACTCCACTTCCTCCACCAACAGTGTTGCAACCTTCTCTGTCCACATCACACAAGTACTTTCTGATTCTATCAACAATCTTCACATGGACTAGGGTTTAACCTAACTTAGGCATGATATCAACACCTAATGGACCTTTATCTAACGACCAAAATCTGCTTCAGGTGATGTGGTCTCGTTTGATACTATTCAGCCCATTTGGGCCAACCTTTCCTAAGTCACTGACTCTTTTCATTTTTCCAAATGTATTGTTTCGCATAATTTATGCACCTGTGGTCATAATCACATTTTTATAAACCACACACTTTTCGTCACTTACTCACACACTATACCTTGGATCATTGATTTAGGTGTCACTCATCGTATTGTTTCCTCCTTGCATCGTTTTCAGATTCACTCAAAAATAAAACTTTTCGTATTAATTTGCCTAATGGTACTACTGTCTCAATTCATTTTTTTGGAACAATCTCTTTTCCTCCAATCTATGATGTGCTCTATATTCCTGGATTTAATTTCAATCTCGTTTCTATTTCTAAATTAATTTCTTCTCTCAAATATATTCTCACCTTTTCTGAGATTTATTACAAAATACAGGAAGTAAGTATATTGAGGATGATTGATTTGGCTGAGTTGAAGAAGAAGCTTTATCACTTAGAAATCAATAAGAAAGCCGAACTTTTACAACCTAACATTCCCTTTATCAACAATATTGTCACCCCGCCACCACTAATACAAAACATTTAGGGATTGCTTGTCATCTTGTTCGTGTGGAAAATCTCAAGTCGGTTTGATGCACTTGCTTCTACTTTTTTTTTTTTCCTCATCAACTTGCAGATATATTACCAAAGCTCTTTCACCTAGACCGTTTCACTATAATCTATCCAAGTTGGAGCTAATCAACATCTTCCTACCTCCATCTTGTGGGCAAATAACAGAAGAACAACCCAATTTGGCCTGTATAATAGCAGAACAACTCAAATCTAATATGGTGAGTTGGAACAGTAAGGACATTTTATATTTATATACACACACGTATTGTATTTCTCTTATATGAATACACACAAATCTAATTGGTGAGCTGTAAACATGCAGTAGTTTCTAGAATATAGTGAGTTGTAACAGTAAAGGGCATTTTTTTTCTTATCTTGTTAGGTCATATATATATATATATATAGACACACACGTATTGTATCTCTCTGCTACGAATACACACAAAAAAATTTTACTCCCCAGTCCTCGTTATTTTTGTGTTGCCTAGGCCCTATGATTCCTCTCCAATAATTTTGTTTCCTTTTATAAATTATGTCAATACTGTTTGCAACACAAGATATTTATCTTCTATCAGAGTTGTTGTAAAGTTACCAAGTAAAGAATTTTTTATTAAATTGAAAAAACATGATTGATTGCAAGATAAGTGTTGTGGAAAGCTTTGAAAAAGTAAAGTGTTCACTTGGATGATTTTCGGATTATACAACATGCATGACAGGACACAAGCGTGAGAACTCTCGAAGACAAGGCAAAAGATTATATTGTAAGGATGGATCAACACCAAAGTTTATTAACATATCCCTTGTTTAATCTAGACTTCGATTGAATGTACTTAGTTGGGACACACAAACGATTATCCCTAAATGTATACGTTTGCATATAATGTAGTCTTGATTGAAGAATCAAAGGAAGAGATTAACTTTAAACTAGCTATGGAGACAAATATCAAAATCAAAAGATTATCACTTGAGTTGGGGTGACACAAAGTATATTCATAGCAACTTCAGCTTCAACAAAAAACAAGAGGATCTATATCACAAAGTGGTGGAAAAATTAATGAAGATATCACAAACATGATACAAGTTGGGTAGTTAAAATAGAGGAAGACATGGGGGATTTTGATTACGAAGTACCAACCAAGCTCAGGGAAAATTTATCTTATTGTACTTCTATAAATTATGAAAGTGAATCTTGAGCTTTAAAGTAAAGATGTTAAGATGAATGTGTAATCATACAAGAAAGGACATTATATGGGATGATTGTATAAAGATATTGGTGTAACATCTATTGTGAAAAATATGAGAAAAAAATCAGTTAAAGTGATTAGACACGAGCAAAGGAAAGAAGGTTAATAATAAAGGCATTGATGAAAAAGTAGATAGTGTGTTTTTTAGTCCTGTCAGAATGGGTAGAAGGAAACCAAGGATACTAAAGAATTTATTAAAAGGGAATCATGGTGAATTATATCCCTGATAATTCAGGTTTTAACTGAGATTAATGACTTCCTATGAACTATTTAGCCAATTTCACTTAGTGGGATAAAGTTGTTTAGCAGTAAATTAGAAAGCATAGCTCACAAAGGTAATAAATAACACAATTGTAAGATATCAAACACATAGTAATCATCAACCATCTCCTTAACTTGAAATTTAAAATACCTGGAATCCTTGGCTAAGAGCAACATCAATTATACTTTTGCGAGTAATGCCAGGTAGGATTGTCCCTTTAATTGCTGGAGTTGAAATAACGTTACCCTGAAAGCAAATAGGAATAATAGAAGTATGACATAGTGAGTTCTAATGAAAAGGATAGTGCTTGAAAACAATGCATGTAAGCTTGAACATGGTGTGTAAAAGGAAAGCACAAAAGATCACCAAGGAAGTTTACAAAAACTCCATGAGAAAAAACATGTGAAAAGACCAGATTGAAAAACTTCATAGTCATTCGGACAAGATTTATATGAAACTAACAAATTTGTTCAGACTAGTGTAAAAAGTTTCCTTTATTGAAGCCACCAGGAGGATGGTGAGATATGTTTGTAGGATTTTGTGCATACTCCAAATAATACTTTTGACCTTGTAACCAACTGATTTATACAACTTACATTTACATATTGTGTTGAAATTCTTGTTTAGAAAAGGTGATAAGCAAAAGGACAGATTCATAGAGGAGAGCATTTCAGTTGTTGAAAGCTTGCAATTTGCAAAGGGACCGACTTGTTGAAGTGAGCTTAATGGATCAAGAGGCTACCATTACTAACAAATTTTGCAAGTATAGCTAGAAGAATAAGTCAAATCAATAGGGCTCATTCAAGAAATTGATAGAAAAGTTGCAGGTACACTTAAATGCATGGTAATTCTGATTACTACAAGAAATTCATCATACTATCCAGCAGGTACACGTCTGGGTAAGTTGTTTATGCATTTGTGAGAGAAAAGAGATGTGGCAATTGGCAAATAATTCAGTGCATGAAAATGTAACAGCTGTGCATATTAACAACGATAAATATGTGTAAACATGATCCTGAATTCAAACTGGTTCATTAATACCTTAACAACAAAAATGTTGCATGAAGAAACCTCCTCCAAATATCTTTTGTTCACACAGTCAAGGTATAAAACATCAGAGTAGCCTTTAGCTTTTGCTTCAGACTGTGCCTTTAGAACCTATAAAGAATAATGGCACATGTTCACACATAGAGAGAAAGTAATTTATGTATATATATATATATATATATATATATATATATATATATATATATATATATAGAGAGAGAGAGAGAGAGAGAGAGAGAGAGAGAGAATAATAAAGTATGTCAGTAGCAAGAAATGAGAATTAAGAAGAGGCAGAAAACTGAAGCAAGCAAAAAACCCTCAGTTTTCTCCTATTTAGTATTTACCAAATATAAAATATCAATTGAAATTTTAAAAAGGAGAAAATCTAAAGTTTGAAACTCTTTGATAATTTAAATTTAAATAAAATACAGAGAAAATATAGGAACAAGTGATAGTAGACAACGAAGAAGAAAGGAGAAGGGTATGCAGTCTGGCTTACTGCAGCATAGTTTCCAATAGTCTTCACCCCTCCAGTGCCACCAGGAGTTGCACGATGTAATTCATTTTCCACAATCAAATTGATTGGGGCCAAACCTTCCTGTGGTGAAATTGATACTTTATTATTTTTTGGAGGGACACAATTATGTTTAATGTTGCAACAGTAAAAGATGCAAAAAATAAACAAATGTGACAATGTTATGTTGAAAATAATAATTATTAGGAAAACATGATGCTATACAAATATAAGTTGTAGAAGTAGAAAGTAGACTGCTGCATGTTTTATTCATCTTTTCATACTAAAAAATTAACCCATTCAGCCACATCAGCAAAACCTAATAAAATTTAAATTTCTATTGATGTTGCATCTCAATTCTCAAAATACCCAGCAAGTCGCAGACTATGCGATTTGGATCAAAATTTGTTGTTCTCATCTGAAAGAGGATAATGAAATTGGAAAACTTATATAATCAAAAGTATAGACGCTGTTTTTCAGTGAAACAAGATAGATAACTAACCTTGAAGTAGTTCCCAACAGGGGAAACATATATCAGAAAGGTGTACTCCGGAGAAGGTGCAAGACCAAGTACAGGTCCACTTCCCATTAGCAAAGGTCTAATGTATAGGGAACCTTTACCTGGAGGGGGAACCTGAAACCAAAGTTAATCTGAACAATCTGCTGTGCATTACAATTTCTAAAATTTTTAAGGCGATGACAGGGCTCCATAGCACCCATACCCATCGTTTGTTAGCTAGAACAGTGTCCTTTACAGCTTCAACAAACTGCTCCACTGTAGGCGACGGCATGCACATCCGCTCTGCACCTATCTGCATCCGCAGACCATTTTCTTCAGGACGGAATAGGAGTATATTCCCATCTTGTTTCCGATACGCTTTCAAACCCTCAAACAATCCCTACATTCGTGGAGCAGAGAAATAAATTCTCCATCAAACAAGCACATAATGTAAATTCAATTAAAATGTTAAGGATTCCGATACGATACAACTAGTTGGATTTCAATTCTAGAACACTACAATGTAGTTAAGCATTGCTTTCGGTTCAAAAGCAATTCAACAAACGGAACAACGACAAATTGGGAGCTGAATATGCAATGCTCAAATAAAATATAAGCCAACCTGGCCGTAGTTAAGAATTCCAGCGGAGGGGTTCAATTCAATGTTCCCAAAACGCTGAAGTTCACCTTTGGAGAAGGTTCCCCCTCGAGCGCATTTCATGATATACATATAATCCGTGGGTTGAAGGCCAAACCCAAGGCTGTCCCATTCTATGTCAGCTAATTCAAACGTTTCACTGTTCCATTCCAATTCCGGAGTGATTATTCCGATCAAACAACGGAAGCATAAAAAGAAAATTAAAAAAAAAAAAAAAACGAAAGGGACAAGAAAGAACCTGTAGGAATCAGAGAGAGTGACAGAATGCTTGAGAGGAGAAGCGGCTTGGAGAAGATTGAGCGAAGGGAGAGGAGAGTGGTTTGGAAAAAGCTGCAGATAGAGGGAAAAAGAATTAGGGAAGAAAAAAGAGGATAGTGAGAGAGATGAAGAAGGAAAAACCTTGAGAGACAAAGAGAGAGAAGGTTGGAAGAGGAAGGGCGATTGGTGAGAAGCAAAATGTCGAGAGGGGCAGATCGGGTATGTTAGTCGAATGCGTGGGCAGACGGCGCTGCTCTCCATTTTCTTTCTCTTTATCTCTAACAAGACGAGAGTAAGAGGGTACGTTAAGCACGTGGGATACACTTCTGTGATTCTGAATCTCTCCCTTCATCCTTTGTTTTGGAATAATAATACTATAACTAGTAGTTTTTGGCAACAAAAGAAAAAAAAAATCAAATCAATGGATTCAAGCATCGCGGCGAAAGTTGACTGTTTATTATCGATGTGATTGCCAAATCACCTACACCTTTCTGAAAACACGTGCGCCCTCTCACCCGTCCAAACTCCTTCATTTAAGTTATTTTAAATTTGAGAAAAATATTTTGAGCCGTCTAAACTCCAACTGCATTGCGTGCAATTTATAATGAGGGTGCAGCGGATCACTCCAATTTTTTATTTTATGATTTTGGAACAGAATGGATAGTCAAATGAGTTTATGATAGGAAGTGTAGTGAAAGCAGTAGCACTTTACCTAAGGCGGCTATTTTTTATGCGCATGCTTTGAAGCACATTACCTACGTGCTTATACATCTAATAAAAAAGCCCACTACGGTCGAGTAGTTGATCAAAGTTTGGATAGACTCTCTATGTATATATATTATATTTGTTTGATAAAAACTATAATTAATATTTTATTCTTAAATATTAAATTGACATATTTTTCAACAGTAATTAGATTTATTTGTTATATATGTCTTTCTTAATTATTTATCATTTTTTAAATTTATATTTTTTCTTGTATAATTAATTTGATTAAAAATAAAATAATTTTGATATATTTCATTTTCTCAAAAATTACATATATTTATTTGATATAATCATTTCTATAATTAATTTGATTAAAAATAAAATAATTTTAATATATTTCATTTTCTCAAAAATTACATATTTTATTTTATATAATCATATAATTGTCGTTTATAGATACCTAATTAAGAAAGAAAAATATTTATACTAGATAATTTTTTTCAAGTTATAAATCTCTTAATAAATAACAACAACACTTAATTCCACCAGACGATTTTAATACTTGTGAAATCAATACTTGATATTCTTTATAACAATCCAATGTTGAAATAGAAATAAAAGAACATAATTGATCTAGTAATGTTTTTGAAGAAGTGCTTGTAATTAAGGATGTCAACTCGATTTATATGATTTCGTTCATCCAATGATAGAGTTTAACTTCTATTAATATTTATGATTTTTACTCTTAAACTTGATTATTAAATATACCTACTTATATATTTACAAATTGCATCCCATCCTTTCACATTCTTTCATCTTTTCATATTTGTTTATTATTTATTAATAATATATTATTTGACCTCCTCAAGATCAAGATCAATGATCTAGATCCTTCACTGAATTCATCATGGACGGAGTTGAAAATACACTAGTTCAACACGACTTGCTTTATGATGTCAGAAATTTCACAACCTAGTTCAATCCACTACGAGTTGGTGGGTTGGATGTGTTAATAATCCCGTAGGTACCGAAACCATTAAAAGAACGCCCAATAACTTATTGGGCACTGTACGAAGTATTTGAAATACAGAAAAGAAATACCATTCAGGTAGTATTTCCAAAGGAGTTGCAAATGGATCAGCGGGTTCCCCAATCATGGATGGTTCTAGAACCGCTAAGCCTACGTTACAGGCAATAGCCAATATTTATTTTTTTGTTATTTGATTTTTGATAATAAACAAGGTTGAATTGTGGGATTGAAATAAAGTGTCACGGTAGTACATTAAACATAACAAACATGGTAGCACAATGATAAAATAGACGAATGGCTAGCAGTTCAGATGCAACAATGGATATAGTGGTGCGATGGATAATTGATGACAAATTTATGTGAAATTTGACTTGTAACGCGATAATATAGAGTAGAGGTGGAGAAACATAATAACATCAATTAGGGTTAATAAATTATTATAATTATTTTTAAAATTTAAAATAAATGGTGGGTTACAAGTCAATCCTCTATAACCAAAGTGAGTCGGGTTCATTTTTAATCCATTATGAATAAAAAATAAAAAAAGCAAATTTAATCTAGCTCAAACCTCGTGGTGAGTTGGATTGACTCATAGTTACAACCCATATTGACACATTTAATCAAAGGTGTATCGGTGGAAGTATTACTTGATAGACGGATAACCTTTTACATCCTTAATTAGCTCACTACTTAAAATTACCATGAACCTATTTTTAACTTTCATGTGTTAATTGAAAATGATAATTCACTTATTGACAAAAGTCTCATGAGAGAATTGAAAGTTAAAATCCAAGAACATTCCTTTAAAACTTTCTATTTATCTTGTATCAATTATTAGAGTAGAATTGTTATTAAGTATTGAATGAATAATAATTATTAGGACTGACATTTCTTATTATTGATATTTAGTTTTAAAACTTTACTAAAAAATTAATTAATTATGGTGAGAAATTAAAATTTCTTATTTTGGATCCGTGTACTCACCTCGATGAAATGTACATACTAAGTTATTACTGAATTTTTACATTGTTACATAATAATCTATTGACACATAACCTGAATTGATCATTCTACTTCATACTTAGAAAAAGATCTTTACTTAAATCTTAAATTCTAAATCTTCTTAATTGAGATATAAGATCTAATAAAATAGAAAATTTTGATATTACTATAAATATTAGATTGAATTACATGAGTTGTATTAAATTTTTTTGGTACTAGGTTATATCATTCCCTAGTAATAGATCTCAAAACCACACTATTCCATTTAAAAAATGTTTCATTTTTTTTTATGATTCAACCTTGTAAGTATCCGGATAGTTAAAAAATAATAAATAAAAACTATAATTTAAGACATGATGAAAAAATGAATTATTATGTAAAGTACAAACTTGTTCTCTTCACTTATATTTTTTTAATAAAAAAATATATAAAGATTTTACATTTACTTTAAGTCTTTAATGTTATCACGTAACTTTTCCATTCTTATGTAGATAAGCTGATTGATGATTTGGTTGAAGTATAGTAGTTATGTCTTTTGAGTTCACATATGCTAACCGATAATGTGTTTAAAGACTGTCGATAAAAATTATATTTATAATATATTGGTATATATTCTTTCTTGAAATTCTCATCAACAACTTTTAAATCAGTAAAAACCTAAAATCTAGATCAATGCTTCTTTTCATCTATCCGAATTGAAGGAATCTAAGAAGAGAAACAACAAATGACTTCAGCATAAATGGAATGTCAAACCAATTACTGATCTTCAGAGATCCGCAGGTCTTGTAGGTTCACGGTCCCCCACCTCAAATCAACTTTATATATATATATATATATATATATATATATATATATATATATATAATTTTTTACATAATTTTTCATTTATATATTTATTATTTTTTTCCCATTTTTTTTATTTTTTTCAGATATTTATTTTATTTTTTTATTTTTATATATTTTATTTCTATTATTCGTTAATTTTTTTTGCTATTCCAATTTTAACTTTTAACATAAAAATTGTAATTTTTTCTTTTTATTTTTAAATTTATATTTTTTATAATTTTATGTAACATAAAAATTATATTTTATATTCTCTAAATTTTTATTTTTTCGTATAAGGTAAAGAGTAAAAAAAATAAGATATATCTCACAATATTTTCTTAAATAAAAAATAGTAATTAATTTTGTTTATTATTATAATATACTAGTATAATATAAAAATATAAAATATTACTATAATTTTTTTATTATTATAAATTAATTAATTATTTTAATATTTGATGATATTTTATTTAGAAGTATACAAAAAAATTAAGTTAGATATTAAAAATATCTAAAAATAAAATTATAGATTCAGTTTAAAAAAAATAAAAATAAATTTAATTTAATTTATTAAAATTTAAATTTAATTAATAATATTAAATATATAATATATTTATTTTTACATTATAATTAATATTTTCCGCTTATCTTATTATTATCTGTTTCTCGGAGGAACTTAATGATCATGTTTAAGGGTCCCCTGCTGAAGTTTTTTCTTCATAGATACTTGTGTTGGTTTGCGTCCGTACATTAGTTTTATGTTCATACTCCCAACTTATCTCTGCTCGCTCAGCTTCAAGTCTTCTCGTCTCAAACCAAACCTGTTCGGACTCTTTAGCTGCTTTTCCTTCAAGAGCATTCATGTATTCGAGTTCATTGTTCTTTTCTTCCTCAAAAGACTTTTCCCTTTGCTTTAAACAACTTTCTGTTTCTTCACGCCTCTTCTCAATAAGGATATTCATGATCCTCGTCTTCATCTCCACGCCTTGCAAGAAAGCTGCACGCTCTTGCTCCATCTTGTTCATGAACTCTTCTCGTTTGCAGATAATCGTCTCCAATCCTCGGTTTTATACTGATTAAGCATATTTTCAAGCTCCTTCCTAATGAAAGCAGAGAGTGCCTTCTGTTCCGCAGTTCTTCTTTCTTTTCGTCAAGAAGCTCCCACTCAACTTTAATCTTGGCTTTTTCTGCTTTCAGCTTATCTGCCTCCGCTACAATTCCCAACTTTGGAGATCTTACAAGATTATTTCATTTCCTTTAGTTTCACTTGCAAAACTGACAAGTCATTTGCAAAACTTGCCTTAAATTATTTTCCAATGATACCAAAGACTTCTGTACATCTAACTTTGTTTTCTTTATCTCTTCTTTCTTCTGTTGCAAAAGAACTTCATTTAACTCTAATTCAGAAGCTCTCATGCTTTAAAATTTTTCTTTAAGAGCACTTGACATATCCACCACATCCTTCTCCTTCTAACCCAGTGCACTTGACAGGATTCCAACTCCTGCTCTCTTTCCAGGTGTTGCTCCTCTCGTCCTTTGAGATCTATTTCATTCAATTCCCAAGCATGCCTTTTCATCTCAATTTCATTCTCAACTAATATAACCTGAATTTGTAGCTCACCTTCGAAATCATTCTTTCTTGCTCAAAGTTCAGATTTCTGAACAGCTGTAACTTCCTAAGTTTCATCTTACATTTTCCATCAAACAAAATTAAAGAAACAACATGTAGAAAAAGTTCACAAGTTGAAATAAGATAAAGTAGAGATAGAGAACATACAGATTCTCGACCAGCGAGTTTCACTTGAAAATCAAGTAATTCATGCTCTTTGTTGTTCACCTCAGTTTCCCGCTTAGTTAGTGATTGTATCACAAAATGTAAATCCAAGCCAAGTAGGCAAAGTTAGAAAGTACTAGTACTACTTTAATCTTGACCCAACTGAGATTTTTCGAAAAGGAACCTCCTCTCTTCTTGTTAGGCATAAACTTCAAACTGGTTTTTTCATCACAAAGGACTCCCTGTTCCTTAATAATAATATTTGTTGTGCCCTCCAACTTTTTAATGACTAACTAATTCCTGAGATCTACTAAAAAGAAGGTCCTCTCTCTGGTTGAGCAAGGTTTGTGATTGTAGCAACCTTTCCTGTTTTGAGCGCAAACTTTCTTGCCTTTCAAGAATTATCTTTCTCTTTTTCATCACGACCGAGCGAGTGTTTGTAACGGCAAAAATACCAATGTGTTGATTACGGAAGGTATGACAGTATCGACAGTTAGCTGAATAGTCTATACTTTTGTAATGATTTCAATCATTTTGCCTACAGCAAAGACAAAATTCTGTCCATCAAATTTTTTTCTTGACTTGTCTCACAACCTCATCTTTAGCATCCATGTACAAATCAATGCACAGTATTCTCCTCAGAAAATATTTGTAAACAGAAAAATACAAGCTGAATCCGTGACATATCAGTGTTAAACATGTAGATGTAGTCATACAAACGCATACTCTGATTTGAAAGATATAATTTGCAGTCTGAGTTCATCTTCATGTGCTTCAAAATCCCGAAGCTTCCTGTCTGCACCACCGTTATATCCACAAGCCTCTGCCTGAAAGGATTCCGCAGCACACAGCTTGGCCTCAGCCTCGGTACATTTTTTTCTGTGCTTTGTCTATCAATTGGTGTGCTTCAAAAACTTTACTCTCACTCAGCTGAAACCTTTGCTTCAGCACATTCCGTACTCATATCATGCAAGGCCTTCTCAAGCTACAGAAATCCAAAAAATACCCAAGGTAGAGTGAATACGCAAATATTTTGGATGAAAGGGACAATTTATATTGTGCAAAAATTCAACAAGCTTACACTTGCTATCCACGCTTATTTGACTCCTACTGCCTTTCTTCAAGCTCTCACTCCCGTTTCCTTGTGTCAATTAATGCATATAAATGCATGGCTGAATCATGCTTATGCGTAAGCTTAGATGAATCAATCGAAGCCTTAATTTGCACAGACTTGGAAGCCAATTCCTTTCTCTCGACGATGAGACAGTCCATACAGTGCAGTTGGTCGTATTCGTATATCTATGTAAAATACAGGTTAATAGAAAGTAAAGGCTGAAACGAAGATGGTAAAAGAGTTCGACTATCACTTGCATGAGGTAATACAACATTGTATCGCATTAGATGATTAAAATCATAGTAACCACCCACCATTTATGGAGTATTCACTTGTAAATATAATTCAATTGACGAACAAGGTTCATCTGAATGATAACAGATTATTTTACTGGACTACTCACTCGAAAATTAAGCATCAACCCAATTTTCAGAGTTTCCTTTTTGCAAATGATTGATGCCAAGTTGCCAACCATCTGAGAAATAATTATTATTCCACAAAGTGATTCTTCATATGAAATCTAGTATATGCTCTGAGGCAGCAGCGGCCTTCATAAAAAACCAAAGAATAAAACCATTTTCTTAATCTTATTATTTGAGTTTTGAAACTAACTCAACATTAAAACTTGGCCATGAGGTGACTTTCTTTTACTTATATACACTACGTTAGTGCATTTGTTAAAAAATAGCATATTTTAAAAAAAATCTAGAAATTGATATATTTATTATTGTTCTTATTATGTGTAAGAAAATCTTAAATTGAACGGAGAATAATCTAATACAAAATTCATATTTAAAATCAGTTTATCTTTTCTATTTTTTTTTTACAAATTTCAATTATTTTTCAAACATACAACTCAAATTAAATGGTTTATTTTTTTTAGAACTAGTTTGTTCTTTTATCATTTAAATTTTCATTTTAATTATATTTTTTCAAAATTTGAATCAATTACGTATGTGAAAATATTTCAAAAAACAAATATCATAGGATTTTTTTTAACTACCATTGTATTAAAATTATTAATGACATTAGTTTTAAGCTAACATTTTTAAAATTGAAATTTTGGTGTGCTTAAATTTCTTTTCCTTGGCTCAACATTTTTTGCACCTAAAAGATTTATCGCTTTGAAGTTTTTTCCGTATGTTGTGTTAAGTTTTTGTCTTGAATTAAATGGTATAGGTCGCCTTTCTTTCTGCTGGTCCCCTAAAAAATCCTTCTTGTTCTGGTGCAAAATGCTTGACCTACATTCGTGGTGGCTTAAGATATTATTTGAGTATCAAAATGATGAATTTTGGTGCAACGGCAATGGAGTGAAGAAGTTTGGGGTGTGTTGGAGTGAGAGTTGGGATATTTATAATTTTAATTCTTCGTGGTGTCTTTTTTTTTTTTTTAACCTAATTTGTGAAGCACGTTGGTAAATTTTAACCAATTTGGCAACTTGAAATTTTGTTTGCCATATCCATATATGCATCAATTCGTTATAATAAAAATGGGAAGAGAATTTTATTAAAAAAAACAAACTAGGATAAGTTAAAGGATATTTTGAGAAAAGATAATTAAAAACAATTTTTTTAAATGATTTTTTTTTCTAAACATATATCCATTATAGTTTATGTTGGAGATTAATTATAAAAGAATGTAATTTATATGTGTCTTTTTTTTTACTTCTTTTAAAAAATATATATAATTAAGCATGTTTTGCAAAACTTTCCCACCTGAACCACAGTGATGAAATTATGCAAAGAAAAGAAAATTATAGTTGTCAATTGTGAAGTCTTTGTCTAAAGTTTAAACAGTGTTTTTGCCTTCAATGTTGATATGGCATGGAATTAGGCAATTAGGGCCACCACTCCATCTACCTCTCTCACTTCTTGAGTGAGGCCATAAGAAAATAATGTCTCCAATTAAAGTGCCATGTTACCTTGTTTCCCCTTTCCACCTGATTGACCCCGTTTCAGCCACAATATATAAATAAACTGTTCTTTAACCCAATTAAAATACAAAATAAAATACATGTTCCTCATCAAAACTTGAAATTCACCAAAATAAAAATAAAATAAAATTCCCTCTCCTTAAAATCCCATTTCACATTAGGAAATCCTTCAAACTTCATCTTGTTTTCACTAAACTTTTAACATCTAAGCTAATAAATCATTTCATAACTCAAATTTTTCAAAAAAGAAAAAAATGTTTATTTTAACTTCTAAACTTTAACATCAAAATAAAAGATCATGATTTTTCCATTTTAAGTAAGAAAATTGTCTATTTTTTAAACTATAATAATTTAATTAACTGAGAAATTTAGAAAAGAAAACCACACATATTTCAAATTAAATGCACCCCAAAATTGCATTCAAACCCATTATGTACTATAACGTCTATCACAAACCAAAAAAAGAAAAAGCTACTCTCTTCGGCATAATTTCATAACAGTGTGTAATAGAATTGAGATTGAAAATAATCGAATGTCATGGCCACGGGTCTGATCCCAAATGATGAAGATTTATATCATCCTCTCCATCCTGAATCCTGACCCACTCTTGTTGAACAACGCACGGAGAAAATGGAGTCATTAATTAATATTGTGGGGTACCCTACAGTGCTAACTATATAGTATCAAACCAAACCCCTCTCACCGAACTAAATTATATGTGAATTTAAAGAAAATAAAAATAAACAGATTCGCCTGGGAAATTTTGAAATATATAATAATAATAATAGAAAGAACTACTCTCTTATTTAAATTCCCCAAGACTCAATCTTTATATATTAGTTCTTTAACAATTCTTCAAAAACGATTGTATCAGCTTATTGAACAAACATTAACTTAAAATTCTCACCCGTTTTTCATTTTATAAACTAGGTTTTTATTATTATTTTCTCAATTTTTTTTTCACTTTTAGATATATTTCACGTTAAATTTTACTTTTATATATATATATATATATATATATATATATATATATATATATATATATATATATACACTAGTGGTATGCCTTCACTGTAAAAGTTTTTTTAAAATATATAAATTATAGTAATGATTTTTTATATTATTTTTCCATATTTGATAAAAATAATGTTATATTATAATATGACGATAAAAAAAAATTATAAGAAATTTTTTGTTATGTATAATTAGTTGAAACACAGATATTAAGTGTCCATATTTTTTTAATAATTACTTTTAAAAAAAATTCATTTTTTTAAATATATTCAATTTTTTTCTTTTTCTCATTTATAATAACTATTTTTATTTAAATTATAACATTTTTATTTCTTTTCTATATCATGACATAAAAAAAGGATAAAAAGAATTTCCTTTATAAATAATTATAGATTAAAGAAAATATAGACACTATAGCATATGCATGTCATATTATTAATTTTTTAAAATAATAATTATTTTTAATTTTATTTATTTATTAATTTATATCACTTTTTTTATCACATCTATTTTTTTTTCTCTTTCTCCAAATACATCATATTCTATGTTATCTTTCCCATCTCTATCAATAAGATTTCATAAAAAAATAACTATAGAAAGGGAAAAAAGTTATAAAAAGGGAAATCAGCGTACCTCTCTCCTCTTCATATATATATATATATATATATATATATATATATATATATATATATATATAATATAATATAATGTATGTTTATCAGAGTTGATATATGCAGGGATAAATGGTGAATAATATAGGAAAGAACGATATGGTTCTTTCTTGTTCTTTTTTTTCATTATTCCATGAAGCAGCAATATGTAATGAGGAGTTTAACTAACAGGTGTATGGTAAGAGAGAGGTACGAGTTCTTGGAAGTTTAATTCACAGTTCTTTATAGTATGTATTTGTTGGTTAGGAAAAGTATGGGACAAGAATCAAAACGATATCGCAGGAAGCCTATGAAACAAGTCATTATTATGACTTCACTTTACACTGTGTAATGGATAATGAGTTGATACAATACAAGGGTATTATATTTGAAATAAAGATTTTATAAATGGTGATAAATGCAGCATGTTTGTGATGATGGAGCATGCATGCGCCTGAGAAGTTGTGGATAGCCTGAAAGTCTGTTAACTGATGGAGGGACAAAAATATATATCCAATATCATGGCCAGTTCTTCGCAACTGTGAATGGGGCCCTTCTGCCCTAACTTTGTGTCACAACATAACCGGCAAACCAGTCCAACTGTTTTTGCTCCTCATCTCCCAATCTAGTATCTATACATGTGTAACCAATTAATTAGTCAATCTTTTTTTTATTTTTTGGTATGTGTGTGATTTACTTACATAATATATCCACCTCTCAATCCCTCCTTCAGTGGGACCTGCCATAAAATCCTTTCCTTAATTTTCTCCCTTCTGTTCAATCTTGAGACTCCCAGTGACCTTAGTAGTGGAGGTGTGACATGGCTGGGTCTCTTTGCTTTCACTACTTTTAAACGGAAGCATGATGATGGTTGTGTTATGTGTGAAACTCCACTCCACCCAGCAAGTCTTACAAAAGAGACCTGGGAGTGGGGCAATATATATACCTAGCTACACCCTTTTATGCTTTTATCGATAGTCGGTGCGTTTGTTCGATGCTCCCCTCTCACCACTCCAAATATCCAACTAGCTCCATCAACACTACATATTGTCTATTTCACTCCCACCCTTTCAATTTAATCAATCATTTCTGTTTCAAATTTTTAGTCTCTAACTTTGTCTGTTAAATGTTAAGGGTAAATGTTGTCTTTACTCATTATTATCCTCACTCAAGTTGGTATAATTGTCTTCTTGTAAAAAAAAATCCTATGATATAAGATAGAACACTCTGTCATTTCTGTTTTCGCGCGTGCATTAGTTGGAATATTGGAATCAAATCTTCTTCAATTTCGGTTTCTTTGACAGTAAAGTTAAACAGTTCGTGCATGGGCCCCGTATATAGTTGGAGTATTTTTGAAAATAACGTTTTCACGTGGGATTAAGGTTCTCTGCCAAGAGAAACTGAAAAAAGAAAAATGGAATAGATGAAAATAATAATAATAATAAATAAACGGACCAGACTTGGTCACTTTTAATTCTCAATCCTATTTCTTTTTTCACTTAACAAATAAATTAAATTCATTCTTTCTATTTTTCAATTCTTTAACTAGGTATAGCTTTTATATCCTCATTAGGCTAGACCAGTCAGTACCTTTTCAATTACATGAAAATTGATTATATTACAATTTATTGTCTTTGTATTTTTAATACTATAAAGGTATTATATATACATTTTATAATATAGAGGTGTAAAAAGAAATATGCAACATAAGAGGAACTGAAAATTTCCCCTTTTTGTTGTCCTTTTTCCCCGAATATTCTCAGTTCTACTTGCAAAAGCATAATCAGATGAACTTTTATCAACTAGTTTTGCAGATAAGGACCACTTACATATGTTGGCACTTTTTAACTTGAGTAATATTCTATATCCACTTTTCAAGGAGCTGTGAAAACACTTTGGTCACGTCCATAGACAACTAGCGCCGCTACGCTTCAACCTAGCTATTACTTTATTATGTATTTTTACTTATTTGTTCATAAAAAAATATATCTGCCACTAATTTATTTTATTTGGGAGAAATTTATAATAAATCTTACAAGAGGATATCATAAGTGGATTATGAAAAAAGTAGCCTTGTTGGAAATCTAATTGGAACACTCACTCACACTTCATCTCATAATTTAACAGACTTAATTAGTTCCATAGGGCCAGTATCTCAAACTTTAACTACACATTTAAATACAATATGTACACTTGTGTTAACTTATATAAGAATAAACTAGAGAATTTTTGGCATGCATCTTAATCATCAAGTCATGGTTCTCAAAATGAAATGGATAACAAAATATCATTTTTAACTAGATAACAAAATAAGTTATATTAAATTGGTTTTTAAGAATTCATTGAAGTTTCACATACTTATGAAATCCCCAAAAAGTTTAACTAAGTAAAGTTTAAATGTATAAGAAATTTAATTATCATGCTATTCTTTTTCAAAATATTGTTAACTCATTATTGTCAAAAGACCATGAATCTAATTAATTTGAAATAAAATCGGGTTGGTAGATGAATGAGGCATTATTTACTTTAATTATTGTTGGTATGGTTCTTATCATGTTTATACTTTTTTTTTTTTTTTTGCATTTTAGAAAGAAATCATTGTTCAAAAATATTAGAAAAATATTTTTATAATAAATTAAAAATATGACATTATTTTTAATTTAAAACTTTAAATAATATATTCGTGACTTTTTTCTATTTATTTTGTCCGTTTTTTTTTTGAAACTTCCACTTATACGGTCATTAATATTGTTAATTATTTTATTAATATCTTCATATTTATCGGAATATTCTATTTTCCTACTTTGTTAAACGGAAGAGATATTTTTAAAATATTTAAAATGAATAAAAAAGCTTTAAAGTCAGACATTTTGTTCTTGGATTTTCTTCTTTTCTTTCATTTAATTAAATTTTTAAAAATGTTTTTTCCTTTTTTCATTGGAACATTGTTTAAGAAAAAAACACGAGGATAAGAAAGTAGATAGAGAATATTTTGTTGGGAATTAAATCTTCTTTTGATATTCTAACTCCTAACTGAATAAAAAAAAAAAAAGAACGTGTAGAAATAAATAAAAAATGAATGGATATGGGAAGATGGGTATCAAATAATGTTGGGGCTAAGACGTGTGGCAAGTGGCAGTCTGCCACCCTGCACTATAATGCCCAGGCTGAGTAAGCCATTGTTTCCTTGAATAGGACATTTCCTATGCACGCTCACTTCAAACATGCTTAAAAATTCAACCAAAACATAAACTAAGATGAACAAATATATGATGTTTGAACGTTGAAATAAAACGAAAATTTAAAAGAAATGGTTTGCAGAAGAAGTGTGTATGATGATTTATAAAAAATGAAAAAGAACAGGAAGAAAGCAACATGGTCGGTTGGCCTTAAAGGCAGGAACAAACAAACATCACCGAAACCTTATCTCAAATTCTCATCCTTCATCCATCTTTCTATCTTTCTATCTTTCTATCTATCACTCCCAACTCCCAACTTTGTACGCTCCACAATCATCTACTTCCCACGGAATCAAATGCCCATCATACCAAATCATTGGTGGACCCATGTGTCTCTTCCCCGTACACTCCCCCTCGTGTCCCCCATCTTCCTTCGCCACCTGTTTCTTTCTTATTACACAGTTTTTCTTATCTCCATTTCATTTACCTCCTCGCGGTGGAGATCACCCCAGAACCACCACCACCACCTCTTCATTTGTTTTCTTCCCTTTTCTGTCTCTTTCCATGTCATGTGGAAATTTTCAACCCATCTTCAATATTTAAAATACTTTTAATTTAACTATAAAAAATAAATCAAACATCTCCTACACTTCTCATTCGATTAATGCCTACACCGCAGCACCGATGCATCTTCCATCGCTCATCATCCTTATTCTCTTATTCATTCAAGCGTAACTTGTTTTGGAGAATATATCATACCCACGTATATACCATATTACTATATTGTACGTACCTAATATATGATACACCTCCCCCACCTCACTTCTACGTTCGTCCATTACCTTTACAATTTTAATTACTTCACTGTTTCAAAGTCAAGTTCTATCTATTTCCGTTGGGTCCCAAATCGAAACAAAAGCAACGGTTACCCATCTACTTCTTTTTCGTATTCAGCCACTTGCTGACAAAACATCTGCATAATCCTGTTCTAAAATATTTGGTGCTTGATTCCTGTTCAATGATTAACATTTGTCCACGAGTATCCTCATGTTCATTTAGTTACTTGTTCAGGATAAAGTAAATTTTAAACTGATAATACTTAGTTTGGTACCTTTGCTTTAATACTTGGTTAATTCAATTCAATTAAACTAATTTCATTTTTTTATCCTTTCCAATTATCTTTTTACTATATAATTTTTATTTTACCTTTGAAAAATTCTTTGTTTTTTTAATAATTTTAGATACTCGTTAAGTCTAAGAAGAGTGATTATTAAGCTCTTTATTTAAAACACAACAAAGATATTGGCTAGAAGAAAAACCAAAAACTTTAAACACACTTATTAAGAATTTTAAAATGGATGAAAATAAAGTACTTAAAATTTTAAAATATAAATTTTAAAAATAAAAAGTTATTGGATGATTGTGTGGATTAAGATAAGAAGTAAATTAAAAACCTGAATCAATTATAATTTATTTAAATTAAACTTAAATAAATAAATAAATCAGGTGATTACTAATTTATAATCGATGGAGTTTCTGTCTTAAGCAAACCAATTAAAGGCCATGCGGCGTAAATATTTATTGCTTGGTAATTTATTATTTATAAATATTTTGTGACGTCATAAATACCTAGCCGTGAGGTAATAAACTAAATAGTATGTTGGTCCTATTAAAAAGCTTCCAATATACAATTTCTTGTGCCCTACACAAAAAAGTAAGTAAATAATCAGACGCAGAAGTTACTATTATTTGTTGTTTGAAAATTGAAAGGTCGTGTTTCCGGCATTGAAAAGAAAATAGAAAATAAAGGGTGTTTCCCTCTTTTTGACCTTGTTGTGATCGAAGAGGAGATTGGAATTAGATTCAGGTACCGAAAAGCAAAACAACTTGCGTTCTTATTTTCAAAATAATCATTTGCCCCGTCCACTTTTTGTGTAACCATATGATGATGCATCCAATTAAAGTTAAACTAAAGAAAGATGCGTGGGTTTATTCCCATCCAACACCGTGCCCAATTATAATTGATTATTTCTTGAATCCCCGTTGGTTTAATAAAAGGTGAGAGTTTGCAGATTAAAATTGAATGAAAACATTTTGAGCACCCAGTGGTCCATAAATCAATTTTAATGTACATCAATTGACGAGAGATGCATTGTGAAGGGAAGAAGTAGAAGAAGAAAAGGGTTGATGATGTGCGGGAAGTAGCGCTGTAAAAGGTGATGGTATGGTAATAACGCCGTTATTTCCTGGTGACTAATTATTTTAGGTTTATCATTAATTATGGGTGACCTAACTTCTGCTGAGCGTCGCCGACAATGCATTATTGGAAGTGCTTATAGTACTAATACAGAAAAGTAGGGCCCAAACGCTCCACATCAACTTTCTAGTTAAGCAAAGATCCGGATTCTTGTTGATGAATCATATTCTGGCACCATTATAACTCTTTGAAACTCCATTTGTGTCTTATACCTACTTTTATCTCATTTTCTATCGGAAACAAACAAATAGTGCACATCCCTTTCTAATCTTCCACATTCATTATAAGCTAGAGAAAAAAGGGCCAACCATCGCCCCCTCACATTCCTAATTCATTAAAAAGTATACAAGATTGGTAAGCAAAGTGACATGGTACCCATCTCTAACTAGTTCAACAAGGCATGAAGTGGGAGACAGTTCATGTGGGTCTGTTATAGTTACAAAACTTTGTCACACATACATATTATATATTATACACCTTTTCCCCATCTCATTTATTTTGGCTTTTGCGTTATACTCAAAATTTTCGCAATAACTTACCAAACCGTCTTTGCATGAGTGCCAATGCATACACATACGCTTGGACAAATTACCCAATTGTATGAATCCCTGTGTGGTGTGTGGTGAGTGGTGCGTGGTGCGGGTAACGTGGAAAATAAATTAAGAGGAAAGAAGAATGATGGGAAAATGAATAAACGTAGAAGAGAAAGAAATAAAAGGTGCTGGGACACGAGTAAAGCAGGACTAAAGGGGGCCAATAATTGGTACAATGTAAAGTGAAACTACTGCATACGCAAGGAAGCATATATAGGTAAAGAAAGTGAGGTAACAGTAATGATAATAAGAATATATAGTCATATCTGGTACACTCGCTGGTGGCAAGGGCAACCACTGTAGGAGATTGCAGAATTGAATAGAGAGAGAGAGGGGGGATTTTCCAAATTTGTCTGTTATTATAATTGTTTATAATTATAATGGACGTAACAGTACAGAGGCTCAAATGGTCAACCTATGCAAGAGATATACTCCTACAAGGGACTTTCATTATTTCCAATATCAAGATTCGTTTCTCTACTCATTCCTCCCTTTGATTGACAATAATCATAGCCACCCACCCACCCACCCAACGCCCCCACAAAAGGTCCTATTCACTCTCTCTCTCTCATCTTCTTAAGACCCTTTCAATCCCATGAGCCTTTAAACCACACACCATCTATATTTTTCCAACCCCAGAAGCAGATACGTACCCACCGCTTTATTTTCTCAAATGGGTCTTCATCACGATGCCAATACCTCAGGCCTTCACCTCGTTCTAGGGTTATCTTTGACTGCTACCTCCACTCCATCCACCAAGCCTCTTGATGACCATCATCATCTTTGTGTTATTAAGCCTACGCCGACCAAGCCTTATTCCCCTAATGAACCATCTTTAACGTTGGGTTTGTCCGGTGAGACTTACCACCTGCTCAAGCATGTGCCCAGAAATAACAACGTGGCCAACAATAGCAAGGTTTTTTGTGAGGACCCTCTTGACATGTCTAGACAGACATCACCTCACAGCGTGGTTTCGTCTTTCTCAACTGGAAGGGTTGTCAAGAGGGAGAGAGATCTTAGCTGTGAAGAAGTTGAGATAGAGGCAGAAGAGAGGGTTTCTTCAAGAGTGAGCGACGAAGAAGAAGACGGCACCAATGCTAGGAAGAAACTCAGACTCACCAAAGAACAATCTGCACTACTAGAGGAGAGCTTCAAACAACACAGCACTCTCAATCCTGTAATAATAATAATAATAATTAATCTCTTTCTTCTCCCTATTAGTTTGGTGAAATTGTTTTTGCAATTAATATTGTTTTCTTGGATTGGATTTACAGAAACAGAAGCAAGCTTTAGCCAGACAGTTAAATCTAAGGCCTCGACAAGTTGAAGTGTGGTTTCAGAATCGGAGAGCCAGGTACGTAATCCTTTGATTATAAAATCAACAGCTCTAACCAAACAGCACCATAAAAAATGTCTTGTTACGTGTTCCTTCATGTATACATAAAAAGAAGGCTTCTATTTCTAATCATCAAGCACAAATTAACAATATCCGAATGTGTGGCACGATAAAGTTTTAGTTTAAAAATTAAACAATTTGACTAATTGATTAGTTGCAAAAACTACAATCATTCGGCGCTCATGTTTACCATGTCTAATGTTGTCTTAGTTATTCAGGAAGGCTTAATTTTTTTTTATCGAATATATATGGTTCATGAGTTTGTCAGATTCATGAGATGGTAACATGATAGGGTGGTTTATCAAGGTTTTAGTTTGGTTGTTGCAGAACAAAGCTGAAGCAGACAGAGGTGGACTGCGAGTTCTTGAAGAAATGCTGTGAAACGTTGACGGACGAAAACAGAAGGCTAAAAAAGGAGCTGCAGGAGCTGAAGGCACTGAAACTAGCTCAACCCTTGTACATGCCTATGCCTGCGGCCACACTCACCATGTGCCCTTCTTGTGAGAGGCTCGGCGGCGTTAGCGAAAACGCTTCCAATAAAAGCCCCTTCTCCATGGCTCCCAAGCCTCACTTCTACAATCCCTTCGCCAATCCTTCCGCAGCATGTTGATTATGATTAGGTTTTCACTCTTTGGGGCGAAGAGGTAAAAAGACAAGAGTTATTTCCCACGACCATTATATTTTTTTGGTTGAGGGCGATGCGTCTAGCTAGGGAAAAGATGTAATTAGCTAATACTGTTGAGAATAGTAACTGCTGATTGAAATTACCTTTTGCTTTTTCTTCCTCTATTGTATGTTATATAAACCACTGTAGAAGGTGCCCTTCTATATACGAAGGAGTTATAATTTTTTTATTGTTCATTTATAAAATCCTCACGGTAACTGCATGTATATTATATAGATACACATATGCTTGTTAATTCTGTGAAACAGCTATCGAAAAAGAAAGAAAGATAGCTGGACGATTTCTTTCTCCATTCCAACACCGAATTGTTAAGGCGTGAATTTTTTTTTTTTTCTGACGGTGTAAGATGTGTGTAGACTTCGATCAGTGATTGTTCTTAGTTAATATAAACTGATTGAAATAATAATAGTTGTTGTTATGGGTTATCACGTGACTAATTTTATTATGAAAATAAAAGCACTGAATATGAACTACCATTCATATGTATATTGTATATACAAACCAAGGGTACGTAGTTGATATAAATATAAACTCCTATAAGTATTTAATCCCTTGAAATAATTGATACATTTAAAAGGTAAGTAGTTGATCTAAATATCGACCCGTGCAAGTAATATTACGTGAAAAGTAGAGTTTCCCTCAAATAATTAATACATGTTTTAAATTTTTGTTGTGTTGGTATATGTTATACTTTGTTGGATGAAAGCGGAAGATTAGCATTCTTCTACCATGAAGATGCAAAATTCTGTCATATGACTTATTTGAAATTCAGTGAACAAAGTTATGTCAAATATACCCGAATAATAATATATGGTTGATATCATAGTGACAGTGGACTTTAATGTCAGGTCAAACTTTATTTGTAAATTATCATGTCAGTTGGAATTTGAGAATATTATTATTATTATTAATATGATGGAGACTTATAGTAAAATCTAACTCGAAACTCGTCTTGTATACCCGTATATACGGGTAAGAAAACCTAGTCAAAGACTGTAAATAAGAAAAGTTATCGTAGGTATGACTAATATCCTAACCTAGCGGTGGAAAATATGATAGTTGAAGAAGGCAAACTGGCACAGTAACAAAAGAAAAAGTAAAACAAGACATGTGAATAAAACGACGCGTTTATATTTATTGCATATTTATGCAAATAAAAAAAATAATTTGATTTAACTTATCAACTAGTTTGTGTTATGGACATATTGTGTTTTGTAGGTGTAGAATTATACACATATAATGCGAATATATAGAATAGATAAAATAATGAAAGTTGAATTGAGTGGGATGGGAGGTTATGATTAAGTGAAGGAAAGGTCCAAGGTGTGGATAGGGAAGTTAGCTCACGTGTTTGTGTCTGAAAATCAGTTGCTTAAAGAGGGATCGAATGAGAGAGACATAGGGACAGGAGAGAGAAAGAAGAAAAGGAGAGGGGTTGTCTAGAAACAAAAAGAAATGGATGGTTGAGTTTCAAATTAGGGTTGATTAATTATAAGGCAATCATGATCCATAAATACCTGTTATTTTTTAAATATTTTATCAATATTCATTGTTTTTTTATATCATAATATTTGTTTAGACGTCATTTAGTATCATTATACGTGCCGTATGTAATTTTATTTTTTTTTTAATCATCCGTGCATAGGTGCTTTGCCTTTAAGGGACCAGTGGGTCACACTCCACGTGATGGCCCAATGCCAAATTCTTACAAATAAAAAATGAAAATCGTAACATGAGATTTTATTTTACCAAAAGACATTGTTTGAGTTGGGTTAATTAACCACAAACCGGACCCGGAAGCAGAAAAAGTCCTCATATTCCTCCTTAAACGTCAACTCAGGTTCTCTCGTGCCCACAATCAACGGTGCACAACCCTCGCATCCATCAATTTCAACATACTTTCACCTCACGCTATCATCATTCTAACGGGTGACTGCATCATTTAATTTCAATATACTAACGGTCTTTTCCGTCAACTCCATTTTTCTCTCACATTTTCTTCTAATGTGTGCCTGCGAATATTAATAAATAAATATTATTTCTTTCCATGTATTGTTATGTACACAATTTAAAATAAATTATAGATGGGTTTCATACATCAGCTGTGGACCAATAAATATCATGGGAGGACTTTCCAGGAAAATAAAGGCACTTTCCTGGAAACTGCAAATCTGCCTCCTCGTCATCACCATGTTAATCCATCGCCATCACAGTCGTACCAACTTCAAAGCCCTCTTGAATTCCAATTCCATACATATAATTTTTTTTATAAATTTCTAGAATTATGACCCAAGAAAGTATACAGAATTCGAGTTGAGTACATCTACGATTTAATTTACCTAACCAACTTCTTGTCCTTGGACGTACGTACCCATCATCTGTAGTACTAGGTCATTTTCTTTTGGTTAAACCCTACCGTGATGAAGGGAGCGTGTTAAAATTGAAATCACAGTCGCACATGCAATGCAGTAAAAAAGAAAAACCAAAAACCTTTACGTGGCCACTATAACCAATCTAGAAACCTTGTTACTACGTTTGCGCACACGCATTTCATGAAAAGTAGTCAATTCTAATTTGTAGTAACAGTATTTTATTTTGAATATTAAATCAATATACACATGTATGAGATGGTGTTTCTTTATTAAAAAAAAAACTTTTCCTAGTAAACTTCGAAAGTAATTAGTCAATAATGCACCGCAACTATATCTGTGCCATGTCATGGTCATCTTTAGTTTCAATATATTTAATAGCGTTTCAACTCAGTCATCAGCCTAATTAAGGGAGTGGCTAAATAATACGATGCTTCGTAGTGTACAAATTCAATTTGTATTAATTCGTGGAGTTTCCTTGCATTCACCCACATCAACCATTGATGTACTGATACTGATAACACTATTTTTTATGAATTTTTCCGTGCTGACCAGACCAAGTACAGTTCTCTATTACGTACATGTATTGAGGTTTTGATACAAAGATTAATCATTTGTCAATTTAAATTAAATATAACATACACACCCCTTGGCCTTGGTTAGTTCAACATTCATCACTTGAAAATGAAAGGTAAAGTTGGAGAAGATGGAATGAGGCATTACTAGATACTTATCGTGTTTTACGGATGAGGTCACCACATTCACACGACATGTCATATGCCATGTTAGTATTTTTGTGGTGAGAGGGAGAGTAACGAAATGGGTGAAGCCGAAACAGCCCAAATGGGCACACGAGGGTGGCCCAAAACTCTAAACTTGGACACATCATTATAATCGGTGAAACGGTTAATTTCTTATCACCATTGCAAATTCTTTCCCTTTGGGTAAACTAACTCTCGATTTGAAATTGTTTTGTTGTCTGCAAACATTCATGATTGGGCCCAATACATTATTCGTATGGTTATTGGAATTTGGAACCCCCATGCCCTGCTATCATGATCTGCTTTGTCCTTTTTTTTTTTTTTATGTATATATATATATATATATATATATATATATATATATATATATATATATATATATATATATATATATATATATATATATATATTCAACATATAGTTAGGACCCCCGAAAAAGTAGAAGCTAAAGAGAATAAACTATGGTCTAAATGGGAAGCTATTGATCTAAACCTTGGAAAACCAATCAATCACACTAGGAAAGAAACATAATAGTCTTTTTCTTCAATTCCAAATGAGTGTGATGCAAGTTTTTCGTCACTTGTCAAAATTGTGCTAACCAGAAAGCCCAACATTGGGGATCACGACCACGAGGCCCCTCTATCTTTGGTTACACCCTTCCATTATTTGCTCTTAATTTGGGCGTATTTTGTGATGAATGGTCATGCGCCCAGCTGGTTATTTTCTGCAGTTTTTGGAACATTGACGTTTTGTTCTACCTCTAGAACACGCCAGCAATTCCCCATGCTGAAATAGGAGCCCCTAACAACATATGATGTTGATGAGGGATTGAAGAGTTTAGACAGTTTGCGTAAATTCTTACAACCTTGAGCAAGCATGTGAAAAACCATAAAGTAACGAAGATAAAAAGAATAAAATAAAGCTAAATGCTGTGCATTCAATAACCAAATGCACGGTTTCCCGGGACATATTGAAGAAACAAACGTTGTTATGAGCTTAGTTTCATTTGGGAGGTATTGTTTGTTTGTATGTTAGTAATAAAGAAATAGAAAAATAAAGTGGTTAGAAAAGCAAGTGCGAGTGATGATATTATAAGACATGATAGTGTCCTCCCTCCAAAAAGAAGAGAAGAAAACAAATAGAAAGTATCAAAACTGTTGTCATGCTGGACAAGGTCTCTCCCTGGCGTGTGATTCAGAGGCTTTTCTCTCAAAAAGGTTGCTGCGAACTTCCAAGATGCTCATCGCTACCATTTTTCATATAAGATATTGGGTATTGCCATTTGGGGCTGCATGCCTTCACTCAAGTACCATTTGACTCTAATCACAACTTCCCTACATTTCCCACTCTTTTTCATAACTCATACCAAACCCAACTCAACACACCATCTCCCCTTCATTCATACCTTCCCAACTCCCACTTCCAAACCCCTCTTTCTTAACTTGTTATCTTTCATGCTGGTCATCCTTTAGTGATGCATATGCACGTGCCCTACTCCTTTATGTAGTTTATGTTCTTTCCAGTTAAGGGACATAAGCTTCAAAAAAGGTTTACAACTGCAATATCAACCGCAACGCCAAAGTTTTTGGAGTGCACTCTACCCAAAAGCAATCGCCAGTGTGATCACATCAATCACATTTATCTCTAATTTCTCCCAACATCGTGTATTGTTATGGTAGCGAGTGACATGGGTGCTCTTTCAGTGCTGCTTGTTCTACTGATATTCTGCAATAGTGGGTTTCTTAGTGCAGCTGGTGGTCTGTTCAATTTCACAGGGTATGGTACCCCACGTAAGAATGTGTCTAGGAATGGAAAAGCAGAGATGGAAGAGAAGAGAGGCGTGCCATCAGGAGCTAATCCTCTGCATAATCGGTAGAGGAGATGGTGGAAAATGGGACCACACAGAAAGTGATGATCAAAGAGTATTAGTTTTAGGAAGTAGTAGGTCTGAAAGGACTGAAGGAATCTGCTATTCCCTTTGTTCCTGTTTGGATGTTATTGTTATCTGAAAACATATAAGAATTGGCTAAAATATTTATTCTTTTTTCTCTGCTGCTCTGACATGTTTATACATGAGCTGTCTCTTGGTTTAGTAACACCTAATGGATCTCTCCCTTGCTTTGCATGCCTCTATCATAATTAATTCTTCTCCCTAACTGCTTTTTATATCTGCAACAATTTTGTTTCATTCAAACTATTCAAAGAATGAGTTTAGTTGCTATTAACTACTTAAAATCACCTATCCATCAAAATAAACCTTTCAATTTTAAATAATACTAACAATGAAACATGCAAAACGATTAAATATGCTTAGTATCTTTTTTTTACAATATCATCATCAAGTTTATGAATGAAAATACTTTTTTTTTTTAAATTAAATTTTCATTACAAATTATAAATTAAATTTAAACCATCTTTGAAAAAGTTAATTTTTGGTAGGCCATTAACATACTGGTATAGATAAAAGGATATTTTTATTTAGTAAACGAAAATGTTTCTGTGATAATCTACTCATAATAATCAAGTTATAGACAATTCCTGATAGAGCTAGTAAAGAAGAAAAGAGTGAAAATTAAATATTTTTATCATTATTATATTCATAGAAGAGATTGTTATTTTTTTTGTTTATTTATTAAACTATCTATATATCAGCACCTTTATGTTGAGTGACAAAAAAATATTGAAGTTATATTTTGTCATGTGTGTGAAAGTGTTGGTACATGAATAAAAATCATTCTGATTTCAAATATGTTATGATAATACTTTTAAGGTTAAGTAGTACGTTCAAAATATTGATTAGTTTAATTTGAAAAGCGTTGAATAATCAACTTTTATTCTGATTATGGTATATTAAATAATTAATGAATGAAATTAAATTAAATTATAGGAATTATGAAGATTTCTTAAAGGAAAAAAATAAAGAGAGAGAGAGAATCTTGGTCCAAACAGTTAGTTGCGTTTTGTTGTGTAGCAAAAAGGTTGGTTCTGTGCGTACCCTTTTCGGCTTGGGGTCGCGTACATATGTTCTCTCTTCTTCTTCTTCACCTGCACCTAATGCCAACATTTTCTTCTGTTCTACCAACACATAAACTACTTCCTTTCATTCTTTTGTTGCTTAATCAAATTTATTTATTTTATAAATTTTGTAGGGATAAAAAGATAAGATGAAATACATAAAATAAATTATTTGTGCAAGGGAGAAAAAAAAAGTAAATATGAAAAATGTTTATTCATCTCCTTGTTAAAAAAAATGTCGAATAATTTATAAACAAGAAAAATCCTTAAATGTAATTTTTTAGTTAAAGATAAATTCAGATTCTTTTATATATTTAACTCATATCTCATCTTGAAGACATAAATACCAAAATAGAGTATAAGAGATGGAAGAGAAAAGTTAGGTGAAAATTTTAAATGAATGTAGTCACTTAAGATAGTTGCAGACAAAAACGCGCGTGCTGAAGAGCTATTTTATGAGTTAGAGTGTGTACAAAATGTACGAGTCAGTCGTTTGTCTCTTTAAGAGGCATGAACATTTGAATAGCTATTTTGTCACTATTCTTTTTATATTTCTATGCTTAACTCTACTCTATTTTTATATATATTTTCTCTTTTTTCTATAACATTAGCTATCATACTTTTAATTCTCTCTTCTTTCTTATCCTTTTATCTCTCTATTTATGCACTGCTTTACACCCATTCTTAAGTAATGGAGAATCGCCATTCATTTATCTTTTCACGTATAATTAAATTTAGGGGCGAATCAAGAATTGAAGATCTGAATGATTGTGAGACAAAACAGCTAGACCAAAAATCATGCCGTTCTTTATTATCTTAAGCTGACAAACCCTAATAAAATACAATAGTAAAAAAACGTAAAGCATATAAATCAATGTGACATGTTGGGGCAGGAAACAAAAACCCAACACCCAAGAGAAAAACATAATCACCTAAGCATTTATACATACATAGGTCTAATAATTATAATTTTTGAGGTGCATCATCCAACATTTGTTCCCTTCCCTGGTTTTGAGTTTATCCATGTGTTTATATATATGGCTTGCAATAAGGGCTAAAACCTCTCGTGAAAATTTGAAAGATTTTATTACCAAATTCAGCAAAGATGATGTCATGATTTCAGAAGTTGTGATTTGAGTTGCTGCCATGTGCTCAAAGAAGTTACATGTTCCATAGTTGCTGCAATAGCCTCTTACATGTGCAAAGTAGGGCTGATACAATTCAATAGATTCATAATGGGCCTCATCCTTCTCAAGACCCACAATAAAGCTGCGGATTTCCCGTTTTGTGATAAAAAAATGATTCATGATACCATCCATTTGTAATATATATGTATATGATGGATAATAAGACGTGAGAAAAGTATAAACAAAGGAAAGGATCAAATGGGTGCATATCCTACTTATTTGTCCTTAAATTGTTCTGCTTTTATGATTTCTGATCGATGTAGACGAGTGGTAGGTAGCATTAGCACGTATTCACAAAAGGAAGAATACAATACATGTAGCACGGGGTGAGGGGATCCGTGCCTTCTGTCCTAGATTTACTGTTCTATATGATATCCAAGGTTCATGAAACATGTGGTGCACCCGTTGTTTCCAACGTATACAAACATTATTGTTTTCTTTATTGCTGCCACTGATGCCAAGGACAAACGGAATCAAATTCTATTTTGCAGCAATTTTAGTTCAAGAAATATATATATATATATATATATATATATATATATATATATATATATGCTAATGTTTCTGAGGATACTACTATGACTCAGGTGGTCTGCGATCTGAAATCTGGCTGCAATTGGATGTGACAGTGAAAAATCAAAACTATTTTTGGCCATTTCAGCAATCAGATATTCTTTTGTTCTCCTACTTGATATCTGATCTAAACTACTTTCTTTGTTTATGTAAATAGTTGCATAAGAAAAACGACATTGTTGGCCATGTAGGTGGTTAGAATAGCATTACAATTTCATGCCATCAATAAATGAACATGTTGAATGGGTATGAGCCCATTTTTGTGATCAGTAGCTGGCCTCATTGATATATATGAACATATTTAAGTGAAGTGGATTATTTATATAGTAACAGAAAGTTCCATACTCCTCTAATGGCAGCAGTAATCTTTTTCTTTGCATTATGCATCAAACGAGGGCGAAGAATTAAGTGACATTGAAAAGACGTGAAGAAAAGCAGGGTGGAAAGGTACGTGGCAACCTCCTACTTCAAAACAAGAACTGAAGAAAACAGCATCATCAGGAGCTATTACGTCTAGAGAGTTGACTTTGTTAATTCATAGCAGACCTACTTTGAATTTGGTGATTGCAACAACTATATATGTTTAACCACTAGATTTTCGGCTTGCCGTGGTTCCGAAAGAGCTTATTCACGCTCTTCTTATCTTGTCACAGGAATCAGTCCTCTTGGAGGCCACTAAATTGACAAAACATTGAAATTAAGGTGACCTTTCTTAGGAAAATAGAATCAGAAATGTTGGAATATTATTTAGTATTTTTTATATTTTCTTCTTTGAACAAGTAGCATTCTGGTTTGAACGAGTCAAGTCTTATTTATTTTGGAATTTGTTGTTGTAGGCCACACGTCTTTAAGAGTGCATTTGTTGTTGTTGGTAAGAATCATAGAATTTTAAGTTATTTGGTGGATATTCAGTCGTAGGATTACTTAAGACTCTCATTGCGAATGAATTGAAGAGATTTTCAACTGGTTTGGACTTTGGAGCGTAAGTGCACAACTTTTAGAAAGCATTTATCATAAAAAGAAGATAGTAGAAGATGAGTTTCCTGTTTCAAAAATTTGTAGTGTCTCACCATTATTTATTAGAGTTAACTGGATATTATATTAATAATAGTAAGATACCATATTGAATTATACAAAATCGAGATAATAATATAAGGATTATCCTCAACTATATGTTATCATACTATCATATTTTCGAGGTTCAATTTTATCACAGTTACTTTCTCATCTTAGACAGGATTTTTAATTATTTTATCTCATTGAGAAAAAAAATTTATCATACCTCCAATTTAGTGAGAGATTTTTCATCTATTTTCAAATAAGATAATTAATTTTTTTAAGTACATATTCAGTTAGTCATAATTTAACTCGTGATTTGATACTCAGGTTCAACAATCTTCCTGAAACCAATACTTTATAGATGATTTATGCACTTATAAATTCCCCTTATCACTCAGAAATTTCAGGGGACCATATAACTCAGATTCATAAGAAATGCAAAAATATTAAAATATTTTTTTATTATTATGACAGTCGATAGATCATGTTCATGTTCTAGTGCGATTATGTTGTCCTTGTTTATACAGAAAAAGAGGAACTGTTGCACAATGAAATTTGCTAGATCACAAACCCAAAATTGTCCATCTGTCAATCATCATAATAATGCGGAAGCTTTATTAGACCACAAACAATACAATTGCATATAGATCCAGAAATGGCTTTTGACTTATCATCTTCTGGTCGAACATATTCGTCGCCCCCACAGACACAAGAATCATTTTCCTCTTCCCCCAAAACAAAACAACAACAAAAATGAAGTGCTAATTTCAATTTATCCATGTGGTATGGGGACACAATAATTTACCTTAGTTTTGTTTTTGTACATTTTATTTCACGAGTTTTTATGGAAGACTTCCAATAAATAATTGGAGAGACGCACCACATGAGATAAGCTGAAACTTAGTCTGCTGAAGCAAATATATATAATTTTTTTCAGTAGAAAAATGCAAATTATACGGGTATGATAGGAGTTTGTACTTGAATTATTGAAATGAGATGAATTTTGGGTTTAAATGCCGGCAAGGCACTCTGGTGGGATCACTGTGTACCTTGACTTATCTTGGCAGTAATCATAGATCATATGGTTGAGACGAACCCACCTGTATCTTCTGGCTTCAATGGCATTAAGAGCTTGGTATGCAGCCCCTTCCCACCAATTACTTTGATTAGACGCACAGTTGGTAGGTCCTGGAGTTGGGCACCCTTCAATGTCAAAGTCCTTGTAATATGCATAAAAGGGTGCCTTACTCCAATCAATTTTCTCCAACCCCCCTCTTGTTGCCCAGTTATCAGCTTCCCACAACGTCGAATACACTCCCATTGCTTGCATCTTTGGGTATGGAATTCCCTTCCCTTCATTGTTCTTGTACACTCTAATGGGAAAATCATCCACGTAGAACCTGCATTCCCATACATACCAACATATGTGTAATATCAAATTAAATTCATTGTTAGTTGTAGTAACTCCAATGTATATCTTACACAATATGATGATGATTCCACATGATAGTGTAAGTGTGGAAATCCGCTGAAGGGTCAAACCAGAGGTTGACCCTTTGCTCTCTGTCCCCTTTTCCATGAGCGTAGATATTTGTCTGAACTGTGTAAGGCTGACCACTACGGTTCCCCAAGAACTCAAAATCCAGCTCATCACGTACAGTGTCGGTGTCAGAGTTCATCTACCATAATCCACCAACCAAGTATGTTAAACGTGTTCTTTTTCTTTAAACATACTAAATGGATGTTATAAGGACATTTATACTCACATAAAATGCAGTAACAGTTCCTGCCGAATCTCCAGGTATGAGCTTGATTTTCATGCTAACACGGCCAAACATGTACTTTTCCTTGGAAGCAAAACCGCAACCTGCAGTAAATGATTTTTCTTCCTTAGCATAGGGAATAACAAAGAGAGGAGTTAGGAATAAGTTAAGGTCATGATGTGGCTTACCAGAGTTTTGGTCTAGAATGAGTTGGATGGCTCTGCCTTGATCAATTTGCTTGATATGAGACTCTGACCACGTGATTTGAAAGTCTTGCACAAAAGTGGCTGGTCGTCCCCAAACACGCACAGCAGATACGAGAAACCATGATAGTAATAGAATATAGAGACCAATGTTTCCAAAAGAGTTAATGATGGCCATGGACATGTTTAACCGTAGGAAACTTTGGAATGCAAGTTGAGGAAGGGAAGTGTGGTATTTATATAGGAGCTTTGAGATTGAAACTGGAAGCGCGACAGTAGCATAGCTTTCCTTCCAGCCTTCGGCAAATCACCAGGGCCTACACTATTCATTCGTGGCACACAACTTTTGTCCTCTGCTGCCTAATCATTTTTCTGAGCGTGTGCATTGTATGTCATGGACCATTCCAGGGACTGACCAACCATTTAACACCAACCTCTACTTCACACTTAAACTTTCACATTTTCAATTGAAAACTTTAAGACAATATATTTCTGGTTTTTTTAATCTGTAATACTCAAACTCATATTTTCACTCCAACTTATGTAACATGGCAGAAGTGAACAACACTAATGGTTAGAAGAGACAAAAGCATCCATACACCAAGTGTGAGTTTGAGGCAGCTGTTTACGTTGAAAGCAAAGCAATATATACTCCATGGTTTTGTTATTAGAAACTGATTCTAGTAACTATTTTCCAAACACACGGTAAGTGATTATTTTGATAGATATTATAAGATGTTTCCAGTTAATTAACTTAAAGACAACTTCATCTCGTTAAATAACAATAAATGTCAAAGATTTTAAGTAAACATACATATTTACTATAAATAACGTTTATTTTTATTGTAAATAAAACTTTTGATGAAAGGAAGTTAATGTTTTCTTTCCATCATAGTACGTAGACGGATAATTTCTTAAATTACGAAAATAATGTGTAATAGAAAAGTTGAAATCTATCGGTAAAAGGTAGATCACTTATTTTATCAAATATCCTAACAATTTTTATTTGTGTGATTTTATTTATAAATTTTTTAATTTTTGTTTATTTTTTTCACTTATAAATAGCAGTATTAATTTGTTCTATTAAAATAAGATATCATATGAGACAAAAATGAAATCTAGGTGGGTTTTAACTACTTTATTCTTCAACTTTTTTCCCTTAATATTCAATTACAAGGGATGGAAAGGTATCTTGTCACCAACCTTGAGAATTAGTGATTTTGAGGAAAAAATTAACTTTATTCGTCAACTTTTTTTTTCCGTCGTATTCACTTACAAGGGATGGAAAGGTATCTTATCATTAATCTTGAGAATTAGTAAGTTTGAGGAAATATTTGAAGAGTGTGTGTGCAAACTTTTTTCCCTCTTTTAGTTAAATCTATAAATAATATAATTATTATGTTCAATCCAACAACAACATAGTATTTTGAGCTGAACATGATGTTGAGTGAAAGAGTGTTTGGTAGCAATATAAATGTAGAATATACATTGGTAGTCAAGTCAATTTAAAGTTTAGTTTTAAAAATATATAAGTATATCAAGTTAGTGAGTAATAAATTTGTAATTATAAATATGTTAAAGTAACATTGACAATTTATATGACATTGGAATGCCATGTTGACATAGTCTCTGCCATCCACTAAAAATCATTAATGAAATTTATTAAGGTAACATTAACTAATAACTTTGAAACTAACAAAATACTCACATGTTGACATCACATTAGCACACCTACTAATTTGGTATGTTGATGAGTATGTTGCATTTATTCTTCAACACATATAACAATTTTATGACTTTAATCTCTGGAAGTTTTAATGTCACACATTGAATAAGAAGTATATTTTTAATAAAAGTAATTTATATGAATTATTTTTCTCATCGAAAAATATAACATTTGATTTATTGTATCATATTATAATTAAGAAGTTAAAAATTAATTAATAGATTTTTTTAAAATAAATGTTAAACATTTCATTTTCTTTACTCATCTATTTCTTTTTATTTATTTTAAAATTGTTTAATAAAATAAATAATAAAAAAATTTAAACAACTTACTGTATTACTTAATATCATCTCAATGGAAAATAGTTTAAGGTGACTATGTTTTACTCGAATATTTAAATAAACAATTCATATAAGAGATATTTTCAGTAACTTTGAAATAATAAGAAAAAGAAATACTTTTTTCTTCAATTAAAATTCATTTAAAAAAAATATAAGAAATCTTTCATAAAATAATGTATATATAAACTATTTTTATTAAAAAAATTATCTTAAATGTATTTTAAGAATAAGTTTGTTCTTAGAAATTGTCGATGAAAATATTTAGCGCGATTCTCTTGAATAAATGTCATATTCTATATAAATCATAAATAATATTTACGATATGTTTAGAGAAACTTTTCTAATTTTAGGGGAAATTTTAAAAATAAAAAATAAAATAAATTTTCATTAATTAAAATTAGTTTAGATTTATGGTTTAGAATTTTACATGAAAGCTCTTTCATATATTTTTTTAAAAATTTATTTTTTATTTTTGACATAAATTAATTATAACTTATAAATAAACTCATTTTATTTATTTTTAAAAATATTTACGAAAACGTTTGTCCGAATATATCCTATAAAAAGAAAATAATATGTTTTTTCATACTGAAACTTAGTTTACATTTTTTTTTCTTATATTTGTTGTTATTACGAGGCTTAATTTATTGAAAAAAAAAACATATTTAAAGAACTGGTGAAGAGAATTTTAATCTCAAAAACAATTATATATATATATATATATATATATATATATATATATATATATATATATATATATATATATATAAAGGTACAATTTTTCAGATGTGGTGACGAAACATTTTTTTCTCCATCAATAAATATATCACACCCATTATATTTAGATACATGACCTTGAATTCATGACAGAAAAAAGAAAAAAGTGAACCAACATCTTTCTAGTTTCTATCCTTAAAATGATTTTAAATTCGGACAGATTATTTAACAAGTAAAGCTAGAAATTTAGGTTAAAAATGTAATAGAAAATTAATAAATTTAATAAAATAATATTTTTATAATATAATAAATTTATTAACAATAATATTTTTAAAATAATAAAATTTATGGTAAATTACAATAAAAATATAAATATAAAATATATTAAAGAATATAAAATAAATAAATTTTAAAATATAATAAAAATAATTATTATTAAAATTAACATATTTAATATAATATTAAAAAATATATATTATATCTTTTATAAAAATTATATTAAAATTTTAATTTTAATTTTTTTTCTTATCAAAATCAGTTAAATCAAAAATTTTAATTAATTTTTTTATTTTGTTTTAATTTTTTTATTTTATCTTAATTTAATTAAAATTTAATTATTTAAAAATAATAAATCTGGTTTTTGATAATTATTTTGCTAGACCAATTGAATCAGTGGCGTATTCAATTTTTAAAACCACAAAATGAAATGATTGGAGCATTTATTGCAGAGAATGCTGATACAGAAAAAGTGTGAAATAAATTTATTTTTCTTCTTCCGTGTGGGGAGTGGTGTGGGATTAGCAAACATCGTGCCATGAATAATTTTTTTTAAATAATAATAAAAATAAGAAAATGATGTTGAAAAATTTAGGTGTGAATGGAAGTTTTACTCAATAGAAATAAAGAAATTAAGAAATATATAAGAAAAAAATTGTTAACCTAAATTCTTTTTATTATTATATTATAATCGAATGTTCTAATACATTTGAAGTAATGAAAAAAAATTAAATAATTTAAAAATAAGAAAATTTTATAATTTAATATTTTAAATTAAAAATAATATCATATTTTTTTTATATAATTTTGATGACATATTAATAAAAATATTCTCATTATTAACCTCAATCGAAAATAACAATAAAGACTATCAATATTAATTTTTAATTAAAATATTTGTGATTGAAAGAGGATACACCCCATTATGGTTTTATCTAGACTAATGGTATTATTGTTGATTGAAGAATTGTGAGAGTACTGAAAATTTAAAATGTGTTAAGTTAAAGTTTAAGAAATTATAGAGTGTAGGTGTAGTGATGAGATTGCGGTTTAAATGCACTTAATTGTGGTTCGTATGAGTCACAGTGGGAAGGAGAAAAGAAAGGCTGATGTGACTCTGCTCAATCAGTGGTGAAGTGTCGGCAGACTGCAAAACTGAGTTCTTATTACACAAATACTTTCTTTCCGTAACATGTACTTTTTATTCTAATATTATTTTCAAACATTTATATATAAAATAATGATAATTATATATAATACAAATAAATTAGGGTATTTTAATAATATTAAAATACAAATACTCTCTTACACCAGCAATTTATTATCTGTTTTCCATCTTTTAATAAACAAAAATCCACTTAAGGATGTAGGTACGAATAAAAAAATATTTTTCCCATTTATTCAAATGAATTAGAAAATTTTTCTTGGAAACATTTTATACTAATTAAAAAAAATTGTTAAATTATTTTTACATAATATTTCTTTTTAAAATAAATTAAAATAATAGAATAATAATTTCCCTCTCATTTTATTGCAATGTGGTGAAAGTTTTTAGTGTCATGAGATATCTTTTATCTTTTTTATCTCTTTCTCAACAAAATTGAAAAATTTATTATTTTTATACTTTTTTTTCTCTTCATATTTAATTTCATTTATTCTATATTTAACACGCTTTTTGTAAGCTCCTTGCTATTGGTTAAAATACATTAAAGTAACAAAATTGTATATATCTCAATTCTTATTTAATATTTTTATTTCATTATTTGAAGTTTCTAATAAATTTTAACTAGTAAATTGAAAAGATAAAAAAAATAATATCATCCTTCAATATTCAAACATAATCCTATTTCAAGGGGATTAAAAAATATAAAATATATTCCTTTTCCAAAATAATATTTTAAAAGAATTACACCATAAAAAACTCAAATTATTCTTATGTTTTCAAAGATTTTGCTCATATTAATCTCTTTATAATTAAATATGGAAATTATCAAATAATATTATACATTCAATGGTTAAATAATCCAAATAATTAATATAATCCGATTTTATCTAATTCTTCTATAAAATATTTTTCTTTGTCCACTAGACTAGATAGTCCATCATGCTGAGCCAAATTAAAATTTTCAGATTTTTTTTTTAACTTTTAAAATTACATAATAACAAGTTTAAAAATTAGGTATATATCTGAATGTAAAGATATACAAAACAACTAAATTTTGGCAACTGTCAAGCCCTGTTTATCTATGTCAATTATTTTATTAATTTTCAACTTCTTGTCTCAGTCTTGTGTCTTTAAAAATCTTTAAGAGAGCTAATTATCTTAAATTTTATTTCATTAATTTTATATTTTTACAATATAATTAAAATCCATGTTATGTTCATAAATTAAAAAATGTACATAAAGAATAAATATTTTTTAGTTGTTGCAAACATAACTAAATTTGTATAATATAAGATTTTTAATTATATATAATTAGACTTATAAAAATATATGCATATAAATAATTAGTTTTATATCGTTTTTTATATTTTAAATAGACTATATAAATTATATATATATATATATATATATATATATATATATAACTAATAAAATAATAAAAACTATTATTATTATTATTCAGGTTGAATATAAAAAACTAATCACTAAATCTTTAAAGATTGTGTAAGAGAAAGTTAGATGAATAAAATAAACCCAACAAATCATTTAAATCATGATTAAGTGTGAAAAATATCAAAACAATAAATACTCTATGATTTTATTGTCTAACAATTAACCTGTCAAATTATATGACAATTTAAATGCATGTTATCTCTTTATACTAAAATTCAGATAACCCAATATTTTAATGTATAAAAAAATTAAAAAAATAGTTAAATACTAAAAGTATACTTACTTAAATATATATTTAATGCACAAAATAAAATTTACAATTTGTATAAAAGTACCCTATAAATATATAGTTTCACAATTTTATGTTTATTAATTGTTTTAAAAAATATTTTTGTTTGAAATATAAGTTTTGTGACACAATATGACTTTATACAAATTTGAAACTGAATCTTTTGGTTTAGTAGGAAAAGAAGTGAACAAAACAGTATCATCATGTGTCAGTCATTATTTATTCCAGCTGTTCACGCATAGTTAAATCCCTTTCACATATAATTTAAATGTAAATGTATAACCTAATTAATATGAACAGTTATAAACTTAACTTTTCAAAAATTCTCACATCTAATTTATAAGAACCTATAACCTTAATAAAGTTCATTTCAAGGTTGTTTACTCCAAGAAATTTCTTAAAAAATAATGTTTTATTTACAAAGCTCCCGCAAATTATAAATTAATACCAAAACTAATTGAAAGAGTGTCAATTAGGATAAATACAATCAAATTTTTCATCCAAATCTGTGTTTTTAAGAGCTTTCTGAAAAATAAGATACATTTCATTAATATCATACTTACTAAAATTAGAGTGACAAGTCAGCTCAATAGGTTCATCTAATAATTAGTACGAAAATCAATCTCATTTTTTTATAAGGAAAATACTATATTGACAATCTTTGTTTCATGAAACATCTTAATTATACACTTTTCTTTAAATATAATAATAATTACTTTTAATTATTTTCTTTTAAAAAATAAACCTTAAAAATAGATAAAAAACAAAATCATCACAAATATCCTGAAACCAGGATTAATAAGTTAATTTGATTTTTTTTAAACTCATAATATTTTAATTTTCTTTAAAGAGTAACATTTTTAAAAAAATGCTTCCTTACTTTATTCGAGTTACAACAATTCTAAATAATTATTTTTTAATATTTTTATTTCACTTTCATAATCTTAAGTTTTTCGATCACCAATATATTTAATATACATGACTTTTATTAAGACCATATAATGATTTTTATTACGTAAGATTTTATATATATATATATATATATATATATATATATATATATATATATATATATATTCTTTTTGTCTATATAAAAAAAAACAACTTAGACCCTAATCTGATTCAATATTAAAACCCACAGTCATATTTTCAAATGACTAGTCGAATTTAAGAACCTTGATTAATAAAAGCTTAAGATTTTATAAGCATCATAGTCCATTTTCTTAAGTTTAAATGAGTGATTAATATCTCTTGATAAAGTACAGACATTTTTCAAAGGATGTCCAAACCTCAGTTTTACGTCAATGGGGAAATTAATTAAAAATAGTAAATAGGAATAGAAAGCAAGAATGAAATAAATAATAAAACAAAAAATTGTTTAATTAAAAGAAAAGGAATACAAATAAGAAAAAAACGTGAGAAATAAATAAACAAATATCAGTGTATATGTCGAATAGAAGTTTAAAATTAATTAGAAATAATAAAATGAAAAAAATTATAAATCTAATCTCTTAAAGTTTTGAATCAAACTTGGAATTTTGGCTGTAACGTCTCTTGTTTAAACCTGATTAAAATCGTAACATTCCATCTTACTTCCACCTCAATGACCAATCAACATTATTTTTATTCTTCCTATTTAAACTCTTGTGGAATAATTCTGGTCTTTTCAAATTTTCATCTTAAGTTTAGTTTGCTCCTTTTGTAGCCGTGGACTTCATATCCTATGATCAGAAAAATTCTCTCCTATACTTCATTTTTCAGTGAAATGATGTTTTCAATTAAGCGCCATTTAATTTTATTTTTTCTACCCTTTTGGCAGAAAATAAAGAACTGCATAATTGATTTGGAGCTGGTAATTATTTCTTTTTAGCACTGTGGGCTAGCTGGACAGCACATAGAACTCAACCCGTTCACTGCTTTCACCGTCACTCAAGCTATAGCTCAATCAATCAGGCCAAGCCGAACTCATTTTTGTGGCAAATCAATGTGATCATTTGTTGAATTGTGGCACTTCAAATTCAAGTTTTTGTATAACAGTACATTATACTGCTAAATTTGTGCATACAGAAAAGATGAGTTGAGGAACTGGTGCTGTGTCAATGTCAGCCAGATAGAATAGCATGCATATCATGAAGTGTGGCTGGAAATGTCTGTAAGCATGAAATGCAGGGTTCACTTTCAGTACAGAGTCAGTGCCAGTCAGCATTGATGGAATCTGAAACGGATTAGGGTTCCCTCCTTTCCCTTTCACTTCATGCACCGAACTAACACACAGACCCCACTTGAAATAACTTCATTGGCATGGATGGCTCTTGAAGAAACACCAATGCTACAACAACCAAAAGTAAATGATGGTCCTATTTACTTACAAAGCAACAGGATATGTGTTGTAGCATGGTGAAAGCTTTCTATTGGGACGTGGACTTGTAGACATGAAATTGCCACATATATGTCAATTGTTGTTTAGATGTTAATCATGGTCATGATGAGGCTTGATAATAAGAAAGCTTTTTGATGATGCATTGTACAAGAAGTAGATGCAGCATAGAATAAAGAAACGTTGTTTTAGACAAATCATTTACTGATTTTTAATATGGGTACGAAAATCTGCTCTATTCGAACAGATTAATGTTACATCGAAAGGATGGGTATTGTACCTGCTACCTAATCTCTGAATTTGCAGAAACAAAGGTCCATATATAACCCGACCAGCTAATTAAGGTGACTAAAGTTGAAAGTATAAGGGATTGCCCTCAATGTGAAAAGGAGTGGGGAGTTCCATACTTTTCATGTTCATTATTTGGACATTTTTATCAGTGAAACTGTTGCTTTTTTCTTTCTCTTGGGAAGAAATTATATCCAACTTGGATCCTCTCCTGTGTCCACCTGCCTCTGCAGCAATAAAAACAAAGAGAGAGGAGAGAATTGAAGGAAGAAAAAAAAAAAAGAAAAATTAAAAAAACCAAAAAAATAATAGTGTGGATAAAAATCTATAATCAGATATATCTTGGAGCATGTGATTATTCAGGAGGAATGATTTAAGGGATTGTATATCTTTGTTTGAGGATATTCAAGGTGATTAGAGAAGTATTGAGTGTGAAAATATGGTGTGAGGTTAAAAGGAAGTGAGGGATTTGTGATGATTATGAGTGTAAAGTTACTAATGTTCTTGAAAATTGTTTTTTTTTTATATATATATATATATTTGCTGAGCTTTCTTTTAATAATTTTTTAATATTTATTATTTTGAATTAATAAATATATATATATATATATATTTTAATTTTCAAACACTAAATTTCTAATATATTTTTTAAAACTTTTAAATACCCAATTCTTAATTTTTTATTATTTTTTTCTATTTTTCCATAAATATTTAAATTTAAAAAAATCCAAGGACAATTTTAATATTATAATAAAAAAATGATCCACTTTTATCACTTTAATTAAATCAATATTAATTTTCTACTCATTTTTATTAATTTTCCATTTATTAAAATAAATGCATTTTTTTACTCACTTTCTCTTGAAATAATGCTGATTTCTTCTTCTTACTTTTCCTTCATTTTAATATTCTATATTGTTAAATTCATAAGAAAAATTTGTTAACAATTTCGTTTGAACGATTTTTCTTTTTATAATTTGTAACCATGAAGTAATTTTATTTTATTTAAGTATGTGTTTGTTTGCATTTGAAAGTGGAAAAGGAGGAAAAAAATGTAAAATGTAGGATTATTTGAATGGAGAAAAATATAAAAAATAAGATTCATTTGATTAATTAAAATATTATTTTATTAATTTTAAATATATTTATTTATTATTTAAAATATATTAATTAAAAATAATATTTTAAATTTTTTTGAAACATAACTGATTATTTAAAGAGACATAGTCCCGTAAAAATCGTATACTTTTGGTACCCGAGAAAGAAAAAAATATATATTGAAAAACATTTTTTTTTCAACATATTCATTTCCACACTTTTTCAACAAATTACCACCCTCACTCTATACACATAGTTCTAAAAAAAACTATTGGTTTAGTTTAATCAATGAAGGTAAGTTTGATTCTTCACATGTAGTCAGGTTAAATATTTTAAAAGAATTTTTTATTATAATAATTTTACAGAAATGTAGTCTAATTAGAAAAATATCATTAATAAAAAGGAATTTTTCACTATATATAATCTAAATATTTAATTTAATATTATTTTTTAAATAGTTTTAATAATTAATTTTAAAAAAACTGTTTTTAGTAATAAGTTGAAAATAACATTCTGTTTAATAATTCTAATTTAAAATATTTTAAACGTATAACAATTACAGGATAAAATATTATATTAAAATTTTTAAAAATAATTTTAATAATAATAATATTAGTATTATAAGAACTAAATTACATTTTTAATAATAATACGTAAAAACCTATTTTAAAAGTAAGAAATAAAAGTTCTCTCTCTCTCTCTCTCTCTCTCTCTCTCTCTCTATATATATATATATATATATATATATATATATATATATATATATATATATATATCAAAAACCTAGAAAAATTATACAGTTTAAAAGAAAAATACGTTCAATAAGTTATTTAATAGAATTAAGCAACATTATTTTAAAAAAATCACCATGCGAATAATGATCTTGTTTATATGAACAATATTACTTAAAAATAAATTTGAGTGAGAGTAATTAATAAAAAATATATTAATATTAAGTCAATTATAAAAATTATAAAATTATGCTAAGCATCTAATTTGACAATTTGATCTTAGCAAAATTGTATGACTTATTAAGATAAATAATTTATTTAACTAATAATACATTATGAATATTTCAAATAGATGATTTTGGTCACTAAACTACGAACCAGTAATATTTATGTACAATAATACAACGATATTTTTTTTGTAAGATTATTTACTTAGTAAGTAATATTTAACTTATTTTGTAATCTTTATATTTAAAAAAATGAATGCCCAAACTGAGCTATTTGCTTAGCAGCTTCTGGGAAATGGAGCTGAACTAGCAGAAGTTCAGCTCATTATTGAATCTGTCTAGCCTTTTGCATTCAACCCAAAAATATTTAAGCCCAGAGTCGTGCTGATCTCCAAGATTTTGCCCTTGGAAGCATCTTTTTCTTAAGTGATTATCTTTTTGTTAAAACAGAATACATTTTTGGTCAATTGATTGTGCGAGTCCTGGATCCTCTGTTGTTAAATGGAAACAGTTTTTAAATGATTTTTTTTTCTGGTGTAATTTTTTTATCGTCATAATCATCAAGTGGGCGTGGTTTGGTTCGTATTTGTTTTTGTCTCAGAAAGTGGGTTGGCTCAGCCTTTAACATCTGATTGGACTACACAGTAGGAGTGGAGAATCATTCATAGTACAAATTGGGCCATGTCATCTTTTCACAGACAATAAAAAGAAGTTTAGAGGTTTAGAAAGCCCAAATTTGTCAATATGTACGTTCTCTGATTTACAACGAGTTTCAGAATAGAGAAACCTTTACACATTTTACCCACTTCTACCTGAAGTATGAAGTTATAGTTTCTATGATTTAATCTAAATTGACATGATAGGTGATACTTTTGTTATAAGTGCGTGTCCAAACATGCACTAGAGCGTATAAAGATGTTTCACGAAGTAATATAGGATTTAATTAATCTAGTCATTTTAGTGATGAACAATTTATTCAACCATTTACTCTATGTGATATAATCGCAAATTCCAAGGTTTCAACTCTGTTTTTTCTTCTGTTCTGCCAGAGTTATTAACTGCAAATGTGGATAATTCAGGTTATGGCGTCCTAAACGAGCTTTAAAATGGCATGAGGATTTGGAGTTTCAAATTAACCGATGCAACAAAAATGGAGAAAACGACAAGAGATACGAGCGTGGGAAATATGTTACTATGTATGCATTGGTATGTGAAGTGTGGTTATTTAGTCGCTAGTTTAGCAGTGTGACTATGAAACACAGCAGAGGGAACGCATGTTCTGAATCATTCCATCAGATTTACCAAACCCCAAGCAGAGAAAAAGAAGAATGATTGCCAGTATCTTACGTGATTGCATAATGATAGAGTGAAAAGATAATATACCATAATGTTGAAGGCAGAGAGATTATGTTCTTTCTCTTTCCCACACGCAGACAGAAAGAGAGAGGGGAATGTAGCGTACTACCGTTGTATATGTATTGTATGGTGGGACTACTCTGCTGACATATACTACAAAAACAATGGTACACCTCAAACCCAAAACAAAATAAATAAGATTACATTGCATACATGTGTAAAATAAATGAGAAGAAAAACAAAAATCTACAGCTGTAAATGCAGGTCCTTTAGTGAGAGATTTTCCCTCACATCTGGTGAAATTGGTGGCCTTTTGCTGTTTATATATTCTACTTGTCTTATCTACTATCATTTATTTGGGGTTCTTAGTTCTCAGTCAGGGTTGTAATTGTAATGTAATGTCTATGCTTCTCCCCTGCAGTTGCAGCAATTATTATACAATCTTTGGTTTCTTGTTTTGACAGAGGCTCGTCGACCAAAGGAGAGGTGTTTCCCTTTTCGGGGTTCCTCCTTTTCTTGCCCCTCTGCATTTTTCTCATTTGTCCTTCTATGTTCCATCACTTCAACATGAAAAGGTCTTTTTAACAATATATTTATTCCTCCAACCTTCTACCGTGTCATTTCACCTTGTGCTCTTTGCTTCATCCTACCCTATATTATATCATCCGTCCTTTCACTTCTCAATTTCTCTTTCTGCATCACCTCTCTTTACTCCACCCTCTTTAATTTAGTTTTCCACTCTAGAATGGGACGTGATCATCACCATCTTATTTGTGGCCAAAGACTCACTCTTGTTAGCATTTCTCTTTGCTTTCTCATAATTTCAAGTTGGACCCAGCTGGGACTTGTAACTGAAGGTACATGCATTATAGGTTTTCAAAGCTTCCAAATGGACACCAATAATATCTCCAACTAACAATTTCTTCTCTTTTGTTCTAACAGGTAGAAAGACTCCCAAACTGAATGGATTTTATCAGGTACAACTCAGCTTACTTATAAAAATGTTCTTTCACTCTCTGCTAATTAGTTGCATGAGTGCTTGATTACTGATCAGAAACTTTAACTTGATGAGAAATAATGGTGATTTGTGTAGACAGTACATGATGACAAAATAATGGTGAGGGCACAGATAGGCTCACGACCACCAAGATGTGAGAGAAGATGCAGGTCTTGTGGACACTGTGAAGCCATTCAGGTACCTACAAATCCTCAAGCGCAGAACGGGAAGATCAACTCTTCAACTCTGTCTACTATTGCTTTTTCAATGGGAGAAGGTGGTTCCAACTACAAGCCCATGAGTTGGAAGTGCAAATGTGGGAATCATATTTTCAACCCCTGATTCCAATTGTTCCACAATTTAGTTGTTAGATGATCAAGGATGACAGCAACTAAAATTTACCAATTTTGTATATGAATATACATTTTTAAGTAATTCTTTTTGTTTTTTCAGTCTCTTTTGTTCCTGCCTCTCAATGGCCTCTCTCTGAGGCATGCTTCTATTTTGCTATAGTAAATTGTCCCCATTTATTTGCTGAAAATGTTTAGTTGTATCATTTGCGGATGCTATCGTTGTCCAACATGTAAATTGCAGTTTGTGAGTTGATTTAGCATTTCTGCTTCTAATTTGGCCTGATCGTTAGATGCCCATGGGGAATGGAGTGACATAATCTCTGTTTTGATTTCTTTAATTTTTATTTTTTCTGTAAGATATTGGCACACTTCAAATGCGAGAAGATGTTATCGGAGATGTCCAAATCAGAAGAGTGATTTTTACCGCAGTACATTGAAACTTAAAAAATTAATGGAACTAAAAACTTCCTAACAGAGTATTACTGACATGTGACTAATTTGTACAGATATGTAACAGAAAATTTGGTCACAAGTTAAAATGATTTCACCAAACATGGCATTCTTTTTTGTTTTTCCATTGAGAATCTTGCACTAACGTGAGGTTAAAGAATAATATCAATCTTTTTAAGTTTTGAAAAAAACAGCACCATGTACTGGTCTTTACTTCTTATATTTTTATTTATTGAACATGTATTAGTCTCTAGCTAGACGGAGCCAAAACCTGCTACATGCAATCAGAGAAAGCAACAGAAGAAAAATTGACAAGCTAACCTCTGATTGTACTCTTAAATTTCCGTTTTCTTATAATATTCCTCCAAAACGTGAACAGACATTGATTACTCACTACTTCTCCTGAGGGAGTATTAAGTTGCTTTCAAGTAGATTTCTCTTATGCTGTGCCCCACGCCCCTGAATTGGAGTGATCAATCTATTCTACAAATTTTTAGAGCAAAATCTTAGAAATGATATCAAGCAGTTTACGATATGATGATTTTGTTCACTTAAATGAACAAAAAACAAACAAGCCAATGAATAAAACTAAAAGTAAGACATACTACAAATCTAGTAAGTCTATATCATCTAATCATATCAGAGTTGGTTTTTTTGTAGCATGGTCATCTTAATTGTAGTAAATACCAGTAAGAAAACTATATTTTTGCTGAATATCTACGAGCACTAAAATAATTTGTGATAAAACTATTTACTTTGGTTACCACTTTTGCTATTAGAAAACGATAAAAATATATTATAATGCATCGCCACTGTGTGACACTACAGTGAATTGTACTAAACGATAATCACTATATATTTTTTTTGTATGGTCAAATGACAATGGGCACTGATAACTAGCCACCGAACGGAAGCAGAGAATGATATATAGGGCTAAAAATTTTCTAGTATCCTGAGAAATTGCAGCAGTTTTTCCAATAAGGTGGTGGTAAACTGCTGTGTCCATGAACAGAGGGAGATGGTTAGTTGGAAGGAAACCCAAGTTTGTGATTTCTTTCTATTCAAAATGACAACACAATAACTAGTCACATGATGTAACAACCTTTCCATCTTCAACCGTTGATTGGTGTAGCAATAGTTAGAAGGCTGTTTTCAGTAAAGCAAACTTTGTGGACTGTTTCACTGTATATCTACCTCTCATTTTAGGAACTGAATACATGGAAATGAACAGGCTTCTTTACCCTAAACAAAGTTCAAAAAATAAAATAAAATACATTAGAAATAGACGTAATATTTCATCTGATAATTATTTTTATTTTTAACAAAGATATTGGTGCCCAGAAAAGATAGATATTTTTACCAATCATAGTTTTTCTCAACAGAAATCGGAGTATTATAAAAAAAAAAAAAAAAAAAAAAACTGAGTTCCAGATCTAACGAAGTTCAAACAAAATGTGGTCTTTAGTTTTTTTACTTTCCAAAATATGATATCTAAACGGTTCTACTGTTTAAACATTAAAATATAAAAAATTATAATAAATTTTTTTAAAGATTTTATATACATGTATTTTTTATATATAAAAATATATCTCATATAAATATATATTTTATTTATTTATAAAATAAAAATATAATAAAAATATTAAAGATTAATAATATATTAAATAAAAATAATAACTTAATATTTTTTTATCTTTTATTTTTTAAAAATAATAAAATCTTTTAGTACCTCGTCTAAATAAAAGATAATAAAATAATATTTTATTTTTTTATTATCATTTATATAAAAAAGATAATAAATTTTTTAATACCAATTTAAATAAAAGATAATAAAGTCATTTTTAGTTTCTTTACCCATTGTTTCTAAAATAATTTTTTTTAGTATCATATTTTTTTCTAACAAAATTTTCACTTCTTCTGCATTAACATTCTTCAATGTAAGATTTTAAAAAATAAATATACATTTTTTTTGTCTTTCTTTATTTTATTAACTTTCACTATAGACAAATTCATGGTAGGTTTAAACTTTTGCAATTTTTTCATCTTTTAAACTTCTCAATTTTACCACGTTTTTCAAGTTTTTCATTTTTTGTTTGAAAATTTCGTGTTTAACCTTCAATATCTCTTGGATTTTCTCATCTAACATTTTCTTCATTTTTATCAATTCTTTCTCGAGCAATTATTGATTATTAGAGTTTTATTTCCTTAGAATGATGTTGGTCTCATTGGTTGTTGGATTTTCTTCGTAATGTCTCTTTTGTCCCTTTTTGTAAAAACTTCATAATCTTTTTATAAATAATTTCAAATTATTTTTGGATAATTTTAGGGTTATGATTATGACGAGAATCATTTATGAAATACATGTATATAAACATGATTTCATTTTTTTCTTTCTTATTTTTCTTTTTATTTGAATTTTGATTTGAGTTATGATGAGATTTTCAGGTAGCAGATTAATAATATAATCCTCAATTTGAGTTACGATGATTTTCGGATAATAAATAAATGATAAAATCCCATATTCACAACTTCCCATAAATTCAATCATTCAATACATGAGTTCATTCTCATCGCCTCATAAATTATAACTTTCACTCATAATTTTTTAGATTTTTATGTATATGTATTTTGATATATGAAAATATATTTCATATAAATATATATTTTATTCATGTATTCTATTTATATTTATATATAAAGTTAAAATATAATAAAATATTAAATATTAATAATATTTTAATTATAACATTCTAAATCAAAATAATAATTTAATATATTTTTAAAATTTAATAAAATCTCTTAATATATAATTTAAATAAAAGATAATAAAATAATATTTTAAATTAATTATATATATATATATATATAAAAAAATTATGTCTGTTACCTATTTTGAGTCTGTGTAATAAGTATTATTCTAAACTAAAGTAAAAACAAAGATGAGTCCTTTGCTTTTATGCATTAGTGACTAAATTGAAGTTTTTTTTCATGGGTGCTAATAAAATCTTTTTCTTTGGAATATATTAAATCTGAAGTTTTAACAGAATTAGAGACCAAATGTCAAATGCATCAGATATAAAGATTAAATTCAATCCGCGGATAACTTGAATTGCCAAGCAAAACTGGTACGTTTGTTGTTTGGACAATTCGTCTTACTTTACGAATATCCTGGCACTACAATAATGGTTTTTATACTGTGGATTGAATCGATGATTGATGGATTTGCGCCACTGTGTTTGCATAAAAATAAGTGCAACACTGGTACCCTTCGAAAACCCATTTGTCGTGAAGCAGATTTGAATCCAGTGCCCAAAATTATTATTATTTTCTATTTCATGAGCATAACTCGTTGAAAACGAAGAACAAACATAGACCTCTTCTCAATTTACATGGTTACGCAACTTTCCAAAAGTTATGCGAAGTATAACCATAAATGGGTCTGAGTCTGAGACACAAAAGCTAATTTAATAACAGAAATTGATTTTAGTACCAATTTCATTCGTACCAACAGTAAGCCAAATACTATACCTTTCATTTTGTTTCTTGTGTATTTCTAGCCATCACGTGTAGCATCTCTCCTACTTCACTGGTTGATTGCAAATTCAATCATTCTACCCAATTTTAGTGCCAAATACCTTAACTCTTGTTAATCATTACATTCATTGCACGTAGAGAAATTTTTTCTTAACAAAATATGGTACCTACCCTTTAATTTTCGGATATATCTTTCAGATATTTATTTATTAATGTTTGCATCAAGGATATCTCCAAAGTCGAAAAATAACTCTTTCAAAAAAAAAAAAAAAAAAAAATATATATATATATATATATATATATAGATAAAATGAAAGAATTTTGTCTCTTTCATAAAAAAAAATTAAAAAAATCTGTACACATGGCTAAGAAACCTAGCTATAGACTAACTGTGGTGACCTTATTGATATTTTTATGATACGAACATACAGAAAAAGATAACAAGAGAAACATAAAAATACCTGCATGCTAATTTTGTTAATGTTTAAATACCGGAACTGTTGTATGTCATGTATTTCAGTATTTATGAAGTTGTATCCCAAGAGAAATCATGGGAAAGTAGTATTAAAAGAAGGGTGATAAAATGCTGAGGCAGACGAAAATGAGTACAGAAAGAACAGAAGAAGCTTTGAGTTAAAAGTGAATGCAGAAGGAAGGAACCTTTTGTCTTATGTTTTTTCACATGGACACTTGAAGGAAAAAGCATGAGGTGAATAATGTAGACGAACCAAGGGGCAAAAGGAAGAAGAACATAGGAGGAGTACAGTACAGAGAGTGGAAGCAGTCACGTAAGGGAGAAGTGGAATTAAGCAAGGAGATCCATGAACATGCTTGCTGTGGTATGCATACAAAACTGGAAAAGATTAAAGGGAATGTCATTGCAAAGCAAAGGTCAAGACAGAGACAAGTGAAAAGGTTGGGTTAGGGACCAGGGTGAGAAAGGGAATACTGACTCCGATTCGTATACTATACATACATGACATGATAAATACAAAACCTTTCTCTCAAATTTTTAGAGCTGTAAATATCAGCAACACGGTTTTGAAGATGGCCCATCCCTGTGGCGTGGACAAATAAAATGTACTACACACACCAGTCATACTTTAGTTCCCAGCTGATGCTGATGGAGCAGCAGCACTGGTAAGCGATAAAGCACCATTTTTGTTATTATTATTCTATTCTTTAAAGCATTTGTCAGGATATATTCACCACAAAACGAGACTTATCCCACATGGTTTTTGGCATTATAGCCTAAATGCATTTTCAAGAATGACATGACTTGGCTCTATCATTTTGGTGGGAGTACTTCCACTAAACTGTTACCATTTACCATCAACACTAATCTGAGCACAGAAAATTACCATTCACAGTGTACTAGCTCACCAACTGTAAGGCCCGATATAGGTCTTCTTCGCGAAGAAAGAATTTGGGCTAAGAACCCCACCCCAAGCTGTAAAAGAAAAGGAAGAGTTTGTTCCTCCACCTTACATATTTCCTGCATTACCTCTCTTGATACAATATCTAGAATAGAACCTAAAAATATGTTTCTTTCTACTGTCTACACTCACTTTCCTTTTAACTTAACCTTATTTTCCCTTTTTCATACCATTTATACAGTCTATTTTTCATGTTTCCCTCAATCACCTCCTTCTCCTTCTCATATTTATCTGCTTAGACAACGGAAAATAAAGAGTTATACTAACCAATCAATGCACACTAAACTTATTTTATCTTTTTTTTTTTTAAAAAGGCACAAAGTCTAATCATTGGAACAATTCCACAGAATACTTTTCGAAACTTAATATTTGGGAACTTCCTTCATATTACTTTCTATAACTATCAATAAAACAACATATGTTTCAATCTTGTGCACACAGAATCTAGAATTTCATAAAAATAAATATTTTCTATGGACAATTTGATTAAATATATTTTCAATAAAATGAAATTAACTAAATTACATACTTTTAGTAGAAAAAAATAAAGAAAATTTATATAAAGATGAGAGGACCTTAAAGAATAGGGTTTAGGTAGGTGTTTACACTTTTTTCTAAACAAAAGCATATATTTGGTATTAAAAATTAAAGAAAGTGGGAGGGAAATAGACACTATGGGGAGTGTAAATAAATATCGATATTGGTCCAAGAAACATTTTATATGCTGGAGGTGGGACTCAATAAAAAGTTCTTGGTTGTTGTTTTATGCGTCCATAATTATATTAAATTTTATTTTACTCTTCACTTATTTTCGTTTTTATAATAAATTTTATTTTAATCTTACATTTTTTTTCGTTTTTATAATGTATTTCAAATAATTTTTTCAAAAATATATTCTAAAATATTAAATTTAAAATGTATTTTTAAAAAGACTTTTTCAAAAATATATTTTAAAATACCTAATATAGAATATATTTTTAAAAAGACTTTTTTGAAACACTTAATCTAAAAAGATTTTTTTAAAAACACATTTTAAGATTTTGAAATGTATTTATAAAAAAATTAATTCAAAAATGCATTAAAAATTGAATGTTTCGGACTATATTTTCAGAAAGTTCCAATTCAAAAATGATGGGGGTGGATGAAGCAAGAGACAAAGTTATTAGGTTTGTTGCATACGTAAGCCCAAGTAATCTAGGGTTCAATTGTCATATGTAGGTCCAAGTGAAGTGGAGTCATAACTCCAACTCACAGGCTCTGGTAACAACATGATAACCCAATTAAAAGCTAGTTACTACAGCCCAATACATCTTTCAGTTTATTAAATATACTTTTCTCTCTCTTTTTTTCCTTTTCTTTTTAATATAAATTCACTGAAAAATTAATTTTCTCCCTTTCAAGTGCAAATTTGGTTTAGAATTTAAATATCAAATCCATGTTTAAGTTTATCGCACCAAACAAGTACTCAAATATCACATCTCATTCAATTCCTTGCATTTCATCACACTCCACTTACATTTTGATATGACTATTAAATAGTTGAAGTGTACATTTTTTATTTTCTTTTTTCAAATAGTTATTCTATATATGCCCTTTTTTTGGGTTTATTCAAGTTGGTCTTTCTTATAAAGATTAGGTATGATTTTAATATATACTTTTTATAAAAATTAGTTTCAATCTTTATATTTTAAAAGTTAACAAAATAGTACTCAAACTTAATATATATATATATATATATATATATATATATATATATATATATATATAGTATTTTAATCAGTTTTATAACTGTAAAAAAATCTAATAAATATCAAATTTTAGTATAAGATGATTAAAAATTAAAATCAATTTTTAATAAAAAAATATCAAATTGATTAATTTAAAAATATAAAGATCAAAGTTAAATAGAGACCAAAATCATCCTTTTCTTATAATAAAGCAATAGGATATGATGACAAATCATCATTTTACAGTTAAAGAACTAACAAAACCCCATTTCTTTTACCATTATCAAAATATATTTTAAACACCCCTACCTACAGAATTTCATTTACACATGCAAATAAATACGTCATTCATTGTTTAATTCAATTACCTAATTCACCTATTTAATTAAATTTAAAACAATAAATTGGTTAAAATTTATATATTTTTTATCAAAATAATCTGTCAATAATACTTTTCTCATTCATCTAAATTTAGTCAGTATACACCCTCCCTCATTAATTTATGAATTGAAACTTAAAAAGAGGAACCCAACATCAATTCTAATCTGAAATTTGTAAATAACATTAAAAGAACAAATGTCTAGTGTACAAAATAACTTCCAACTAACTAAACACAATTGAACTATAGTCCAAAGTGAACACCAACATTAACTAACAAATGAATAGTTCGTAGAGTAGGATATGAACCAAATAAAAAAAATGAACAAAAAGAAGAATTGTCATCGAAGAAATTATCAACTTGTACAAGTGAGAAGACACTATATATACATACCCAACTTCCTCCTATGTTTTAGGACCTCTCCCTCGCACCCATTTCAATACCCTCTCATTAGGCATAGATTCTAGCCTCAAGCATGTATTTCAAGCATGCATTTTCTGTAGAATAGGTCCATATAGTAATGAAAGTTTTCTGTATCTTCAGGTAATCCTTCTTAGGGGGTTTAGTCGGCACTGATTTGCACATAAGTATAAAAATCTTCAATCTTTCAATGAATGGTCTCACCCTAGAAATTTAGGGATACTATTAAATTGTAAGTGAACAATGTAGGTTCAAATTTGACGAGTTTAAAGGAGGAATCCCAATGGCCAACCTTTATTGACATTACTAAGGCAATGGGGAAGAAGCTGTGCCTCAATACTGGACGACTTTAATACCCATAATACAAACGACCAGACAACGAAAACAAAAAATATATGGTACCTGCGCGAGCTCTCTCGATCCTAAAACATGAATAGAGGCAAGCTTGACAACTCAATACAAAAACATAAATAGAAAATAGAGCCAAGCTTGACAAGTATTCTTTAAACTGAGGAAGGGGGAAGCTAGAGAGAGTCAAAGAAGTTCATTTGATCTGGAAGCATAAACATAACTAGAGTCAAGAAGTATTCTTACGCTGAGGAAGGAGGGAGTTGGGTTAGTTCACAACAGCAATACATGTCTTCGTCCTCATAAAGAAGAATGACAGACTAAACTAATATAATTGAAACAAATAGTGTATAAATAGTTCTAGGTAAATTTTTAATTGCAATGTAATCTCAATACAATATATAACTAAATAACAAGCTAATAAAAGGTAATTGCAACATTGACTTATTCATTTCCCATCACCTGCGCTGAAATGCAACTCCAAAACTTAATGATCAGTGTTGTGCCCATTGAATATCCTTGATGTTGATCCCTTCCTTGACCATTTCATAAAGCGGACTCATTTCCCTCAACTTCTCCACTTGCTGAACGGTGAGCTCCACTGCTCTGTCAATTTCAGACTCGGTAGTGAACCTCCCAATTCCAAACCTAATAGAAGTGTGAGCCATGTCCTCCTCCACTCCCAATGCCCTCAAAACATAAGAAGGCTCCAAGCTAGCACTGGTGCAGGCACTGCCACTGGACACAGCCACCTCCTTTAACCCCATGAGCAAACTCTCCCCTTCAACATACGCAAATGACAAATTCAGATTCCCCGCATAGCGCCTCTCCAAGCTCCCATTCACCACCACCCCATCAAGCTTCTCTCTAATCCCATTAAGCAGTCTTTGCTGCAAACCAGAAATCCTCTTCTCATCATACTCCATCTCGTTCTTCGCCACCTCGCACGCCGCACCCATCCCCACAACCAAAGGAGTGGGAATAGTCCCACTCCGAATCCCCCGCTCTTGGCCACCGCCATTCATCTGTGGCTCAACCCGAATTCTTGGCCTTCGACGTAGATACAAAGCCCCAACCCCCTTAGGCCCATAAACCTTATGCCCACTCAACGACATCAAACTCACATTCCACTTGTCCACATCAATCGGAATCTTCCCCAACGCCTGAGCCGCATCAGTGTGAAACGGCACATTAAACTCCTTGCAAACTCTCCCAATTTCCTCCACCGGCTGAACCACTCCAATTTCATTGTTCACCGCCATCACCGAAACAAGCCCCGTATCAGGCCTAATCGCAGCCCTAAGCTTCTCCAAATCAATCAACCCGTCAGACTCAACCGGAAGATAGGTGACATCGAAACCCTCCTGCTGGAGGTGGCGGCAGGAATCTAGCACGCACTTGTGCTCCGTCTGCGTGGTTATCACGTGCCGCTTCTTGTCCTTGTAGAAATGCATGACGCCCTTGACGGAGATGTTGTTGGACTCGGTGGCACCAGAGGTGAAGACTATCTCCTTGGGCGATGCGCCGATGAGGGACGCGACCTGAGCGCGCGCGTGTTCTACGGCCTCGTCGGATTCCCAGCCGTAGAAGTGGGTGCGGGAGTGAGGATTTCCGAAACGAGAGAGATAGAAAGGCAGCATCGCGTCCAATACACGCGGGTCCACCGGAGATGTTGCCTGCACGTCCAGGTAGAGGGGTCTTCCGGAGATTCGTACGCCCTTCATCATCATTCCCGAGGAGCTGTTCCCATCTTGTTCCGGCACCGCCGCCTCCGCCGCCGTGGACAGAAGCTGGCGGCGGAGGTTTTTGGCTGGTTTTGTTAGATGGTGACGGAGATTGGAAGCAATTAGCTTAGAGGTCATTGGATCCGTGAGAATCCTGTGATAGATTAGTCCCACCTGCAATTTCCTGCTTATCGGTTTGGTGAAGAATGAGATAATGAGACGGAGAGAAACAGAGAAAGACCTAATTTTTTTTTTTACTATTTGATTTGATATAGGGTTTTCCTTTAGTAGATAAACACGAAGAAAGTGTTTTTTTTCATTCCCACTTCATGGAGTATTGGACGGTGGAGATTGAGTTGAGTGTAACCAACTTAATTAATCTATTATACATTCCACGTGTTGGATTCCAAGCCGTGTATGGGCTTGACACTGGACCTAACTCTTGTATTGGAGGGCGTCGTTTTACCTTTCCTCAGCTTCACTTATTTCTAATTAATTGTGCGTCTAAAATAAAATGTTTGCAGTAACATGCTATATAAATATGACCCTCTGAGTTCAAATGCGATTGCCATTTACAGTTTGGGCATTAAAAGTTGTTCTTCACATCTAAAATCTCATTGCTTGTTTTTCCCTTAACGCGGAAGTTATCAAGTCCAGAAGCATTGGAAACACAAGTTCCATAACCCACCTTCTCTCTGGTATGTACTCATGTTGTTTGCACTACTACTCCCAATAAGCATTTTTTATTTTTTTCAGAAATCACTCATAACTTTTTGAGTATTTCACTTTTGATATAAAGTTGTATGATAATTATATTATATTTGCTATATATTTGTTTGTATTGTTGTTAAATGTAATGTTTTAAAATTCTTGTATGTTGCTGAATGGTCATGTATTGAATCTCTAAAAGGTTTTTATAGTGTCCCAATCTCATATTATTATATATAAATTTATTAAATTTTATAATAATTATTTTAGTTATATGAGAGAAAAAAATTAGAATGATTATATATATATATATATAAAATTTCTTTGATTTGATAAAATAACGTATTTAATACAGAAAAATTTATAATTTTTAGATTAAAAATAAAAGATATAAAATTAATTAATTGCCAAAATTTCTGTGAAAAATATTAATGTAAAGACTAGATAGATGAAAAATATAAACACTAAAGTTTAAAAGTAAAAAAAGTAAAAATATTATCAAGTGATCAAGATGATTAAGAATGAAAAGAAAAGAAAAGAAAAGAAAAAAAAAAAAAATATATATATATATATATATATATATATATATATATATATATATATGTGTGTGTGTGTGTGTGTGAAAATAAATTCATTGTAATTAGCTTAATTATGCTTTAGAGAAAAATAGTTTTAATTAAATTAATCTAAGCCAATTGATTTGGATTAATAGTCCAGTAAATCCGAAGAAGGCCTAATTTTTATAATTCAATCTAACATTGCAATTTAGTTATATAAAACCATTATTTCATTATTTTAATTTTCAATGCAATTGCAATTTTTTTTTACGTTTTTTCTGGTAGGCAAGTTATCTGCGTCAATCAATGTGCGTGTACCCACCCCATGGGTACTTGATTATACCTTACCATACATTTTTCATTTTGCTTAAATTTAAAATAAATAGTATTAAAAACATTATTTGATTAAAAATTAAATTAAATTTATACTTCAAATAAATAGAAAATTATTTACTTTTAAAGTTAGTAAATTAGATAAACATAAAAAAGGTTAAATTTATTTAATTTATTTAAAAAATCAACTACTAAAAAATTACAAATAAACTGGTCCATCATCTCCATTTTTTTCTACTAAACATGAATATGTTTCTCTTTCCCTTGCTATTTACCGATTATTTGAATTAGAAGTTCACGCCACGTGTCCTCTTAGATGCTTTCTTTAACCAAGTTGTTTTTTTTTTTGGGGTAATGTGACGTAGTTGTTTAACCGTTAGTGACAGTATGATGACCCTTATAGACATTAGCCTCCATCTGGGCAGGTAGGAAAAGGGGCAATTTTTGAGGCACACTATGTTTAAGTCATCTACTCAAAGGGATTCAAGATGCAAATACTGCACGGTGAAATGTGCTCTTCAAATATGTGTTTTACTTGGTATTTGTATCTGGATGGTTTATCTAGCTCAACATTCTCGTGATAAAAGGACCACTTATGCTGGAGAAGGTACAAAATCAAGCAGTGAAGTTTCTAAGTTGGGGAGAACGGATCATCCTGATGTAGACCAATCTTCTACCCTTGATGCAAGTCATAAGGAGGAAGAGGATGAAGAAGTAAATAAACATGAAGAACTAAACAAGCCAGACAATTTTAATGGTATGGTAGATGAGATCTTGACTCAAGAGAATGAGCAAAATAACAATGAAGAAAAACCTGACCATGGAGAATATCAAGTAGACGAAGATTCTAAAGGGAGTTCTTCGACCAACAAGGAAAGTGAAGAGAATGAGAATAAGGCTAACAAGGATAGTAACGAAGATACAAACCAAACAAGAATTGAAGTAAATATGAAGGAAAATCACAAGCAAGAAGATAAAGAGGAAAGCGATGCAGCAGAAAATGAGAGAGAAAAGAATGATGAAATTGAGGAAGAGGCTTCATCTGAAGATCAAGTTGAGGATCAGGAAAAAGAGAGGAGCAATGAGGAGCCTAGAGAGGGACATAATTCCTCCAATGTTGTAGGATTTAACCAGACAAAACAAATTGAGAAAAGAGAAAACAATGAATTGGAGTTGGAGTCTGGGACAAATGGACCTGAAGTGTCTCATGTTCATCAGAATAAGGTCCTAAATGTTACACAAACAAAAACTACAGAAGTGGTTGATTCAATTGTTGCAACAACCAACCAGTCCATAAGTAACGTAGAAACTCTTCACTCGCAGGATGTGACTAATACAACATACAATACAACTGAAAAACAGTTTGAAACATCAGAGAACTACAAGGTGGTGGTGGAGGAATTCAGTCCACACAATACAACTTTGGAATTGAAATATTCCAAGTCAGATGCTGTAGTAGAGCAAGAACAAGTTGATTCCACCTTAACAAATTCATCACGAGCCAATGAAAGCATTTTGCTTAATGAAACATATAATGTCAAAGTAAATGCTAATGACAATGGTCAAGGAGAATCAGTCAGTGCGTCTAATTCTTCTATAATTGACTCTACTCAGGTTGAGAACAGTGAAAAAGAAGATGAGGCTCAAAATGAACCAGTTCAACCATAGAAGGAGAAAGAAGAATCATTCAAGTACCCTAAATTTAATGATCAAGGCAATTTTAATTTTACAATTCATTAGGATATGGATTATGTTTTGGAATTTTTGTCACAACATAGAATCCAGAAAAATCTTATTACTAATTTTGGAAAATTCAAATAAATATCATTGTATCTTTTTTTCTATCTAAATATATATTGTTCTTCAAGTGGTCAATTTATATCAAAATTTTAAACAGAGGTTATAACGAGAAAAAAAAATCATGAAAAGAAATAAAGTTACAAAATTAAGTAAATGAATTGTTTTTTTTTTTGTTAAAATCACTAGAGTATCTATAATATAAGGGTTTTATAAGAAATTCACAAAATTTGTTATTCTACTTTAAATGGATATAACTATTTTTTTAAGATTTTCCTCCAATAATAAGGTGTTTTAAACATTTATATTTTATAATTTTTTTTTTGCATTTTTAGTTTTTTACAACTTAAAAATTTAATTTTATATTTTATTGTTAAAAATCCAAAAGTAACTTGAAGTGTTGTATTTTAATGTCAAAAATTCAATTCTTAATTTTAAGACTTTTACTAATTCATATATTATGTGCTATATTAAGAATGTTTTATAAAATATGTGTTTAGAATATTATTTTATTATTTTTTATTTAAATTATATATTAAGTTTTTTATTAGTGTTTAAAATAAAAAAAATATTAAATTATTATTTTGATTTAGATAAGTATGATTGAAATATTATTAATATTTTATATTTTATATATTTTTATGTTATATATATAAAATATATAAATAAATGATAAATATATATATATATATATATATATATTTCATATATAAAAAATATATATACACAAAATCCTAAACATTATTTTAATTTTAGGTATTAATATATTTTTAAAATATACGTTAGATATATTTTTAAAATATACGTTAGATATATTTTTATTGTATTTGGAAGGGTTAAAAGAGAGAATAACAGAGGAAAAAGAAGAAAAATAGTTTGGATAATATGAAATAAAATAATTAAAAAACAAAATAATTCCCCACAAGTTTTCTTTTCTTTCCTAAGACCATTAATTTGGGCAAAATTTTTAGTTGATAAAAATAATTATCTATTTTACCTTATGTTTTACTATTTATTTTTCACTTTTTTTTATTCTCTTTCATTCTCGTAAGTTATTTCTAACCAACCAAACAAACAAAGCCTTTAAGCCCTTTTCTCACGGTAAAATGGTTGAAAACTACATATTTTATTATTTGTAGCAAAATACCTAAATAATTGTTGGTAACTGTTATTAGACTATAAAAAATTTAAGAGTAATAAGTGTTCCTTTATTGCTTTGATCTTGTCATTGAACCAAGTCGAAAGCAAGTTGGTAGAATTTGTACTAGTACTTGTGAAGAAGGGTGTGGAAGGAAGGAAGTAGGTACATTGAATTCAAATTTTATCAAGGATCCAAAATGTGTAGACTAGTAATTCCAAAAGGGATGCCACTTGTATGAAAACCGGGGACTATTTTTCCTTGGCCGGTCGTAACGCCCACCTTCGCGGCACTGCGATCACCCAACCCAACTCTTGTCTAGAAACAAGTAGAGAGAGAGAGAGAGAGAGACTTTTTCCCCAAATCCATTTTCAGTGAGCCCAATTGTCCTAAACTAAACAACCCTTTCTCTACACACTCCTCATTTTCTCAAAATTTAAAAAACTCATGACCACGCAAGTAAAGAATAAAGAAAAACCGCTAGAATTAAGAAATGCGTAATGTTTTTGGCTTCACAAAAAGAGCACATATCAGATATGTATTGCCTAATTGTGGTCCAGGAAGGAAGCTTGAAACAGAAGCACATCTACGGTATAGGGCAAGTCAATTCAAATTGTCATGTTCCATTCCATGTAAATTCGCGTGATTCGCTTCCTTTTTTATGGCACCAAAACCAGGGATTAGTTAGTTCTTTCAATAATAATTTAACTTATTTTTTAGGTCAAATATAACTGAGTCCACATAAACTGGGAAATTAAAACTATGTGTTGTAGTTATTTTTTGTATACAAAAACTATAATCTAACTTTTCTTCTATGTATTCTATATTTCCTAATTATAGACCTAAGATGTTAAATAAATAAATAAATAAATAAAAGCATATTAAAAAAAATGCGTCGTCAAATGCGACAGGTTGACTAATATTAGTAGAGTATGGGAGAGAAAGGAAAGTATGGAAGGTAGAGACAAAAGAGAGATGAGAAATGACAAGGTTAGAAGCCGTTGATGTGGACAATGTGTTGATCTAACGGTTCTTGATGGAATTCCAGCCACGATTTTCCTTCATCGCCAACGACCCCAAGCGAGTACACAACATCTTCCCTGCTCCACCCCGCACGCAGCAAAACCAAGGAGAGCACTCTCACGTGCCACGCCATGGACTCTTTGTCCTTCAATTTCGACTCCTGCTTCTCCATCTTCTCTTCCACCGTCATCATCTCGCGTATCTCCTCCTCCGTCCATCCTCCCTCTCTCAATTTCCGCACCACCCTGTCCAAGCACCCTCCGAGCTCCCCCTTCGCGCCACCCCACCACCACCACCGCTCCTCCGCCAGTTCCGACCAGAACCTCACCCTCCTCGCCGCTGTTGCCGCCCACACTGGCTCATCCATCCCCCGCGCCAGAAACTCTCGGAAGAACCCCGCCACGTCCAAGCTCAGCAAACAGACATCCCCGCCGTCGTCCACGTAGAGAACGGGGTTCCCGGCGGCGTTGGGGGAGGCGGGAATGTAGCAATGCCGGTAAATCGGGACGAGCGTCGGTGCATCATTTAATAACCGGCGAAGGACCTGGGTCGGTTCGGACGGTTTCGGGCCCCAGGAGGGATGCCAGAAGCGCGTGTTGGAGACGCGACGGAGAATCGAGGAGGCGGGGAGGTTGAGGAGAATTTGGAGTTGTTGAGTCGAAGAGGAACGCCAATTGGGGAAGCCTTGGGATATGGGAAGGCCTTGTTGGAGGATCACGCGAAGGTCCGGTGGGAACGAGAATTTCAATTTGAATTCCAGGTTTCGGAGTTCTATGTCGGAGAGTCCTTCCTCGATCACAACGTTTGAGGATTTGAGGCGGTTAAGGAGGTTGGTGGTGTATGCCGCGAATGAGAAACATATTCGTTTCGGCCTTGGGGGTTTCGATTTCGCTGTCTCACCCTCCTCCTTCTCCGAAACTGTGGCCATTATTCAGAGAATGAAAACTGGTGTTTGCGAAATTGTGAATCGAAACAGAATGCAAAAGGAGAGAGATGAGTAATTTGTGTCACATAGTTCCTGTTACCTAGTCATCACACCCTGTGTTCTTCTCCGAGGGACTCGCATAAGTCAGTTGCGTAGAGAAAGACAGAGAGAGAAAGTTTGTTTGACTCTTATAGGTTTTGAAAATAAAAATATAAAATGAAAAAATAAAAGAAATACATGGTGTTTCTTTTGTAATCGTAGAATTTGGAACTCTATCTCCAACCGAGAATGTATGGAGCTGTAACGTAGTCATGTTGTGCTCATCCACGTGCTATTCTTCTATTGCCATTTCAACACTTTCTTATTTTTTTCTCCCACCATTCCTTTTCTGCTATGTGAATTCCTAATAATTTATCTGTACCCAGTTTTCAATTTCTGAATTAACTTCACATTTGTTCTTAAGGTAAGAGTGGTTATATAAGAGAAAGGATTATAAATCATTTAATATAGTGTTCATTCATGGTTTTATAATATTAAATGATAAATTATCTTTCTCCTCTTGAAAATAAATGGATTTCTATGGTTGGGACAAGAAGAAGATTTGGGTGTCTTGCTTAAATGGATGGTATTGAAATATAATTTACATGTTGGCTTAATTATGTTAATGTTGATCCAGATCCCTATTCTCTGCTCGCTGCTTTATAAATTTCAACAATAAAGTCATAAATTCCAATTCAATACGTACCTTCCATATTCCACCACAAAGTCCGGATCACGGATGTTATACACTAAATGAAAATCATTTTTTAATGAATAAAGGTCATTAAATGTTTTATAAAATGGCATTAATTGCAAAACTCTTTATGATTTTATAAAGTTGCAATACTATTACTAGGTGTTTAAGTTATATACGATGTTTTTTAATCTCACTTTCTCAGAGTGTTATGATGTTGGATATCTTGCTTTAAATTTCAGTGACTGAAAAAAAGGTACTATTATATACATTTTTCATATAATACGCATAAAAACATTGTAAGACTTTTTATACTAGCAAATTTTTATTCAGACAACAAAAGTTGTGTAGTTTTTTTTTTTTAACTTAGTTAATAAAGTTATATAATCTTAAATATATATATATATATATATATATATATATATATATATATATATATTATCTATAGAGAGTTATTTGTGGGTAGATAAAATCTGAATTGGAAAGCACCTAATCCAACTTTAATAAATAAATAAATAAATAAAAGCTGTTTTAACAAAAGTTTGGATTAGGTGTTTCCTCATTTATAATAGCTACGATCTCATATGTTGTTAACATTGGTGTTGTAAACCATTTGAAATATTTCATTACTCACTTAAAAATATAATGCCAAGGTGATATTCTGTGTTTGCCTTGAAATCCAGAAATAGCCTGTTTATTAAAATGAATAAATAACCTAGATTTCATATAAGTTTTTTAATACAAAGAAAACATTTTTTTGATAAAAATATGAATGATTGTACACTTTTAGATATGGAATTATGTTTACTTTTTTTAATCAAATCATCGATTTTTTTAATAAGGATAAATTTAAAGAATATTTTAATGAATCATAAAAAAAAACAATTCAAATAAAAATAGTCTTATATTGCTGGTTTCTGTTCCATAATTATTTAAGGATTTCACAAAAAATGTTAAGAAAAAAAGATATATTTTTTGTCAAAAAAATTGATATGTATTTAAATTTATCACTACAAAAATAGTTATCTCTAATGTAATAAACAAAAGTTTTAGCAACAAAATCTGACAACATATTTTCACCCAAAAATGCTATTGATAATTTCATAATTATGAATTAGGAAGAATAAATTAAATCTGTGTTTTTTTCTGTCTAGCTATATAATAAAAAGAGTTACTTCGTTCTGGCTCTAACATATTAAAAATAAGACGGAATAGATTTATTTATCGTATTAGCGAATTAGTATGTCCATATTTTTTATTATATAAATAAATCTTCAATTTTTATTTATTAATTATTTATTAAATGAATTAAATAAATTATTATATTTATATATTAAAATAACTAATTATAATATATTTACAATTTGTTAATAATATAATAAAAAATTATAATATTTTAAATTATAATTTTTTAATTTTAATTTTAAAATATAATTTTTTTAATAAGTAGATCAACAGATCAATTCTTCTGCAAAATATATTGATGAACCAAAATTACAATCTATCCATATTTTTAAGAAAATTAGTAGATCGATCTACTTAACCTAATCTATTTTGCAATATGTAAATAAATTTATTGAAAAATTTTATGAAATTAGTTTGATAATTATAAATACAATGTTTTTTTTAACTTTAATAAAATATTAATTATATTTTTATTTTTCCTTTTTCATTGATATATATATATATATATATATATATATATATATATATATATATATACTAATTTAAATATAAAAAAAAATCTTCCAGAAACTCGTCGGTGAAATAGAAACTGGGGAAAATATTTTATATGAAAAATAATAAGTATGTTTTCTTTAAAACACTTTTTGTGTGTTTGTTCTGAAGTTGAGAAACCTTAAATAATAAGTTGAACCCAATGAAATCAAAGAGACACGACTTTGTGTTATTTTTAATTACGAACCAAAAGCAAATTTCTAATCTGTTAGAGCTTTCTATTGTTTTAGAAAAATTTATACTACAAACACATGTTTCTATTATATCAAACGAATTTGAAGGAAAAAAGAAAACATAAAAAAATCTCTCTTGTGTTAGATTTAATCAACAAAACATGTTTTTAGAGGTATTTTTAACTAAATACTGAAAAATGTATTTTTATTGGTTGGTAGTTAAAAAAAAAATAAAAATTTAGGGGTGCAAATAGAAGAACCCAATAATTTCCTTAACAACAAATGGGCCAGGTTGATCAACCCATATCTCAAGATGAGGTGAGTTGCTCTAAACGAAAAAATAATCCAACACACCTAAATTAGTCTTATGATATTCAATCCTCTTATGAAGTTTGAATTAAAAATTTCATTAAGATCCTAAAAGATAATTAATAAGCCATACATTTTCTTTCAATACACTTTAAAATATATCATAAATTTAATATAGAAAAAGTATATTTTTATTTATTAAATTTTAAAATTACTTTTTAAAAAGTAAACTATGTCTCATCCTCTGATTATGACGTGGAACCTTGGAAAACCATTGTTGACACCAACTTATTCGCATCGCATGCTCTAGGGAATTTATTATGCGTCCTCATATTTATTATAATTCTTAAATTTTGGAATTCCAAATCATCAATGAAAGTAATATTTTATTATTTTTATATAAGAATTTAAAATAATGTTAAGCAAATGGTTGGAATCTCTAAAGAATACATTTTCCACAAGAACTTTATAATAAGAAAAAAATTATTCTGTAAATCAAATTTAACTTATGTATAAGTTAAATAAAATTAGAAAAATTACATGATTTTTTTTATTGATAAATTAATTTTAACTTTTTAAATTTTTTTATTAAAAACCCTTTTAAAAGAACTCGCTCAAACAAATTATAAACAAAGATATATTTTATTTTATTTTATTTAAACTATATTATAATATTGATTAAAATTAAAAATTAAGAATAAATCTATTTTTATTTATACACTTAAAAAATAATGTTATATTAATTATGCTTCCTTTCCATTCACGTTATACTTCTGTATAACAAACAAAATGTAAATTAAAATAAAATAATATTTCAAACCACTTGTAATTCCCTGAATAATATGGCAAAATATTGACAGAAATCTACATACTGCCCTATAATTTACACCAAAATTCTGGGCAAGTTGGTTACTGGGGTTATCCCAGTTGAGCAGACTGATCCCGTTATCCAAAAAATTCTATTGTTAGGGAACTTGATGTAAGACATTTCTTGACAAAACACCATTGCCAATTGTTAAGTTAAACATAACTTTAGGACTAGTTACTAAGGCATTATTCATGGCGCAACCAATCACCTAGGTCTTTTGTTGCACCAATTTCTTGAGCAGCGGAGCTAGTGTTATCCCCCATTACTTCATTTTCATCTTTAGCTGATCCGTCCATATCTTCTGTAGCTTCCTTCTCATTTGCAAGACTCAAACAACTCAAACTCCATCCAGGAGGTACGTTTCCTCCTGGTTGGATGAATATGCCATTGTGGAATAAACTCTGACGGGCAACCTCTAATACATCCTTTGCAGGGTCTAGCGAGTGTCTACCAGAACTCAACCCAATACTCCCATTTCCTGTATTTCCAATATATTTATTAACTGAAACACCCATGGCATTGTTCAACACTTTATGTGGTTCTGATCGTTCAGAGTAGGCAAGTTTCAAGTCTTTATCCTTTCCAAAATTAATATTTACTCCACTTCCACATGGTTGGACTCCCTGATATTCCTGATGAAAATGACCTTGGCATGCAGACTTAATTGGGTTAATCTGATTGATCTGGGTGTTGCAGCTCACATCTTTAACAACCCTTAAGAAGTTTACATTGTTTTCCTGCTGTGCCATTGTATTAGTGGGACGAGTAGTTATTTCTGTATTTTCCACCTTTTTAAGAATAACTTTTTCAAAGATGGGTGATTTAACTTTTTCAAAGGGTGATTTATTCCGAGACAGAGAGTTATATATCTCAGGCTTTTTACCACCAACATGGAGGTGAGACTCGTATAATGCATCCGCCGAGGCCATTGGTCGTTTAGGCCTCCCTCTCTTTCTTAAAGGTTGAGTTGCTCCTGCAGGTATTGTCCCAATAACTTGTTTAGTGGGCTCTTCTGCTTTCTGTTTGAATGAGGAGACTTCTTCTTCTACTTTATTCAGCTGATCCTTGTAATCAGAAACTTCAGCTCTCAATTTATTTATCACACTCCAAAGCTGGACATTCTCCGCTGTCTGTAAGAAAGAAATTTGTTCATGTCTGCAGTCAAGACTCAAGGCACTAGAAACCACAAAGATAATTATTTGAATATGAAATGGGGAGAAGTATTCACCTGAGCTTCCCAAAGTTGTTGGTGCTTCTGAGAAAGTTTTGCAGGTGGTCTGATATTTCCTCTATGGGAAGAATTCTCTCCAGAGGCTAAGCAATCAGGCACATTCGGAGTTGCTGAAGAAAAGTTGGGTGCACTAGGAAAACTGTGAACATAAGGATGCTGCATTTGGTACAACTGAGCCATGTAAGAAGATGGATCCCAAGAACCTGTAAACAACGTATCAAACCTGTAGCTGACATTGACAATGAGGAAGCACACACACTTCAAAAGCAAAATATTGGTCATGTTCGGGACTCGTTCATGTTGAACACTTCAATAATTGCATACAATTTTTTTTTTTTACTTTTTTTTGTTAAACTTTTAAACCAAATCAAACGAGGATACGGCAATAATTATACAAAAATTTTACTATTTACAATGTCTCCATGTACACAATGACTCATGCTCTTCATAATATTGTCTTATGCCATTATTGTAGCCCTGTTGTCATCTATAATTTTTAAAATCTGTCATATTCTTCCTTTCAAGCTGACAATAATATAGAAGAAGATGATTTAGCATCAGCTAGTAAAACTCACTACGCTCAAACACTTACTTATGTATCAGTTTCGACTCTAAAATAAGTGTTGTATAAAGTACTGCATGCTATGTGAAGAGTAGAAGTTGCATACTTACATGGAAAGCCAGGAAATGGGTAATGGTAACACATATTGGGAGGTAGTGTCTGTGTTGTCGAAGAAGGTGCTCCTGGAAAGCCAGTATCAGTGAATGGCTGGTAGATAGTAGGGACATTTGCTCCAAGTAATGGGCCTGTCAAGGCGGCAGGTGGATGAGGTTGCCAAAAAGGTGATGGTGACTGTGCAAATAGGTGCGGATACTGCTGCCATTGATTTAAGGCACCAGATGGTGATGCTTGGGAGGGGAAATGCATTGCCAAGAACTGTTCTGTGGCATTTTGAGGAGCGTAGGGCCATTGAACAATTGAAGGCTGTTTCTGCTGATTTGAGTTAGGCGTGCTCTCAAGTGAAGGTGAGGGACTACTAATTTTGGCACTCGGACCAACAGTCACATTTGGTTGTGCATTCTGTTGCTTGGTCTGTTAATCATCATATTCATGTAAATAAACTCAAAAGGAGTACATAAACAGCACAAATTGCATTATATATACATGCTATGTTTCTTCATATCCGAGGTATTCAAGCTACTCCTTTACACGTGCTTCCTATAAAAAAGGTGAGAACCCTAACGTGCCTAACAAAGAAGAAAAATAGATATGATAATACATTTTATTTCTCTCAAAGATATATATGAGAAAGTGATTTTTCTTATCAATCTTCACTTTCTTTGTTTAAAATTCATTATGTTTCCTTTGTATTTAGTCTCTCTGTTATTCTATGGCGGCAGTAACATTGAACTAAGGCATACAAAACAAGAAGAAAAAAATGAAGAAAAAAAGAAAGCCTTAACAAGAAGCTAAATTTGTAAAGGCACAAAAGATTTATTACTCTTGTAGAACTGAGAGATAGGAGAGTTCCATACCTGAGACCCATCATTTGTCTGAGATTCTCGATTACTAACGAAAGCGAGTTTCTGGTCCTTCTTTTTGTTTTCCATAAGTTGTATAAAATATAATAACCTAGAACCTACAAGGATTCCCTACGTGGAAGCTGTAAATATGGTTTGGAGATGAAAGCCTTCAGTTTTCTTCAACCTCTGACCCTGAGAATCAGCTGTAGTGTTCACAGCTTTTTCTATCTCTTTCTCACCTTCTCTTTCTTTCTTGGTTCTTGTGTTGACTAAAGACTAGTTTTTTATTTACCAAACCTTGTAAAAAAGGAGAAAAACGGAATTTACTAAGACTATTCAATGGTTGATTGAATTTTGTCTCCGGTTATGGTCTGCAACGTCACATATATATTAGAGGATTAGGTAATTATATATTCAATAAAATTAAATTGGGCTGGTTATTTTTTTTGTTCGTTTAAGAAGCGTAATAATATTATTAATTGTAATATAATATTTTAATTAAATAAAAATTGTTCATTGTTTTATTAAAATTTTCAAATTATATATTTATTGAGTATATTGACATAAAATTAATTTTTGATAAATATTTAGGTTAAAAATAAATGATAAAGAACTATAAAATATATTTAGAAAAGATAAAATATAAGAATTTAGGATTAAATTAATTATTTTTCCCATCTTTATATAATGGCTAAGTCAAACTAATAACATCAATTAACTTATCAATATTTATGTCACCTATTTAAATAATTCATATTGATTCCTCAAACATAAAATTCATAAGAAAACTTTGTAAAAATAGATTTCTTGTACATTTAATAAATTTTTCAGCATTAGATTTAAGGTGTTAAATAATTAATACATTCATTACCATTCCTAATAATCAATATAACAAATATTTTTAACCTAATCAAGGGTTTCAAGATATATTTTTCAATATATATGAACATCAAAGATAAAAACATTAAAAAGCACAAAAGATAAGAATAACAACATCAATAACATAAATTAATATCTTAAAATATCACCAAGATATTAAAAAGTTCAAAGGAAGTGCACTCAATCATAATATAACGAAGTTAGTCACTCATGATGACTATTACAATGATCCAAATTAAAAAAATTGAAGATTAAACAAAAATTGAAGAAGTTGCTGTGTTTCTTTTCTCAAAACCTAAAAAATTATTTCTCAAAATACATCTTATATTTTTATAGAAAAATTTAGGTCATCCTCATCCACTCAAGCGGAACATTCACTTCAAGCGAAAAATGATAATTTTCGCTCAAGCGAAAATGTTCGCTTGAGCGGTTAAATTTCGATAGCTTATATTTTTGCTTAAGCGAATAAATGATTGCTTGAGCGAATAACTTTAGTGGTTGAATTCACGAGAGCTTATATTTTTTCTTAAGCAAATAAATGATTGCTTGAGCGAATGACTTAGAGAGTTTTAACGTATTTTCGCTCAAGTGAATATCCGATCTCGCTTAGACGAATCTCGAGGCTAAAAATCTTTTTCCTTATTTTAATTTTTCTTCAGTTATCTTGAAAATTATGATCTTTGCTCTTGTACCAAGGTATTATGCAAATTCATCCTCCATTAAGAAAAAAATAGATTAGAATCAATATATTTTCTTCAATTATCTTGAAAATTATGATTTTACTCTTGTATCAAAAGTATTCTACAAATTCATTATCCATTAAGAAAAAATAGATTAAAATCAATATAATTTAAATAATTAAATAATAATTAAAAGTATAATTACATTAATTTTTCCCAATTAAGTTATTCTCATATGACAAATCATGCATGCTGGTTGCCTTTGCATTTTACGCATGTTCCTAGAACTGTGCACTGTGTCTTTGAAATTGGTAGAATAGTTTTCCCCTTTTTGAAACTCCAAATTTGCAAACAATTATGCACTATGCTTAGACACTATATTTAATTTTTCTCGTTTATAGTAACTGAAATAACCATAGGGGAAATTATCGCACACATTTCAAAATTTGTACTGTAATAGTTTTAAGTGACACATTTATTCTGAATTTCGTCAAAGCTAAAGAACTAACAGTATAAAAGAACATTAACGATGGAAGACTACCCAATCTGTGGTCAAAGTTAATATTTGTTCCTTTTTGTTCACCAATTATAGTTCTTGCTTGTGTGTAAACAAATGAATCGCTTCCAATATGCCTTCTCTGACTACGTACCAGCACGTGTTGGCAACCCATGATTTCGATTTTCAAATGCTATCACACATAAACACACAATTAAGCTCCTCAATTACATGTATGTTTAAATTAAAGTTTGCAACTAAATTTAAATAAAAATGTTATAAACTTGATTTTGATTACTAATTTTATGGTTGGATTCTTTTCTTTTTAAAATGTGTTAATAAGATGAATTTTATTTGAATATATTTACAGTATTTATACTTGATATATTTCCTACATCAATACTAATAAAATTTGATCTTTGCTGTAAAAAACTAGAAAATTGAACCTTCAAACTTTGAAATTAACTCAATTTACTAGCAAATTTAGACAAAGAAAATATTCTTGTGACAAACATAATAACAAACTAAATATACTGAGGTGAGCAAAACGGTTATCGAAACAAAGGCACAATCAATTACTGCCCATAAACCTTCAAATGCTAACACAGTCACTAACAACATAGGAAGGAAAGCCAAAGGAAAGTACATAAAAGAACAAACCCATCACATACAAACTTCCTAATAATCCTCGCCTTCTTCGCCTTCCGTAGGCTCTGCACCGACCTCCTCATAATCCTTCTCAAGGGCTGCAAGATCTTCACGAGCCTCGGAGAACTCACCCTCTTCCATGCCCTCCCCAACATACCAGTGCACAAACGCCCTTTTTGCATACATAAGGTCAAATTTGTGATCAATGCGTGAGAAAACCTCAGCAACACTGGTGGAGTTAGAGATCATGCACACTGCCCTCTGCACTTTGGCAAGATCTCCCCCTGGAACAACAGTTGGAGGCTGATAATTGATGCCGCACTTGAACCCAGTGGGACACCAATCAACAAATTGGATAGTGCGCTTGGTCTTAATAGTAGCCACAGCTGCATTAACATCTTTAGGGACAACATCACCTCTGTACATCAGACAACAAGCCATGTACTTGCCGTGTCGAGGGTCGCACTTGGCCATCATGGAGGAAGGCTCAAACGCGCTATTTGTGATCTCTGCAACTGAAAGCTGTTCATGGTATGCTTTCTCCGCTGAAATCACGGGAGCATAGGACGAAAGCATGAAGTGAATCCTGGGATATGGTACCAGGTTAGTCTGGAACTCAGTAACATCCACATTCAGAGCACCATCAAATCTCAGAGATGCAGTCAGTGATGATATCACCTGAGAATATTACCATATGAAAGTCAGAATACGATGATATAAAATGACAAAGCGGAATTTACTTCAACTGAAATGTGTTGGACAAACACAAACCTGAGAAACTAAGCGGTTAAGGTTAGTGTATGTGGGTCTCTCAATGTCAAGGGAACGCCTGCAAATATCATATATGGCTTCATTGTCAAGCAGCACAGCAACATCTGTGTGCTCCAAAAGGGAATGAGTGGAAAGGACACTGTTGTAAGGCTCGACAACAGAGGTTGAAACTTGTGGAGAAGGGTAGACAGTGAAACCCAGCTTGGATTTCTTGCCGTAATCCACCGAAAGTCGTTCCAAGAGAAGGGAACCAAGACCAGAACCAGTGCCACCGCCCACAGCATTGAAAACCAGAAAACCCTGGAGACCAGTGCAGTTGTCCGCAAGCTTTCTGATACGGTCCAAGCAAAGATCAACTATCTCTTTCCCAACTAAATTAAAAGTCGCCGCAAGAAAAGGATGTTATCAGTTATTACACAATGAAAGAAAATGCGCAACACAACTTGTGAAATGCGTTTTAGAATTCAAGCTAACAAAAAGGAGGAAATAAACCGTACTGGTGTAGTGGCCACGAGCGAAGTTGTTTGCTGCATCCTCCTTTCCACTGATGAGCTGCTCAGGATGGAACAATTGGCGGTATGCGCCGGTTCTAACTTCATCAATGACAGTGGGCTCAAGATCTACGAAAACTGCACGCGGCACGTGCTTTCCCACACCAGTCTCGCTGAAGAAGGTGTTGAAAGCATCGTCACCTCCACCTGTCGTCTTATCACTCGGCATCTGGCCATCCGCCTAAAACACAACACCACACCATACGATAACGCTCAATATCCATCCACTCCAACCAATAACTTCCACGCATATTGCACTCTACAGATGACTATGAGGCTACTGCTATTAATTGTGCATGGCAGAATGAATATCATAGATCAAAGTGGTTCCACGCATAATTGTCCACATAAACAACAAATAATTCAAATAATAAATTAATTAAAAAATGAAAAAAAGTAACGTTACAGAAAAAGAAGCAAAAGCAATTGGATTACCTGAATGCCATGCTCGAGACAATAGAGCTCCCAGCAAGCATTTCCGACCTGAATGCCAGCCTGGCCAATGTGGATGGAAATGCACTCTCTCATTTTCTCAGAGATGAAAATGGAAGGAACAAGAAGAAGAAAAAGAAGTTGAAGAGGTTAGCGTTTATAAAGACGCCACTCCCTCGAGTTTGTGGTTGAATGTTCCGTTTTTGTGGTTGGGTTTCTTTGTTTTATAGGTGTGGATCTACGTAACTCTATTCAAATGAGGGAGAGAAAAAGAGTGGGTAAGTGGAGGTTTAAACTTTAACCACGGTTAAGTTGTTTTCTTTTCATGCTACCGGGGAACGTGAACTCAAACTTTATTGCCGTCCAATTTTTCCCTCCTTCATCCTGTTCACGCGCTCAATGACTCGTCAAACTCCACGTGGCTACCTTCTATGCAACGTACCGTATACTTCTTTCAAAATTACTATTTATTTCGGGTTTTACCTTTTTGAATGGGTTCAAGCTATAATAACTCTTTATTCAAATAAACTCAAATTTTAAATCAAGAAATGTTTTTGTTTCTCGTTCAAATACAATTAATACATTATATTTTTATGATATAAAAGTTGTTTTATATTGATAAAATTATTAGACAGATGTTAATGATGAAAATGAAAATAAAATTTATCTGAAAACATTTTATTACATGCAAATATTTGACTAATTATAAATATTTAAGGCATATTAAATACATTATAACGGATATTATTACGATATTAGCTAAAAAAATGAAAATTATATAATAACCTAATATAGGATTTTGAATGCGTCAAGAAAAGATTATTTAACATTATATAAATATTTGAGAAAAATTATGAAAAAAAAATATAATATATTCACAAGTTACTTTTAATGTATTTTAATAAGTTTTGTAAGATAAAATAAAACTCAACTTCGAACCTTGTGTAAAGCTATTGTTTCAGCTATGAACCTGTGAGCGTGGGACAATGTGTTTCATCCATCTAAAGAAAGAACCATTCTCCATAATTTTCAGAACTGCTTCTAAGATGGGCCTTCTCCATCAATACCCACTTGCCTTCACGTCTCAACAACTGCAGCTTTTTATATTGGAATCACCCTTGCTTCAAAACCAAGCATTCACGAGGGAAAGATGAGGAAGAGATTCGGCCTTACGTAATACTACATGAACGTTGGAATCAATTGTGGATCATATTAGCGATCCTCTGTTATAAAATATGCAAGCGAGGCTCCAAAATAGTTAAAGAAAAAGAAGAGTCAGAAAAAGAGAAAGATATGCTAAAGTCTGGTTGCGATATGACTTTCCAATTCACTACGTACTTTTACTTTGAGCAAAGAAAAGATTCAGGAGCCATCATATATACATCAAGATTTACATTTGATAAAAAAAAAAAAAAAAAAAAAATTACATTCAATGAGTAACTAAACAGTTACTCAGCTATTAAATCCTTATAAATAAATATGCTCAAAATTTCCTCCTGAGTAAGTTTTCCTGCATACACAGACATTCATGTGCTGCCAACTGACAGTGCAATGCAAAATTTGGGTCCTTCAGTGGACAGATTCTGGGAAGCTCAGCACAGCATCATGGCAGTTTATGGTCCTTGAGCAATTCAACAACCCTTCTCATCGAGGGTCTATTAATGGGAAATGCTGAGGTGCAGAGTAGGGCCACATTCAAAACCTTCTCAACCTCATCATAATCACAAGTGACTGGGTTCAACCTTGGGTCCACAATCTTGGTCATAATATAATCTTTACCTTCTCCCATATTGCCACTTCCTCTTTCAGGAGATGGTGATAAAACAGTCTCAGTGATCCATTTCACTAGATCCCTGTTCTCACCAAATGAAGAGTCATTTGGCCTCTTCCCGGTGATCAATTCCATCAGCACAACCCCAAAACTATATACATCACTCTTCTCGGTCACTTTCATTGTGTAAGCATACTCTGCAAAGAATCAGATAGGTAAATATTAGCAATTAAGTTTTCCAAGACATGAAGGTGTCACATTCTCTTAATTATTTTTCCTAGAAAATTTCGTAGTCATTATAGTTGCTTAAACTTTGGATGACCTCTACTCACATTCACACCCATTTCCTTCATCTCCATGCATGTGAAGATTCTAATTAGATAATCCAAAATCACATTAAAGTATCAGTTAACTTAAGGTAAATGTTCAGAAGTTTGATTCTACATTAAGAAAAAAATAAATTTAAGTAGAGCTTATGTCTTTACTAATGATCTCATTATCTTGGCAAATTCCCTCCCTATAACATTACTATAAATTTTGTGTTGACAAAAATACGAGGAAAAACAAAATAAAACTGACCTGGAGCAATGTAGCCATATGATCCAGCAACCCTGGACATGGCAGCAGCCTGGGTGGTCTCACGCTGCAATGTCTTAGCGAGGCCGAAGTCTGCTACTCTTGGCAAAAACTCGTGGTCCAGCAAAATGTTATTACTCTTGACGTCCCTGTGAACAATTGCCGGCACACAATCATGGTGCAAATAAGCCAACCCCTGAGCCGCACCCACAGCAATTGCAAACCTTCTAGACCACTCCATCAACTCCCCACACCTGTCTTCTCCATGCAACACATCCCCTAAGCTTCCATTCTCCATGTACTCATACACCAACACCCTAAACTCATCACCACTGCAACTAAACAACAGTTTCACAATATTCGCATGTCGAATCCTACCCAACGTCTCAATCTCCGCCCTGAACACCAATTCCGTGTCAGGCTTTTGCGCACCGCTGAACAGCTTCTTCACCGCCACCGTCTGTCCCGTCTTCAGCCTCACCCTATAGACCCGACCCGAACTCCCTGCCCCAATCACGTTCTCCCGGGTTAAGTTCGAAAGAATGTCTTCTTCATTGAACCCCACTCTCTGAAACGCGGTTGACAAATACGAGCGCTTGGATTTGCCGCGCGCTTTGCTCTTCAGGAACCACAACATGGACCCCACAAGAAGCGAACCGCAGGCAACTAAAACAACAATCGCAAGCAGAGAAAACGGCCTGCGTTTCGAACAAGAAGGTAGGGTTTTTATAACGGCGCTGCACAGACCCGGGTTTCCCATTAGACCGGACAAGTATACTTGGTGGTTGAAACCTGAAGGAACCTCCCCGTGTAGATTGTTATCAGAGACGTTGAACTGGTTGAGTCTTAGGTTCGTCAACTCCACCGGAATCTCCCCGGTTAAAGAATTAACGGCGAGATCAAGGTATGTCAAATCCTGTAAACCGCCAAGTTCCCGCGGGATTGAACCAGAGAATCGGTTAAACGACAGGTTCAACTCTGTCATGTCAGTCCAGAGGGCCACGTTATTGGGAATCTCACCAGTGAACATGTTCTCTTGCATCTTAAGTTTCTGTAATTTTGTCAACCCAGTTACGCACGTGGGAACATCACCGGTGAAGCGGTTCTTGCGGACGTCAATCTCCAGAAGGTGAGGGAGTTGGCAGATTCGCGTTGGGAGTTTACCAGAAAAAGCGTTAGCAGACAAAATGAGTTTGGTGAGTGCCGTAGAGATGGAAGCAGATACAGAACCTTGGAACCTGTTGTTGGACATTTCCAGAAACTGAAGACCAGGTAGGGCCCAAAACATTGGCGGCACCTGGCCTGATAACTGGTTGTTCTGGATTCTGACATACTGAAGTGAACCACATTCCCCGTATTGCTCAGGGAGCGTTCCTGAGAAGCGATTCGCGAACGTGATGAGACGCTCCAGCTTGTTTCTCTTGCAGAGGTACTTCGGCAACTCTCCTACGAAGTCATTCGTTGAGACATCGAATTCCTGTATCTCTGATTTTTGTCCCAGATCTTGTGGGAGTTTCCCGGTGAAGCTGTTGTTGAAGAGTTTCAGTTGCTGCAGGTTGGGGTTTGAAGCTAAACTTTCAGGAATTTCTCCCTCGAGAAGGTTGTCATTCAGGTTGAGAGAATAGAGACGCAAAGAAGCGATTGCGTGCGTTAGTTTTCCCGTGAGAGCGTTCTGAGAGAGGTCCAAGAGAATTAAATTACTGAGGTTTCCAAAACCTTGGGGTAATTCACCGGAAAGCTGGTTATCAAATAGTTCAATTTGTTCAACGTTTTTCAGACCTGAAATGCTGTTTGGGATGTTACCTGACAAAGAGTTTTGGGATAAATCCAAGTTCTTGAGCGAGGTGAGGCTCCCAATGGAGGGTGGAATTTCCCCTACGAGGTTAACACCGGCGAGGAATAGTGTTTCAAGACTAGAGAGGTTTCCTAGTTGTGGAGGTAATGGGCCTTGTTTGAAGGGATTATAAGCTAGTTCCAAACGAGTTAACTCACTGAGGTTGCCTAAAGAGGGAGGGATCGTTCCGCTCAGAAGGTTTCCGGATAAAATGAGCACTCTCAGACTTGGAATCTGTCCAAAACTAGCCGGAATGTCGCCGGTGAAGTTGTTCGTCGAGAGGTCTAATACTCTTAGTTCGCTAAACTCCGGCGGGAATTCCGGCAGTTTTCCGACGAAGAAGTTGTCGGAGAGGTTTAAGAGACGGAGGTGGGAACAAAGGAGCAGAGAGCTGGGGGAGATAGAGTTGGATAGAAAATTGAATGCGAGAGAAAGGTTTTGGAGGGTTTGAATGCGACAAAAACCGAAAGGGAACTCGCCGTAGATTCCAATTTCGGAGAGGTCAATGGAGACAAGTGATTGGTTTCGTGCGTCGCAGGTAATGCCTGTCCAGTTGCAGGGGTTGTGGTCTGTGTTTGGTACCCAATTTTGTAGACTCTTGTTTTTGTCTTCAAGCTGGGTGTTCTTAACCCGAAGTAGAATTTCAGACTCTCTTGGAAGGGACACCGTTTCAGAAAAACCACTTGAGCACGATATACATAAAAGTAAAAACAGAAACAATGGACGCGGCATGTTGTACAAATTAAAGAGACGAAACAAGGAAGGGTTTAATTTGCTCTGAGGAACTGAGATGCGAGAATGCTTAACTTTTGATGGTACCTAAGGACCTTGTTGTTTGGTATGAGTCTCGCAGTGGTTCCTCCCCTCGTGATAGCTCCTCTTCTTCTTCATGCATACGTGCAAATGGTGACAAGTGGGAAGCGGACACGAGTGATGTGAACTCACGTTCTCTTTGTTGAAGTGATTAAAAGGGTCTCATCTTTTAGGACTACGAGAGGGAAAGGGGAAGTTGACTGTGGAGTGGGAAAGGGACGTTTGTGTATCGGAGACGTGATTCGCTTTGGCGTATTTTCAAAGTTGAGAAAGAAGTAGCAAAAAGGAGCTACTTTTAATGTGCATGCCAAACCTGAAGCAGAGAGCATGGGACACTGCCACTGGACAGAGGCATACTTTCACAAAGAAGAATCATTTTCGGGATCGCTTTCTGGTGGATGGCACTTAGACACCAGCCAGATAAATGATACTGTTGTAGGTTCCTGGTATCACCAAAGATAGCTGTGTTGCAAGACTTTGGATTTGATTTGGACTAGTTTGGTGTGGATCATATCATTTGAATTTGAAACCAGCTCTCTTTCCTCTTTCTTCTACAAGAATATTGCAACTAAAAAGCTTAGATACGAATAATAAGAGTTTCTGGTACTAAAATTCAGACATTCCAAATTTCACAAACTGAATTTGTTCCACCCAACACCCATATTCTATTGTAAGAACAACTCGTGCTTTAGGAAGAATCGAATGTAGTGAAACAGTGCTTATAATGATACACACCCAACCTCATTGGGGTGAATTAGGTAAACAGAAGACACTTTTAACAAAGAAAACAATAAACTAATTAATTACTCCTTCCGTTTTATTTTGCTTTACAGTATATTCTCTCATATCACCGTTTAAAAAAATCATATTAATTTAAATACTCAGATTTGATAAAATATTAAAAGTTTTAATCTATGGTAAAACAATCATTCACACTGCTAGGATGTGAACTATTTATTATTAGTAAAGACATCACGATGCTAACTGTGAATGTATCAATAGTTCATTGAACCGCTGAAGTGTGTTCTGAATCACAAAAATCACTAGAAAATACAAAATTGTTTCGATATAAAACACTATAACCGTCCCCTCACATGCGCCAATTTAATTGAGAAAAGGACTGGTAGATAATTCGATACAGAGGTAGCTACAGTACCACAGTCTTTGTGTGAGAATTTGTAAAGCCCCCACTGCTGAGATGGGGAAAATGACAATAACATTACGCATTGCAGTTAAATTTCAAAACATCATAAGATCTATTCCAGATTTGAAAATAGAATTTAAAAAACACAAGTTAATGTTTGGGAAGAATGTGTAGCTCCTGGCTCTGCGTCGCCGTGAAGAATCAGCTGTTTGGTACAAGACAGTAGTTGTCTCCCACTTCCTCCTCCCTTACAATATTGTTCCCGAGAGTCATTGTAAATAAAGAAATAGTAGCAGTTAATGAAGCTCACTTCTTCCCATCCCACTTTACTTGAATAATAGTTCGAACATAGCAGTAATATACGTTAAAGCGTCAATTAAGTTAATTAGACAAGTTACATATATGGTAACGACTGATAAAAAAAAGTACTCATGACTAATGACTCAAGCAATTAATGGAGTCCCATCCAAACAAATGTGCCACAGACCACGGTTTACTTGTTGAATTAGCCAGCATGCATAAGAACTTAACCAGTCTCTCGTGATGGACCCTTTGGCAGCAAATACAGCATTCACATAATAAATGCTTTTGTTGACTCCGCAGTTGTACTGCTGAATATTGTCACCTTGTCAGTGCCATTCCCCATTAGTCTTGATAAGGTGAGAGTGACCTCTACAAGTTGGCAAAAGTATTAGTCTTTAGTCGTGATAAAACATCATTTGGTCATTGAACTAGAAAAAAAGAAGATACCTCTATTTACGCGTCATGAAGCGGTAGGTTCATGGCCATTTATCATAATGTCATGGACTTCTTAGTCACTGGCCAAGGAAGGGAGACACTAGCAAGCAATTGTAAGCATATGGGATCTTTAACGTTACACTTAGCATAAAGTAACTTGTAATCGAAACAACAAGGCCAAATTAGTTGAGCTACTTCAGCTTTTTGGTTTATAATAAGAGACATTGGCTATCAGATTCCCTGTTGCAACATCTGTATAGAATCATACTTATAAGCGACAAGAGAAGACACACTACTAATCTTCTGTTTATGGTATAGCTTTTTTGACTTGGTTAACGAAGATTGAGAACATTGTTGTCACTTAGTCATTGGATTGGATTCCTTAATTAACCTCTCCAAATGGAAATGGTTTTTAGCACTTGAACTTTTCTACAGCTGTGTTGTGTGTGTCATGTTTCGACGTTGAAACAAATGCTACACATGTTGACCTGTGATGACTTGTGTTGTGTTCAATCACATAAATACCAAAATCATGTAGATTCGTTTCAAACAATATTCACTGAAAATGTTTTCTGACTCGGGTACATCAATTTTGATGGATCATACAACCCAAATTAAATATCAGAGTAGATTACAAAAAGAAGGGGCCTCCAGGATAAAACGTTTGATTGACTTAATTCTACGTAGATAATCAGCAACAAAACATGATCATTCAGTTTCAATGTTTAAATAACATCCTAACTAGTATTAATATATCGTAATTCTAACTAAAACTGTTCTCCATTGATTAAACAAATTTATGGAGTATATTAATATTATATCATCTCGAAAATCAAAATTTGGTATTCAAAGAGGGAATATTGCCGCACTTTTTGACTGTATAGGAAAATTATTTTCATGTTTGAAAATAAAATAAAGCATAAAGAAAACCGCGTTTGGCATACCACTAGTATTTTTCGCTTCATTCATACATGTTATGATGATATACACTCGTTATTCAAGATATACGTAAGATATTTGAGATGAAGTTTTCTATGACGCTGTTGAAGATGCTCTGAATGTCTCATACACCATTATGAATTAGTCCAACATAAACAATATTTTTTATTTATTATTATTATTATCATTTCTAACCTTGACATAAAAACGTAAGATTGGAGTTAAACTGTAGGATTAATAATACTAAAATTATTATTAAAATTTATTTATTATTCCACCCAAAATGGTTTTTACCTTTTACTGAAACATTTATTTACTACTATTCAAAATATTGGTTGGTATCATTTTATGCAACGTGAGGGAAGCAATTTGCATATATAAATTTAGCACATTGGGGCTTTTTGTGTATGTTTGTGTGTATTTGAGAAGTGGTAGCAAGTAGCACCAGTTTTAACTAAAAATTGTTTATTAAAAATTATAAATTAGTTTATTAAATGGAAAATTAGATTTATAAAAAAAATTTATTATTTCGATCAATTTCATTCAATAATTAAAGGTACGTTCGACAGTATTTATTAGCATTTCTCTTGTAATTTAAATTAGATGAGTTGCTGACAAATTCATCTTCAATTAAGTTTGTTTGTTTTAATAATAAATAAAATCGATTTAATCTTTAAATTCAATTAAATAAACAAACTCAAAATATGAGTTCATTCTAATTATCAAAGTGTTCATTAATTAATTTATAAATTATATACATATACTTAAAAAAGTTGTCATCAACTAAGTGATTGATAGATGAATTTATTCTTTTGAACACGTGATTAACCCTAATCAAGTAACATCTCAAATTCACTTAAAAAAGAGTTTCATTTTTATACCATTTTTTTATGTTCAATTTTTATTTTTCTCCCTTGGGTTTTATTTTAATTGATAAGCTAAAAACACTTGAAAAATATTAATTTCATAAATACAAATTAATCATCAAACTATAAATTAAATGAACTAATAATAACCAAACAAGTTTGTTCAAGTTCATAGTGTCAAAGCAAGTGGAGATTTTAAACTTCAGTTTCTTAATGAGTGAAGTTATATTGATATTACATTAAATGTTTTCCAGGTGAATTTAAAGTTTTAAGTGCTTAATTCACATTCCAAGTTCCAAGAGTGTTGTGTGTACAATTCACATCTTGAATAAAATTTAAATACATTAACAACTAATGATTGCAGAACTTCGTGAAGTAACAGATGAACATGAAACGAAAGAAGAGAGGATAGACAGCATATTAAGTAATACGAACAAAACTTACTCGGAATAGAAGGAGCCACAACCCAAAATCCAAATCTTCATATTTTCCTTATAAAAGAATTACATGCTACTCAAAACATATTGAATACTAACTAATAAGTCGACTAATAGAAAAAAGTTGGAAGAAGATTTAGAATCGTTCTTTGAAACATAAGTACTATCTGAATCATAAAATATGGATGGATGAAATTTCAGAAAAACAATTGATTCATTTCACCGGGATTCCCCCGACAGATGTTTGAGCTATTTTCATGACAGATAATTAATGACAAAACCCAAAGTAGAGCAAAAAAGAAGAACAGGAATAACCTGAATCTATTATCAATGAAAAGTTAGCCGAAGAAGAAGGATATGGTTATGAAGAAATCACTACCACGATATAACTACTTGCTAAGCCCACAAACTGAACATAAATTATCAGAGAATATCAGATGTAGTTTTAGATAATGATGATACATGACCCAACCCTCCTCTTCAGAAGAACAAAAGTGCGATGAAGAAATCTCGACCAAATTTATTAACTTACTTATTTTGTAAAAGGAACCATAAATCTAAAACTACCACTGCCTGGCTCCATCCTGTCTGCCTTTTTTTTTTTTTTTTTTATCTATCTATCTAGACAAGACGATAAATATTTTTTTTTTTAGGAAATTAAAAAAGAAAGGTGGAAAGAGCAAAGTTACATTGCAATCCTCAGGCTTCCAAATTGCAGAAAAACGACATAACCTGATCTCTTATAGCGTAGCATGAGAAGGTGCGAATGTTAGCTTATGTTGTTGGTGTTGGCGTTGTCCTTTGAGGGAGAGAGAAAAGGAATAGTGTTTTCTTCTTCTCTTCATAATTGTTGTCTCTGTAGAAGAGGATGGGAAGAGAGAGATGAAAGAGAATGGTATATAAGAGGAGAGGGAAGAGAAGAGAAGAGAAGAGAAGTGCGTTTTGTTTTGTCCGTGCGGCAAAGCAAATGCGTTTTTCGGCCGGTGACGGGCCTTTTTCGGCTTACGCTTTGTCCCCTTTTTTCGTAAGACACAAAACTCTCCTTTTCTCTTTCACATAATTATGATATTAATTATCTATTAATAATATATATGTTTAGATTATCCTGTGATTGTATTCGCGCATTAATGTTCCAGTGGTCGCCATATCGTAAAACATCATGTGTGTATTTTTTATGCAGTTCATGGCCGGTTTTGTGCGACAAAAATCGCGTCAAAGCCATCTTCATTTTCGAGTATTTGGATTCATGTAACATATTGTTCAAATACTAGTTATCATAATTTTAACTATGTCTTTAGTTTTAAAGTTAATGACTTGTTTTGGTTGTTGTTAGGTAAATTTCTCCTTGTTTCTGAATTTTTATTTGGCTGTTAGGGATAAAATTGATTTTGACAACATTCATTGGAACACATTGGTATTATATTTGGATATAGTTTAGGGAAATACTTTTACTAGTTTTACTACAGAATTTTGATTTCCAACGTATACAATAAAGAACAATAAATTAATTGTTGCTTTACAAGTAAAATTTGTTTTTAGCTATTCTAACTGAAATACAAATGCATTAAGTAAATGTGTATATATTTTTTGTTCATGAATTGATTTTGAACTCAACGTTGATTTTAGTTAGTTATAACTTCCTTACTTAGTAACTTTTGAATTATATAACAAAAATTTTATTAAATTTTATTAATAACTTACTTTAATAAATGCATTCAATCGCATATATATCAATTTTAATCAAAGCCAGTATCACTAAATTGGTTTTATTTAATTAAGCACATAAATTAGAAGAAAAATATATTATCAAGTATTCTTATATTGGTCTTATTCTTTACCATATTTTATATCTAAATTTTTTAAAATTAGTTAAATTATATTTGATTAAAATTGGTATGGAGTTGTTTTAAGTTCAAAATACTGATATGCAGCTATATTAAAATTTCGAAGTAAATTTATCACCGATAATAATTCTATGTGGCGTAATTCATGTGGAAAAAAGGATAGATGTGTTTATGTTAAAAATTCAATTGAAATTCAACATTATAATGTCTCATTGTTTTACGAAATTAGCATATCAGTCATATTTCTATAAATATATATTTATAACTTTACAGTATACACTATTAATTATTACTTCCAGTTATGATTCATCAGCTACGTTAAATTAAAAAATATATTAATTTTAATGTTAAAATCAAACTAACCTGGTGAGAAAATAGAAAAAATAAATGTGATTGGATTAAATTATTATCGCTGAGACGTAAATAAATATATTATGCTATTGTAAATAATAAACAAAAAGTTCAAATATTATTTTAGAGATATAAAAGTGACTCGTAACTCATGAAGAACTATGAAAAAATATTCGGGGTTAAATTTGTTTGAAGTATACATCTATAATCTATAATAATTAAAAGAAAATAATTAATTTTTTTAGTTGTAAATTTTAGAATAAAAGACAAGAAATATAACGATAGGAATTATATGGGAAAAGAGTTGGAATTAGGTTTCATTCAATTTCATGTAGAAATCCTAATATACATCTTAATTCGCAGTTATTTTCATTTAGTCCACAAACTTTGCTACTTCGTTTAAATCCTAATAGATGAATAAGGTTAACACTTTTGTAGGTATTTAATTTGATTTTTCCGTGAGTATAAATATAAAACTAAACTTCAAATCTGATATGGTGATCAGATAAGTAAAATTTAAAAGACGCTACTATGATTTGAACACTTCAATTTACAAGCAAGTGAATTTTGCAAGGCCCAGTGTCCTTTATTTTCTCTCTAACCCACTACTTGTTAGGTATAAACTTATTTACATATAAAACAGGTAATGTATTATAAACATTCAAGTTCGGGTTCTATATATCCAAAATGACCATGTTAATGATATCACAAACGTGTTCATTAAAAAGAAGAAGAAGAAAAAAAAAAGATGGAGGTGAGTGTCTGGTGTGAATGAGACTGAAATCAATGGGATTTTGATTTACTTCACATAGACAGAGGAACTTAGACAACTTCTGACGCTCACCGTGTTTACTGGAGTGTGGTGGAGATTCCAATTTCAACCAAAATGAAAAAAAACACCTTACATTATACTCTTGTATTTTGTGCCTTTGTGTTCGTGGAACTGCAAAATTATTAACATCATCGAATCAAACAATCAATTAACATAGTTTTGTCACGCGCGTCTGAAGAAGTGGAAAAAGGATGTGATTTTTTGACTGAAGAGGTGTGATTATGAATAATTTACAAATTTAATTTTAGACCATCTTGATTCAATCAAATTAAATTCAGTGTAAGACAAGTTCTCTCAAAAATAAATAAATATTGATGGACTCAAACACAGTGTATTTCATTGTATTTTTTATTGGGCTTTGATCCACTTCATCATACTTAATCACCTTTGCCGTATGGGCTTCTTACTCCCTCCAACACCACACACGCAGCCACCTAAAAATTTAATTAACGTAATTTGAATTATGTAATTTTAACTTAATGGAAAATAATTTTATAAATAATTTTATAAAAGTAAGATAAAATATATTATATGAGAAAATAATTTACTTATAAATAAATTAAGTTTTTATGATAAAGTATGCAAAGTATTAAAAATTTTATTATTAAGTAAAATGTATTGAATTTTGAAAAAATTGGATTTAACAGTTGTAAGTAAAAAATTTAATCGAAGATTAAATTGATTTTATTTTAAAATTTAAAACATTTTTAAAAAATGGATTAAAAGGACTCAAAGGTAAAAATCACACGTGATCTAAATTTTAGATAGAAAGACCAAACCGGAGAAAATTTCAGAAGGAGAAATGAAGCAGAAGTAAAGAGCATTCGAGATTATCGCACATAAGCAAACCATTGTGATACGATAAAGATCGATTCGCATTTTCACGCTTCCCAATTTCCACACCCATACCCATATCACAGCTCTTTCCACACCCAACGCAACCTTTTATAATCATTCACCCTCGAATTTTTGAAGAGGCAGCAATCTTTGCCGTGAAAAGGGATCATGGACGCAAATTCAGGTGTCAACCGCCGAATTGCGATGATCGCAACCCATCTCTGTCCCCAGGTTCATTTCGTTTATCCGTTGCGCTTGCACCGACCGTTAATTCGGTTGTTAAGAACAACATCATTCGATTTTTTATGTATTTGAATAGGCAGAAGATGATATTTGTTTGAGGCGTAGCCATTGTCGTGCCAAAGGTGGGGCTCCCGGATTCAAAGTCGCCATATTGGGTGCCGCAGGAGGCATAGGACAACCTCTGGCCATGTTGATGAAGATGAACCCACTCGTCTCAGTTCTCCACCTCTACGATGTTGTTAACACCCCTGGCGTCACCGCTGATATAAGTCACATGGACACTGGTGCAGTTGTCAGTTCCTACGATTTTGTTTTTAGAAAACCAGATTATTGTGTTGATTCCTTGACTTGATTTTCATGGAAATTAATAACAGTTTAATTCTCATCAACTGTTACCCTGCTAAATAATGTGAAATTCTTCTTGAAATAACTTTTATGAGGACTACAATAAGAGAAATGTCAGATATACACCGTTTAAACTATTATTTTTAGCAACATACTTAATTTTGGAAATAGCATATATGGTGTAAGTCTTACTCCTTATGTGTTGGACTTTTATGACTTTATAATTTTCAATAAATTTTAACTAATATAAAATAATTTTAGAAAAAAAAAATGTTAAGAAAGAATGTATTGTTAGCATTCATATTGTAAAAGTCAGCAAACTTCCTGTGGAGAATAACAATTTATAATTGGATGACTGTAGAAAAGGAATTTTACATTTTGAAGTTATGCATTAAATTTAACTGATAAACTTGCAGTGTTGGTAGACCCTGTGGGTACGGTCTAGATTTGTAAAATTAAATTGATCTCTATTTCGGTTTTTTTGGACCTGACTTAAAGTCTTGGTAATTAGGTTCGAGGGTTTTTGGGGCAGCAGCAGCTTGAGGATGCACTTATAGGCATGGACTTGGTGATCATCCCTGCTGGTGTTCCTCGCAAACCTGGAATGACAAGAGACGATCTCTTCAATATAAATGCTGGAATTGTTAAAACGTTGTGTGAAGCAATTGCAAAGTGTTGTCCTAAAGCCATTGTCAACGTGATAAGCAATCCAGTTAACTCCACTGTCCCGATTGCAGCTGAAGTTTTCAAAAGAGCTGGTAGTTATGATCCCAAGAGACTTCTGGGGGTCACTATGCTTGATGTTGTTAGAGCCAATACGTTTGTGGTATGTGCTACTGTTCTTGAACTTAGTACAAGTCTTTATAGTTGCTTGATGCTTTGGATGTGAAGTGGTTTTTACAGCTTCAACTGCAAGAAAATATCCAACGCAACATTTCTTTTGTTTCATACTTAGACCAGCTATGCTTACATGTATCACTTAAATATTAATATCATGTGATTGTATAACTAAGGAACTGAATCTTTCAGTGTGTAGAGTCGATATCATTCTTATCATAATCTTTTCTATTGCTAATAATATCTGCATAAAGCAATCATTTCCTTTGGACCCCAGTAGGTTAAAATGAAACAATCTATGAAACAATCTATGAAACACTTCTGCAAGCACTATCATTCTAATAAACCCCTTATATTAAGGTGTTTCTTTCTATTTCCCAATATTACAGAGAGTGAGAGATACAATCTGTAATCAATCTTTTTCATAGTGATATCAGTTTTAGAAAATGGAATTGTGGTTGTTAATACAATATCATCAATCCTTATTTGACTTTCTATCACATCCATTTAGTAATCTAGATTATTAGGATTCTACGTCATTATTTGTTGAAATCGGGATGCCATAAAGTGTTTGTACTTGTAGCTCGCTTATATTATTGTTTAATCTTTTTTACGGAGCACTTCATTCATTTTTATCTGCTGGGTATAAACTGCAGGCAGAAGTTCTGGGTGTTGATCCAAGGGATATGGATGTCCCTGTTGTCGGGGGACATGCCGGAATCACAATTTTACCTCTTCTTTCTCAGGTCAACACTATAATTACTTCTTATTTTTTGCAGTTATCATATTTGATTTTGTGTTTATTATCTGACAAAATCACTTAATTATCAGATTAAACCTCCTTGCTCTTTCACCCCAAAGGAAACTGAGTACCTGACCGATCGCATACAAAATGGTGGAACTGAAGTTGTTGAGGTGAACATTTATATATTTACCTTATTTTTTAAAACAAAATATGTTATTTCTTTTGAGTTTTATCTCATTTACTAACACTCCAAATTTCAATCATTACCCATCTTATCCATCAACTGTGAAGGTTTTGACGATCAACGTATTGCATTTGTTGACTTAAATAATATCAGAATGAGAGTGAGAGATACCAAAAAGTCAAACTAGGCTTAATAGGAAATTCTGCATTCCCACCCAAGAGGGAGACGTATAAAGGCTAATTGAATGTGCACTTGATTGAGCATAAGATGAATCAAATTTCAAATGGGAGCAAATTCACTTGCTCCAATCCTCTTTCTATTTTTTACTTGGTAGTTTGCAATTGGCCCTTGGTCGAAATATTGACTGGTTGCTTGGGAATTATTGTGTGGGTGAGTTGTATTAGTTGGTGCCTTTTTTACAGTAACTTCGTGCAAAACATGGTTATTCCATTCCTATGGGTTATCTACACATCAGAATTTTGATTTGTACAATATTGTAATTCTCTTTAGGCCAAGGCTGGAGCTGGTTCTGCAACACTATCAATGGTTAGTATTCTATGTTTAATTTAGCCTGGTTGAATGCATGCGATCCCTTTTTTGAAATTCATATTTGTTTTATTGCATCTGCCAAACAGCCATAACATCTATTTCTGTTCAAGTGAATATGACGTCCAACTTGTATAAACTGCAGGCATATGCTGCTGTTAAATTTGCAGATGCATGCCTTCATGCCCTGCGAGGAGATGCTGGCATCATTCAATGTGCATATGTTGCTTCACAGGTAGTATATAAAAGCATGTTTCCTTTAAAGAGCAGCTTTTGGGTTGGTGACATACTATCCTCCTATTACATTGTAGGTGACTGAATTACCATTCTTTGCATCAAAAGTACGACTTGGCCGAGGTGGGGTCGAGGAAATTCTTCCTCTTGGTCCCCTAAATGATTATGAGAGGTATGCAGTAATTACTTACACTTCTACATATATGAATTTCCTTTTCACATAGGTGAAATTGACACAGTGGAGTTTATTCACTGCTTTTGTTTCGACAGGGAGAGTTTGGAGAAGGCCAAGAAAGAGTTAGCAGAAAGCATTGAGAAGGGCATTTCCTTCATCAGAAAATGATAATTTCTTTTATCAGAAAATGGGAAGTTGATGATAGTACGTCTAGAGAAAAAATGTTAGATTGTGCTCTCTGTCTGATGTGAGATCACATATTTTGAGTTAGTTATGAACATGTATGAATATCTTCAGAACTATGTAATATGTAATACATGATAGTGTTCTATATATCATCAAATTTCAAATGTGTACTAGAAACATTCAATAATTGGATTACCGAATTTAAATTATAATTACAATAATTGTTGGCAAATTTTGGGTCATATATATATGATACATATTTAAATGTGTTAGGGTCATCATTTATTAAGCCAAATAATAAAGTGATCTAAATAAATTAAAGTTTTGACTAAAGGCATATGTCATGAAAATATGATTGTGTAGAGACCATAAAGTAATTTCTAATTTGATGAAAATATGAAGAAGGAAGTCGAAGAAAAAGTAAATATATGTTTATGATAATAACTCTATGATGTTTGTGACAACAAAGTATGCTCCATTGGATTTTTTTTTAACTTCATCTAAATGAAGTTTTGTTCATATGCTCAAACGGTCGTGAGGGAATACGTTGGGTTTGTGGGTTAGATTCAACTGAATGGCCCATATCCAATGGCTTGAATAGGGAAGGAAGAGCCGTCTTTGATGCAGGGTATATGTTAAGAGTTGAGCCTTTGCTAGCTCCGGTGTTGTTAACATGACACTTGGTAACAACGTGGCGTTGGTTCAGAGGGCTCAATTGGACAACATTGAGGACCTCATGTTGCCTTCCACGCCGTAACACTTGCGAATATTGATTTCCCTCTCCATCCACAAGTCTTTGCACAAATGAAGCATCGCCCCAGGGGCCATGGGATGCTGGCTGGGAAGGCATAGTTGCAGGATTATTTAGTTGAGTTGATACACCTCCCCAAGCCTGTAGTTCTGGCTTTGGAACCCCAGCTGAACCCCATCCTTGAGCTTCAGCATGAGAGTTGTGGCTACGCACAACCTGGTTTTGCATATTTGTACCTGCCATTTTGAGGTCAACCCCTGAAGGCAGGACAGGTGCCACTGCTGTTGGATGAGGATGTAACTTAGTATTATCTGTAGACACTGAGCTAATACCAGGTTGTGAACAGGAAGCTTTTTCAAGATTTTGTACAGCATGCTCTGGGTGCAGTACCATAGAGGTCTGCAAACCTCCATGATTACCTGGGAATGAATTTCCTACGAGAGACCCAGGAAGAGACCCAGGAAGCTGGACAGGTGTTGGTGACCATTTATTTTCAAAAGCCTGCCCCTTGGTCACACCAAGAGTAATCTAAGGTGCAGGTGAAGGAAGAAATCAAGAAAAGGCATGAGGGACGACCTTGGTATTATGATTGGCTATTTGGCCATGATTCAACAAGAATTAATTTGCCTTGTTAATTTTAAATAAATAATTATTAAATATTTGGTTTTGTTATATAAATAAAATATTAATTTTTGGTAGTTTAATATTTTTGTGAACAAATTGAGTCAAGAAATTATCAAAGTAACATTTCTTGAATTGGGTAGTTCGTGAAAAATATTAAATGTTAGTGTTTGTGTATATTCATGCGAGTATTAGTCAGTCCGAAAGGAAAATTAATATTTGGCCGAATTGCATATACACTTGTAATGATAAACATGTGATAATTATAAAGATTTGCTTTATCGATGATAAATCAATCCAAAGACCGATTTGTTGTTGGACGTGCTTTATTGTCAATGTTTGATTATTACAACAAGATACCTCTAACAGTTAATATTACTTGTCCAAAGACTTGATATTGATGGTGCATTGGGTGTCTTGAGATGGGTTAAACCATTATTTGAATATATATTTTATTTATAATTATTTATTTTATAATATGAGCATAATTAATTTATTTCTTTTGTTCTAATCCAGTCTACAATTGCTTCGTATCCGCCAATTTAAATTCGTTCCGGTCCTCGATGGAACAAATTTTAAGGACCGGAAAGAGAACATTGATATTATTCTTGGCTGCATGGATATGGATCTTGCGTTAAGGACTGAGCAACCCCCTGTTCCTACGGATTTAAGTACTTCTGAACAGAAAAGAGATTATGAAAAGTGGGATCGCTCAAATCGCATGAGTCTAATGATCATTAAGCGCGGCATCCCGGAGGTGTTTATGGGCACTGTTTCTGAAAACATCACAAGTGCCAAAGAGTTCCTTGCTGAAATTGAGCAGCGCTTTGCAAAAAGTGATAAGGCGGAGGCAAGCACTCTTCTTCGAACTTGATCTCCATGAAATATCGAGGCAAAGGAAATATCGGGGAGTACATTATGAGCATGTCTAATATTGTTTTTAAACTCAAGGCACTAAAGCTCGAACTCTCAGAAGACTTGCTCATTCATTTGGTGTTGATTTCTCTTCCCGCAACGTTTAATCAGTTTAATGTATCTTACAACTGTCAGAAGGATAAATGGTCTCTTAATGAACTCATTTCTCATTGCGTACAAGAAGAAGAAAGGATAAAGCAAGACAAGACAGAAAGTGCTTATTTTGCAAGCACCTTTAAGGCTAAAGGCAAAAGAAAGAGATCAGAGGATCCCAAGAAGGAAGCTGCTAAAGGTCCAGAACAAAAGAAACAAACTCAAGAAAATAAATGTTTCTTTTGCAATAAGACTGGACACGTAAAGAAGCAATGTGTTAAATATCATGCTTGGCGTGAAAAGAAAGGGTTGCCTAAACTACCGGAAGTCAACTAATTCTGAAAGATGAATATACGTTGAAAATGGCAAATTGGTGGAGATGAAGACTATTGAACATTTTAGATTATTATTGTGTACTGGTTTTTTATTTTAGATTTAAAAGACATTTTTTGTCGTGTCGTCTTTTAGATGGAATTTGGTTTCAATTTCTTATTTGGACAAATTATGTTATTTGTGTTCATTTGGAAACAATAAGTTCAGTTTGTCTTTTAATTCAGATATTGTTATAACTGGTTCATTTTTTGGCTAATGATAATCTATATTTACTTGATACTGTGGTCACCTATAATGCAACTCTTAATACAGAATCTCGTGGTATTAAACTAAAATTGGACTCCCGAACAGTAAGTAGTTACTTCTTTGGTTATTCTGAAAGAGCCAGGGGATATAAATTTTATGATCCCACATTAAAGACAATTTTTGATATGGGAACTGTTATGTTCTTTGAGGATATTGAGTTTGGGGGGAAGAATAAGATTAAGATTTTTTGTATTGGAGGAAGAATCGACAATAAATCCAGAACCGATTCAAACAGTTACTTTTGATAAAGTAAGTTTGGAACCTCCACAAGACATTGATGATAAACCCCATATTCAAGATGATTTGATTGTTCGTCAAGACCAAACTCAAGATCCTCAAGAACCTGTGCGTCATGAGCCGGTGATACTCCAGTTACTAAGGGAGACAAGTTTAGTCTAAATTAGTGTCCAAAGGGGAATTTGGAAATTGAGGAAATGCAACAGATTCCTCATGTATTAGCTATCGGGAGTTTGATGTATTCCCAAATATGTACACGTCCAGACATTACATACATAGTTGAGGTTTTAGGCAGATATTTAAGCAATTCAGGAATAAACCATTGGAAAGCAGCAAAAGGGGTCATAAGATATTTAAAAAGAACAAAAGATTATATGCTCACATACAGGAGGTCAGACTAGCTGGAAATCGCTGGATTTTCTGACTCATATTTTGCAGGATGTCAAGAATTTGTAGCATGCTATGAGGCATCAAATCATGAAATATGACTGAGAAATTTTGTCACAGGGCTGCAAATTGTGAAAGGCATTGAAAGACCACTTAAGTTATATTGTGACAATAAATCAGCTGTATTGTTAAGGAAATAGTACAAAGTGAACAGATTTCCATAGAACACTTAAGGACAAACTCCATGATAGCATATCCTCTAACTAAAGGACTTCCGCCCAAGGTCTTTCATGAGCATGTTGCTCACATGGGTGTTTTACAGTTTGAGGAATTTGTGGTTTAGTGGGAGTTAGTCATTTTCATATATTTTATGTTCTATGTTTAATTTTATATATGTATACAATTTTTTTTTGGACATATTTGGTTATCTATAGATATGCGGTTTTCTTGTTCATTCATTACACTTTGTACATTAAGGTTATTGTATCGATCTCGATAAGTTAAAGTTTGGACCAGATTGAAAATAGACGTGTACAGATCACCTTCACGTAATTTTTCATGCTACACATTTCATGATGAATCCATGTCATTTGGTTATGTCAGGATGAGTAATCTTGTTGGTTTTAGTTGCGATGATGCAATGAAAAACTGGTTTAGTTCTATATCCTGATATGATTAATGAACAGGACTTTTGGAATATGCTAAAGGAATATAATGACAATTTTGAGCTCATAAAGTCTAACACATTTGTAAGGTTGTAAAGACATATATATTTGTGACTAGTGGGAGATTGTTGGCAAATTTTGGGTCATGTATATATATATGATACATATTTAAATGTGTTAGGGTCATCATTTATTAAGCCAAATAATAAAGTGATCTAAATAAATTAAAGTTTTGGCTAAAGGCATATGTCATGAAAATATGATTGTGTAGAGACCATAGAGTAATTTCTAATTTGATGAGGGGTCAAATTAAAAATACTAAAACTTAAGTAATTAACCTAATTTTGGTTATATAAAGGGTCATGGTCCCCTTCGAGAGCACACGCATGAAAAACGATTCATGATCCCGTTTTTTCTTTCTATCCCCATCAAGAGAAAATCAAGAGGGAAATACGAGTGCTTCTTCAGGTGGAAGACCATAAGATCAAATCAAAAGTGTTCTATAAAGGATATCGTCATTATGGCTAATTCAGTGACGCTTTGCATTTAGTTTATAACATATTTACAGTATGAAATTATATATATGTTTGATCATTAGAATGAAGATCATATTAATTACAGTTTACCTATCAATAATAGCCATAAAATTTGAGTTTGAGTCTATTAAAAACGAATTGAGAGATGTTTTCGTTATATCTAACGTTGATGAATAAGATCTTATTTAACTTCAACATAAAAAAGGTTTAATTATCAATTATTTTCGCTAAGTGAACAATGAAGTTCTAAAGTTACTCGTCGTTTAAAGGTTACGAGTTCTATTGGATTTAGGAAATAAACACAGAATTATGAATAAAGGTAAAAATAATCTGAATTTGTAGGTTACATTTAATTAATTACATCACAGAAAAATTATTTTAGAATTTTTCACCATAAAAAAACACATGGAATGTCACCTTGAAAGCTTAATTTCTTTTTGTAAGTCTAAAGCACAAATTTAGATATCTTCATGATTACTACATATAACTGTGTAATACAAAGTTAAGAATTAATATAAATAATAACTTCGTAATAACGATAAGCAGAAATTGTATCTATTTCCACCATATTTTCTAAACGATGATACGCAAAAGTTTCCTGTTAGAAATTCAGTTTGACACAAATTTGGAGCAACGGATAAGATATGAAATTATATATCTCTCCTCCTAGTTAGGAAAAATACACCTTAGATATAAACCTTGCATAACTAAAAAAAAATATTAAGATTGAAATAATATATGTATATAAGTATTCTAAAACGAAAAAAAAAAATTGTGTATCTTAAATAATAATAACAGTAATAAGAAGATATAAAGAACAAAAAGAATCTAAAGTTTTTCCCATTCCAGACGAGATCCAAGTTAGATATCAATTTGATGAATGTTCAAAATCTCTGTCTACAACTTATTAGGATAGCAGACATGGGCCTTATAATTTTATTATACGGACCCAGAAGAATTTGTTGGGCCATAATACAGGGCCTCAAACCACAAGATTAGAATATATATATAGTCGGATTTGCTTTCCCATTGAGATACAAAAATCCACACACTCCATGAAAATATATACTCTTGCGTATTGAACGTAAAATAAAATAAAATTTAAAAAATAAAATAAGTAATTTTTTTTAATAATTTCATCTCATACAATCAAATTTTCTTAAAATACCTTTTTATTTGGTTTCAATTTCTATTTTTAATGATTTCTTTAAAACGGGAAAACTCTGAATTAAAACATGTTCTGGTTAAATTGAAGGAGGTAGTTAGTTTAGAGAATGAAGTTAACCAAATCACATACTCTTTGAATAAACAAACCTAATATAATCCATAGATAATTAATTATCTTCCTCAGTCCACGAATCTGATAGGGTTCGTATTGCTTAACACTTTATCTCCCCAAACACAGTCTTCTTTTCTTACAAAAACACTGAACATGTTTATTTAGGATCTTCCTAAGACACCGATTGAAGAACCTTTTTTTTTTTTTCCTTGAAAATCATACAAGACTATATAAAAAAAATTAAAAATTGTGTATTTTAAATTTTTATCAATATCTCGACAATATCAGTTAACATTTATTCACTTGTTTTTATTATTGTGATACTTAGATTGCAATTTGTATGTGAATGAATGACAAATGAACATGTAATTTCAGTTGTTTTTTTGTCAAACATCGATCCCAGCCATTCAATAAATATAAATTATATCTAACGGTCAAAATCTCCGTTGTTGTCTTTGTGTACGTTTAAGAGGTGGCAGAAATGCGTAGGGCAGTGGGAACAGCCCAAATTGCTCAAATTGAGGGATATCTTTAAATTCATGTCCTTATGCAGATGCAGACATTAAAGTCAGCACCTTTCTTTTACTTCTTTATATTTTTTTCTTTTCTTACTTCTTTAAATATTTTGTTTAGATCTGGAAAGTGATGGAAAAATATTTTTTTAATGTGAAATAGAAAAAAAAATAGTTTATTTAATTGGATTTCAAAATTACAAATACATAGCTATGATAATTAATTTTTCATATTTTTAAATTACCATCAAACAAATGAATAAAATTACTATTTTAACTCTCTTTTTTTCTTTTCTATTTAAGTAAAATAGATCTTTTTTGTAAAACTTGTATATATATATTTTTAATCTTCAATCATATATTCTTATAACCATTTAAGAAACGAAATAAATTTCATTAAGATTGATTTTAATTTAAGTGCTTTATGTTTGGATGTTTTTATTTTACATATAATTTAGTAATAATATTTAATATAGTTTTTTTAACGCTACCTAACATTATATTAATTGATATTTTGATGTGATGAACCTAATACTAATGAACCTAATATATTAATTATATAGCAAATTTATATTTTAAATATTTTCAAAGTAATTTAAAAATATAATAATTAATTATTTAAAAAATTCTTATAAGAAGTTAGTTACAAACACAATTAAATTTTATTGATCACATCAATGATTTACATTTATGTCAATTTACTTTGCAATATCCTAGATAGGAACTTTTAAGATTTTGATAAAAAAAATTGTAGGGTTATTTGTTAGTGTAATATATTAATAAAATTCATGAATAAAAAATCAAAATACATAAGACAATATTAAAAAGACAAAAAAACAAAACAGCAATGAATGAAAAAGTGAAACATAACGTACTCACACACTGATTATGTAGGTGTTTATTTGAAGCATGAATGTATAAAATGGAGTACCTTATTGAAGAGACATTTATATAATATCCAGAGTTCTGAAACACCAGAAGGAAATGAAGAGATGTCATAAACATTATAATAACTTCTGTGGTGTCTGCAATAATAAATGAAGTCAAAGAAGAGTAATGAGATGGAACAACGAAAAAAGGCAGATCTTGTGGGCAACCACACAACATAACACAAATAATCAATCACCCCCAGCTACTACTTGGACTCTTCCACCATAAAAAGGATCTTTTTTTGACCCCCCAATAGGAATATTACAAACATATAAACAACATCTGAGTGTGTCAATGTAAATTTGTCTTCTTTTCAATGCTGCTTTGATGCTGTCAATATAAATTTTCAGTGGATTATACGTTTGCCAACTTCTCTAAAGCTCACTTTTTACTGCACCATGTTCTCAGATGAAAAGTAGATAACTAAATACACAACTTTTGCATGATTCACCACCATATCTTTGACCTGCTCTTGATTACAAGATATTTGTATAATATTTTACACCTTCAACAAAATTAGGATTTGCCCATTATAATTGTGAAAGATTCCAAATGCAAATTGCTAAACAAGAATCTTGAGTGGGAGAGCTTGGGCAATTACTCAAAACAAACAACTGCAAGAAAATGCAGAAGATGACACAAAATTCCCAATGCATCATGTTTTCTGATTTTCTACGCATAGTGTCCTGTCTTTCAATCTAAATCCAAAAGTAACGCAGAATGGAATATGCACAGAGTGGTACTGTAGCAGAAGATACAATAAAAAAGAATTTCAACACACATGTTAATAATACACTCTATTATCAATAAAAAAAATCATAATATGTTATAATTTTCATCTTATTTGAGAATTATATATTAAAAAATTATTGACATCACTCATATTAATAAACCTGCCCTAGACCAAGTGTAGATGTTGAGTTTTGATAGATTTTTGGGTAAAGTTGTTTGTCGTTTTGGGACAGATTCATCTTTTTCCTCCATTCTTCACTTTGAGTACTTTGGAATAATTTGAAGTTCAAAGCCGCATTGAGGGGCTTTATTTTGTGTTCTAACGTATTGGATTTATCTTGCACCTTGCACCTTGCACCTTGCACCACACACAAATTTATGTATAGATTTTGTCCAATGCTTATGGTGTCTCCATTGTGGAGAGCTTCTTTGGTTCCAATCATACACCAATAATAAGTACCAATTCAATCCATGTTGCTTCTTTTTCTTTTCAAACAATTTCTTTGAGTATCTCCCCTCTGTCAGGTTCCCAAAAGATAAATAATCAACCTTCTCCTCCTTCTTCTTCTTGTTAATTTTCGTGCAAAATTATTTCTTGCTCATTGGTAAACTTGAAAAGAATAATCATCAAGTCTCTCAAAATAGCAAATGAGACACTTACAAATACAATCATTCGAATCAATAGATGATGGAAGGGTTAAAATATTTCATGTCTCCATTTTGATGAAAAATCCCCTGTAAACAGGATGTGATAAAATCTCAACTTAGATTATAGTATAAATAAATTATTATTTTTTTAAGGCATGAGATGATAAAATTATTTAACCATCATTAAATGAAATATTTAAACAAAGAAATGGTATCTTCGTTTTATTTTATCATATTTCAATGAAATGCTCCGCCAGCCGTTTGAATTTTTGATAAACTTTTCGTTCTTATATTGACCATTCATCAATAATCTCTTCTCTGGGACCACATTGATGTTCACAGTTAGACCTAATCGAAGAAACCCCATCTTTGGTACGACCCTGCCCCTTTTCCCTACACATTGCTGCACAGTGCTATGAACATTTTAATTATGAGGGGACCCTTGCCCCTAGCTCTCTCTTCCTGAAAATAAATCGTAATTTTACAAGACTTGATGGAAGTGTTGAAGGAGATACAATACAATGTACAACCCACCACAACGAGACAGCTACTGAAAAGTTGTCCTTCGTTTCCTTTTTGGAAATGGCAGAGGGCAAGTGGTGTAACCAGAAATTTAAATTCCACAATCGTCTTTTCTTTGTTATTACATACGCACCAACCCCATACCATAAAACCAGGCTCCTTATTTCTCTAAATCTAACCTTCAACTCACTGCGTACAGAGAAATTGTGGCCCTGCAGTATTATTATGGTTGCTAGCAAGGGTTTGGCCACATAACAAGATAAAGGTGAATCTCCTACGACAAATCCCCAGTCAATCTTACTAAAAAATAATAACACTTTATTGTACGAGGTGAAATATGACAACTCAACACAAATCAAACTAATATTTTGTTTAGTGTATCACGTGGTTACCCTTCGCCTAGCCCTTTCTGCAAGGTGAAATAATAATTCAATGGCTACAATTCTCTTTCTTGGGATTATATAAAGGCCAGCTACCATTCGTTCCAAGCACTGTGGTCCACACAACCAGAGTGATGGTGGGTTAATGATAAGATTTTGATATATATGTATAGAAGATTTCTTTTTTAAGTTATCCCCGCCCTCTTTCCTTTATTTAAAAAGGGATTTTTTCTCTATCCTTTTTAACGCCACAAAATCTCGTGCCACTGAGTTAATTTGATCTTATGGGAATGGGGTAAATGAAATAGCAAAAGGAAATGAGCTATTAAACTAACTAAAGCTGAAACAAGCCTGATCTGATTCACTCGGATTTTCTCGAAACAAGTTAACTTCTTCAAATACGCTAATCCAAACCTGACTAATAGACTCACAGTCACAGCTCAGGCTCACAATTCTTACTGAGGCAATCCTCTCAGGATTCATCAATACTATTATTCTAAACCATACAATATGCCCACTGTTTTCAAGCGTCATTGTGTCACTTTCACTCTACCTATTATTGATCCCCTCAATGAACATAAGAGTATCCCTTGGCCCCCCCCGCGTAGGCTCAGGACAACATCGGCTGTAACATAAAAATTAAAAGCAGCACTACATAATGAAGCCAATGACTTTATAGAGAAAATACCCCCACCAATCCTACTGTACAAAAACCATTAAAGAAAATCCAACATTTAACACCATCCGTTAGGAAAAAAAACAAAAAAAAAAAAAACAACCCCAGTGAGACAGAAAAAGAACGTAAACGGATGAGCTATCGCAAACCAAGGGAACTACAATGAAGTATCTAATACATCATTTCAAATGCTTAGAAGATCGGGTGGTGGGGATTGAGGAGGATTTTGATGATCTTTAGAGGCCGTGGATGGAGATTCTAAAGCATTTGATGATGACAAAGAGGATTCTGTCAAGTCCTCTTGTTTAGAACCAGGTGGCTTTGGAAGCTCTGTCAGTATTTGGACAACTTCACGCATAGTTGGTCTCTCTACAGCCTGTTCTTCAACGCATAGCATGGCTACATAGAAAACATGCATCACTTCGTGGAGGGGAACTGACGGAAGCCTAGGATCAAGAACTTTAAGAACTCCTTCCTTATTAGAGTCCGTCATTTTCCTCACCCATTGCACAATGTCCACACCATCACCGAATTCCCCAACTGGTTTCCTGCCTGTTATAAGTTCTAAAAGAACCACACCAAAACTGTACACATCGCTTTTCTCATCGACTTTCAATGTGTAGGCATACTCTGCAATCAAACATCAATCAGGAGTCATAAACTGAAATGAAGCAGGCCACCTAAATTATAAACTATAAGTAGCAATCAAACATGAAACAGGTATCATAAGCAAAATAAAGCAGACTACCTTATTTAGAAACCGAGTAAAACAAAGGCAATTCATGCAAAGTATATGTAGTTCTATTGATCTGATATTTTGCCATTAACCATCAGTTTCCTGTTGTGAATGATTCTAACCTATGACTTCAGTATAATCTACTTCATAGGTGTGGGGAGTGGGCTATGGTGAAAAATCAAATTCAAAAAGGTGCAGAGCTACCTACCATTTACTTTCAGTACTTTGGATTAGAAATAAATAGACTACATAAATAATGAGACCAATCAAGAGATCATTTAGGTATGATAGAAAACCAAAGTCAAGAAAAACCACATGTCGATGTTAATTAATTTAGAGCATCACCTGAATATCAACAGTCTACACCTAAAGTGATGATGAGTCAATGAGTCAATTTCTCAACAATAATTGAAGTACAAACAATTATGTTGGGCAGGAAAACAAAATTTGCCACATCCATGTAGCAATGTAATAATTATGACAAAATTGAACTGTACCTGGAGCTATGTATCCATATGAACCAGCAATAGCAGACATGCATTCAGATGTCCCAGAATCTTGCAGGAACTTGGCAAGCCCAAAATCAGCAACATGGGCTTCATGATTAGAATCAAGAAGGATGTTGTTTGACTTCACATCACGATGAACAATGAGCGGAGAACAATCATGGTGCAGATAGCAAAGCCCCTTGGCAGCCTCCACGGCAATCTTATATCTGGTGTCCCAATGCAAATGACCCCCTTTCTTTCCATGAAGAACCTCACCTAAGCTTCCATTGGGCATGTACTCGTAGACCAAAAGGTTAGTCTCGTGATTTGAACAAAAACCCAACAATCTAACAATGTGCCTGTGTCGGATTCGCCCCAGTGTCTGAATCTCCGCATTGAACCCATGATCGTGGGAAGAGCCTCTACTCATAGCCGGAAGCCTTTTCACAGCAACATGATCCCCATTAGGCATAGCCCCTTTGTAGACAATGCCTGCACCTCCTTTCCCTATGATATTATCCTCCTTCAAGCAATGCAAAACATCATCAACAGTGAAGTCCAAACGTTGGAACGCAGTCAACTTCCATGCACGAGCCTCACTGGCCTTCTTCAGTGACCGAGCCTTAAATATTGCTGCTACAGCAAAAGCAATGGAACATAAAAGCAACCCCACAACAAGTAGAAGCTTCAAAGAAGACGAGAGTCCTTTAGCATGAGGTTGGTGTGCTCCATTGGCAACCCCATCCTTGCAAGCACCTAAATAGGGGCCACAAAGGTCAGGGTTTCCCAAGAAAGACGTGTAGTTGAAGTAGCTGAATTGACCAGTACCAGGCACCAAACCAGACAGATTGTTGTACGAAAAATCAACTGAAGTTAAGCTTTGCATCGAGGATATGGAAGAGGGAATGCTTCCCACCAAATGATTACTTGACAGATTAAGGTAATTCAATATCCTCATTCCAGTAATCTCATTTGGGATCTCTCCAGAGAGCTCATTGCGGCTAAGGTCAAGGAACGTTAACAACTTACATTGACTGATCTCAGGCGCAATAGGACCCGAGAACTTGTTGCCACTAAAATCAATCTTTGAGAGTTGTTGCAACCTCCCAATCTGAGGAGGGATCCGACCCGAGAACATGTTACCGTCAAGAAGGAGCTTCTGCACGCTGGAGAAGTTACCAATGGAAGGAGGCAAAGCTCCAGAAAGCTGGTTGTTAGAGAGAGTAATCTGACCAAGATTAACAGCTACAGAACCTGCCTCAGGAAACTCTCCACTGAGATAATTATCCTGAAGCTCAACCTGGGTGAGTTTAGGAAGTCCAAAAAGCCCTTTCGGAATGGACCCATTTAGAAAGTTCTCTCCCATTCGAATCCGGGTAAGGGATTCACAACTCCCAAGCGCTTCAGGAATTGGACCGAACAAGAAATTCCCAAGAGTTATCAAAGTCTGAAGATTGTTCCCAGAACAGAGGTAAGGAGGCAAAGTCCCAGTTAATTTGTTAGAAGAAAGATCAACAACGTTCAGTCTCCCGTTCTTGCCTAAACCCTCAGGAATGCTACCTGTGAAGTTGTTTTCCCACAGTTGCACCACTTCCAACGCCGGAAGCTCCCCTATAAACTCCGGTATTGCTCCGTGAAGCTTGTTCCTGAACAGATTCAGCAGCGTAATGTTCTTCAGCTCGTTGAAACTTGCCGGAATCTCACCGGAGAGCATATTGTTAGACAAATCCATCGATTTCAGACTCTTAAGGTTCCCCAGCTCCGGCGTCAGAGACCCTGACAGTGCATTCACCTGAAGGAACAGCGTGTCCAGCTTCTGCAGCTTACCCATCGCAGCGGGAATCTCGCCGGACAGACCACAGTACGCGGCGTCCAGCCTCACTAGCTCAGACAAGTTTCCGATCTCCGGCGGAATGCCGCCGGCGTAGGTGTTATAGTAGCCGATGTAAAGCTCCCGGAGGCTGGTCAGGTTCCCGATCTCCGGCGGTATTGTCCCGTCGAGCTCGTTGCCGGAGACGGCGAGGTACTCGAGGCGCGGCCACCGTCCGTACTCCGGCGGGATCTGGCCGGAGAAGAAGTTCCCACCGAGATGCAAGTGGCGGAGGTTGAGCAACTGCGTGACGGCGAGAGGGAGCGCGCCGGTCATGTTGTTGTTGTAGAGGTCGAGGACCTCGAGGCTCTGGAGGCGCGAGAGCTCCGGAGGGAAGGTTTGGTTGAAGACATTGTTGGAAAGGTTGAGAAAGCGGAGACCAGAGAGGGAGGAGAGGGCCATAGGGATGGGGCCGGAGAACTTATTGGCAGCGAGGGAGACATTGGAGAGGAATGGGAGATGGGCTACGTCGGCGGGGAGAGTGCCGGAGAGGTCAAGTCCGGTAAGGTTGAGAGCGATGACATGGCGGTGGGCGTCACAGGTGACGCCGTGCCATGAACAGTAAGAGGTGGAGGCGTTCCATGAGGAGAGAACGGGTGGGGTGGCATCGGTAATGGCTGCACGGAGAGAGAGAAGGGCGCGGTACTCTGAGATTTGCGAGGAACGGGTTTGAGGAAAATGGAGAAAGTGGAAAAACAGAAATAGGAAGAGGACACGCATTGGGTTGTGGAAGAGAAGAGAAGAAAGAGTGTGGTGTCTGAGTGTGGGTGAAGAGTAGAAAGAAAGTATGAAGAGTGATGCAGGCCCCGTGTCTTGTCTTAAAGGAGAGGGAATTTTGTGAATATATGAATTGTTATTCAACTCTTTTTACTTTTTTGAAAAAGATAATTAGCCATGAATCATTGACCCTCCCGGAGCCATGGTGATCGTTGAAGCTTGAGTTGAGTTGGTGCAGAACTGGTGGATGTCGATCCACCCCTCACCAACTCCATTCTTTTTAATCAACCCACTGCTAATACATAATTATTAAATCTCATTTATCCTATGTCTAATTTATGTTTCTTTTTATTATTATTATGCAACTTCAATAAAACAATATTATGTGACACAAAACTCAGGTGTTACTCTTGTTTGTATGAATGTCGTGGTTCTGTATGTTTTTTTTTTTTTTTATGATTAATAGGTTATGGTACATCGTAGAAACTCTAATAGACTATGGTATATCACATACACAGAAAAAAAGAAAAAATCAATAGGTTATGGTATATAGTAAAAAAAAATGTCATTTTTTGAAAATACCTTTTACTTTGTTCTTAAAGATTTTATGAAATTTCTGTAAAAAAAGAAAAAAAGTATGTAAATGAACTAAAAAGAAGAATTTATGTAAAATATGATATCTTTTTATTATCAAACAAGTATAACAAATATGGAAAAATTACATCATCTTACATGACACTACTGCAGAACGAGCATTCAACGTCGGGTGTAGAAGGCTTTCAACGTCGGTTCCAATGACGTCGTTGAATCAGGCGTCGTTGAATGTCAAAGGATTCTACGTCGGTTCATCATACCCGACGTTGAAAGTGGTAGACATCTACGCTCGGTTATTGAACTAACCGACGTTGAAGTCGCTCAAGCGACCCGTGTACTCGCTTGAGCGACGAAGCCTTCAAACCAAAGGGACCCTCGGTTGCTCGTTTCGCTCAAGCGACCGAGCGTCACAACGCTCGGTTAATGCAAATGCGACGTAGAAATGAGTAAATT